CGCGAAAGTAATCGCCAGTACGCGCAGAACATGTGGAGCCACATCGATTGCCGCTGTCGGATGATGCTCATTATGTATAAATGCCACTCTTTCGGCTAATTATCCATTACGGCTCCATGTGAGCTAACAGTATGAAGCCCGTAGCCCCGAAAACGGTACAAACTCTGTCCCAACAACAAAGCCCACGTCGATTCTCCGGCGGAAGATCGCCCTTTCCCTCAAACGGCTAACAGATCAAATTGGCAAGTAAGTCGCAGACTGCTCCCGAGAAGTCTGCGATGCCGATCGGAACGGAACACAGCAGTAGATCTGATGCTACAAGACCTGTCGGACACTATTAATGCAAAACAATAAAGAGCAACCGGAATGGGTGCGGCTATGGCACACCGGGAATTCGGTAGCTTTGAAACGTCAGCGGTGTGATTAGATTACCTACCCCGGATTATATCGTAGCCAGCCTCGATATCTGCGCGGGCTGTGGGTTTCAAGCACTTTCTACGGCGGCGACACATAGTCCTGGAATATAGAAGCCTGTGAACAGGATCACAAACGCTGCTTCGATGAGGTGGAAGCCTCGCCTAAAACGTGAGAATCAGCTCGAGCTATCGCTACTGTCCGTAGAAAATCGAAACAGCACAGCAGAGGAGCGGCGGATTGAGCTCGTTTTCATTCGTGGCTCCAGATTCATTAGATCTTTCCTGACATTCAAGGCATACGCACGTGGTGGCCAACCGAATATTCGAGTAATGATTGCAGTGGGGACCGATTACTCAACGTTCAGCAGACTGTAAGCCTTCCTGAAGAAGATGTGCGCCCAAATCGAAAGTTGCCGGTCTTGATCAATTTTTTTCGCGATGCTGCCACAGCTGGTCGTGTTTCAGATCTGCTCGACAGAACGTGAAAGTACTTGGGACGGAATGAAAGGAAGTGCTTCCCAATTTCGTATTGTATTGACTGCGATCGGAAAACGAGCGAGCTTGCCGGTCACGACTCGCTTTCGCAAGCTCGTTTCGGGGGAGAGACAAATCGTCAACTTTCGCTTCTCGTCATCGAATCGTTTGTCAATGAATAGATCCAATCTCAGCCGGACGACCTCGACAAAAACTGGAACCCCGTACGCGGGAGCCGAGCTAGGAGTGCGATATATTCCTTTCTTATCCTGATGAGCGGTCCTCATCTGGGCTCCGGCCTCGATAGTTATGCCTCTCGGATGTGGTGTGCTTGGACTCTCCCCTTGACTTCTGACCGGTCCCAAGCCACACGAGATCTCGCACCGTAGAGCGGAGCTCCGGTATCGATATTCCATCGGTCATGAGCGGAGAACTCTTTCAGAGACTCATTCACGCTGTGACGAGCCGGGACTCCGACTTCAGACTCGAGACGACGTCAGCCTCCTTCTCCTTCATATGATTGACGACGGAGTTTTCCTTCGGCTTGCCTGGGGAGTCTTCATCAAGCAGAAGTCTCGTCGCGACGCTCGCGCCGCAAGCGTGGAATGGAGTTGTACGCTCGCTGAGCCGGTCTGAATCGGGGACCTCTCTTCATTGTCGTATTTTTTTCGCAGATTGAGAAATACCACTCAACGCCAGAGCGATCGATATCATCGCCATTTTTTCTGCTCTATGCGATGCCTGAGGTCACGAATTCGATACAAGCTGCAATGTCTCTATTATACAATGGGGAGGGCTTGAGAGCCCCCAGGAAGATGATAGGAAACCAATGGATGCTCTCTCATCGGCGGACTTGGTGAAATATAATACCCGTCGCAAATCGATTGCACAGAATCGCTCGCGACTATCCGGTGACGTCGGAAAGGGGCGAGAAGGAATCGCGATGGGCACCATAGCCTTCGTTACCACATAGATTAATATATTCATGCGTCCGAAGACGGGGTCGGCAGCGGCGACGCTTCACCCGAAGCGCCCAATGCTAATCCCATTCGCTTCGCGTACGGAATTTCGGTCTGACACCGACGGCGGCTACGGCATCGATAGCGACGCTCAGGCGTTGCTACCTCATCGAGAGTCTTGCAACTGTCTTTCTATCCTATTTAGGTAAGGTTGAAGATTTCAGTCGTCTGTCCGGACCGCTGGAAGGATGATAGATTTTCCAGAACGACTCTCCAGATCCCAGACATGAGCCGTTACATGATCTCTAACGGACACTTCGTAGAGTCAACTTTTTGACTTCAGCGCCGTCGAAGTCTGGGTCATGTTATGCTTGGAATTTTCCCATCCTGCTTGCTCAGGTTGATAGCTGATTTTTCTAGAAGACAGACCGGAGCCGCTGCCCTCAGAAAGAAAGACTGTATGTACGCATGTCGAGGAATCCGTGCGACTTGTGCGAAAAAACAGGGAATTCGTAGACCGCGTGGTTGATTTTGGAGCGGGTGAGGCTAACAGGTTCAGGACATCACCAGCATCTTGAAGCAGTTCGCGGTCGATACCGCATTCCCTCGAGCGGGATAATCCACAACCTGTAATCTGTACCTCGGATTAGACCGAGTCGCCCTAGGGACAAATGAGCCAATTTACGATACGTTTCGAAGATTTATTGATACAATCAAGCCGGCAATCATTGTCAAATGAGCCCACCGCCTTCGGGATTAGTCATTCCGCCTAAGCAATCGGCTCGAGTGACGGAACAAACCAACAGCGTCTCGGTTTCACGGCGGGAAAACCGCTGCTCTGGTCAATGACGTATGCAGGATTCGATCAGGGTTGGGAACTGAGGTGCCACGGGCGATCGGCTGCTCCCGAAGGGGAGATCGGTCCCGGATATTTTGGAAAACATCGCCGCAGCAACTCCAAAGTTTCGAACGCTGTTCCGCTACCGCAAGACGGCGCAAGCGCCCGCGACTCATGAACACTGCATCCTCGTCTTTGATATGTTTCATCAGGGAAACAGCGAAGACTATTGCACCGTGCCTCCCTATGCAGGGTTTCTCGCCTCCAGTATTCAGTAGCATCAGTTCCGAAGCAAGGCCATCGACTAACAAGCCTAGCTCCGACATCGAAAGTGGCCACAGTGGCCGCGGTAACAGCGGCCGCCGTCTCCCGGCGCGTCTGATGTAATACTGATTCACGAACCCTTCACAAAGCGTCGCGAAACCCAGATTTCCCCGAGCTGTAGTCGGAACTAAGATTTTCTGAAACAACAAAAGTCGTCAGGGCTTTCGGAAAGCGCCGGAAAAGATCGCGGGGTTTTTAAAGACCCACTCGTCACTGGGAGCCGGCCTTTTTTTGTCCTCCCCGGAGCTATGTACAAACAACCCAGGCCGGCTTTCATAATCACCCACGGGAAGGAGCGAAGCGCCAGCACCTTCGACGTCTCTGCGCCGAAAATCGTAACACAATACATAGTTCTGGCTACTGGCGGTCTTCTGCGTGACTTACAGTATCAGCCAGCAAGAGTCGTAGCCTTTCCGCACGGTGTTATTGTTCATGTTATCCAAGTCGGTGTCGATAAGTCTGTTCACGCGGATGCTAATAATGTTCGACACCAACGGACGCATTCTCGACGAGTGCTATAATTCGATTCGGTTGTGGGCAGCCTTTCTGCTCAAGAGAGAAAGCCTTCAGATAAGCGAATAAACGAACCGTCGATGTTTGTATGCCTTTGGGTGTCCATGCATCCGCTCGCTCGTGTCCGTCCCGCCGATTGTCCAGTTTGCTTGCTCGCCCGCCCGCCGACTGGTCGACTACTTTATTCCGCGTCTGTCCGATCCCGTTTTAGACGACCGAAGTCGTCCATTGGCATCGAGCGCTCGACAAAAGCCATCAAAACCAGTAAACAACATCGATGTTCGCAATTTGTGAATCAATTGAGCTGACTGTCCCCTCATTTGACAGCGCCGAGCGTGCAGAGCTCATTGCTCCTTACGTGAATGACGGCGAACAGAATACGCCGTATTCCACTATGATAGCTGGGCGCGCGCGGTATGTTGCGTCACTGCGCCTCAGCTCACGACGGGTGGCATCCCACGACCGAAGTTAGTCAATAATGAATAAACTATTCATTCCGAAATTCGGCATTCGAAAATCTTCGCCCGTTCGACACGAGCAAGTATTCAAAAAATCGAGTATTACATGATGTGGATCGGTGCTCGTGTTATGCGGTGCGTATCGTGTCGGGATCGATGTTCGAGCCGGGTTTCCCAGACCCAGACGGCCTTTTGGGATAGTATGAGGTCAAGTGGCTGAGATATACATTGTCGGGGGAAATTCAACCGCCCGATCCGAGAGTGAAAGTCTCGCCTGAATTTCTGAATGAGTCCGAGGAGGACTTTGTTGCGAATGGCCGTCAATATTGCGCCCCTAGAATTTTAACGGGCGTGCTCGATATCAGACTTTCGGGAGTGGATGGGAAATAATGTGGAGATCCTTCTTTCAAGCGAATTAGGGACACTCCAATGCGCGAAGCTGGAGCTCTTCCCCTCGGGTACTGAATGCACCACAACAGAATCCGAATGAAAATAAAGTGGGAGCAGCTAGCTTCTTTCTTAAGGAACCTGCGTCGTGGCTCGAGAACTTCCCCCGATCGCAGAGGAATTTTCCGGAGAGTGATCGGAAGATAGGAGAGGGAGTGATAGAGGCGCCTAGATCGGACCGGAAGTAATCTCGAAGGAAGTTCAACACTTCCTGATTTCCTGGACGATCAGGCAGAGAGGTTTTAGGGTTTTAGTGCGGTAAAAAGCCCACACTACCGGCTTGCGGTCCGCGGACCGGTCCCGGTGTCCGGTTACGGATTCCCCCCCTCTCTATAAAAAAAAAAAAAGAGGAATTTTCCAATAGATTCCACCCGATACTCGCTCATTCGCAAATATTCTCCACAGGAGTATTCCTGGTGTTCTCAAAGTGAGCTCTGTCTTGCTTTCTTCTGATCGCTCACGAAAAGGCTGGAAGGTGCCCGATCGCCGTGCAGCCGCCTCCGAATCCTCCGCAAACGCTTCGGCAGCTTTCTAAAATTAGCGACTCGAGTGAAAACGAAACATCGGTAACATCTTCCGACATGATTTATGGTATCCGTCGTACCTTCGGGAGTAAATCCAGGGTACGACGAATAAGTTATTTACAGTTCGAAGTCATGAAAAAAGTGGAGTGTGCAGTTCAGGAACGTCGAAGATCAAGTCCGAGGGCGGAGGTGGCTGCCTCGGGAAGTCGTACACAAGATTGAAGAAGCCGGTACCTGGAATTATAGAGGATTGAATACCGATCGTCTTCATGAACCTAGAATCCCCAGTTCAGACAAGCAGTGCATCCGATCAGCTAATCTAGTCCGGAGGGTCTGGATGGTCCTCGAGGGTCTGGAACCTCCTTCGAAACCCCGAGGCAGTTCGTCAACCCCTTAAGAAACCTCGAGCTACCCTAGAACCATCAACAAGTGAGTTGCGCGCTCCTTAATCCCTGTGTCTTACCCTGCTTCATCGGTTTGCCGAGGATGATACATTCGCTAACACCCGTTACATCGTCGCGTTGACCGTAGTACGCAGCATCGAAGAGATGATCAGCTGTTTTCTCGAAGGAAGCTAACATCAAAGCGCTCTCCTTCATTTTCGCCAGACCGTGACGCGTTATACCCACAACTTCACCGGTTCGCGTCATAAGGTCGGCAAGCAACATCAGATGGCGCATGTCGATGGAAATTCCGTGTCCTTCCATGGTTTCTCTCATTTCTGTGATTATCTGGTGACGAGCGGCTTCTATTCCCAAAACCTCTGATACCTGTTGGACAGATAGTTCGAATGTTGTATTCAACGCCCTGCCCCGTCGTGACGTTTCGACGTGAACAAGTCCGTGAGGCTTCCCCCGAGATGAGAAAGCTACATTCCGCGTTGAGATCAGATTGGTTCATGAACTAACCTCAAGAATGTTATTACACCGACATTTCTCTGGCCTTACACCGTAAGTGCTTAGCACATCGAGCAATCGATTACTCTCCACGAGTAATTTATAGACGGGTTTCTCCGGCGTTGTGTCGTCGCAATGGATGACTGCTCTCGCTGCCACCCCTTTCACGACGACTTTTGGAAGGTTTGCCATCAGATCTTGAATTATGTGCGAGAGGTTCTGGTTCGAAGTGCTCTTCGACGCCCGAACCGTTATGACAGAATTCGAGTGCACAGTCACATCGTTAGGCTTCGCCTGAGGACGGTGGAACATCAATTGATTGAAGGTATCATAACGGAATTTGGACGAAGGTAAAAATGCGCAGCTGTCGAGCCTTACCTTGATCTTCTTGTCCAAGCAAATCGCGTATCTGATCGTTTGCGCAGAAACTTCCAGTTGCAGGAGTCGGATCCGATCGATCGCCAATCTGATCATGACAAAAACATCGTCCGGAACGTAAATTTCCTCCAGATATTCAGCGATTTCCCCCAGTGTGGTTTTCTCCACACGGCTCTTCACCCTGTGGGACAAGCGACCAGGGATTTATCAATTTGCCTTTCTGGCCAAGCGAAATCTACGATCGGGGGAGAGAATCTACGTCGAGGGGACCGTATGGAGTAAATCCCAGACGATGGGACGAACCTTCGAGCGAATTCCGGGTCGCTGTCGTCCAAGAGGGTGGCGGTAATGATCGGCGTTGCGATGGCTTTCGATGCATTAATGATTTCTTTTATTCTGGGAACGCCTTGAGTAATGTTCATCGAAGCGACACCCGCGAAATGGAAAGTTTTCAAAGTCATCTGTGTAGCCGGTTCACCGATTGACTGTGCGCATATGGCTCCGATTGCGGTTGCAGGTTCAAGCTGTTACGGACAAGCATCAAATTAGTCGAGCTTGGATGCATCGAACCCCTGTTTCTTACGTGGAGAGATCCAGAAGTTTGGAACGCCGCACCCACCTTGGCTTTGAGATATTTATTCTTGCTGGTCATAATGAAATCTCTCAAGTGACTTTTCGTCAATCTCCATGGTTCTTTGAAGATTTTCGGACTGTCTTTGGTCACACCGAGCTTCCTCCACGATTCGCGGTTGGATTCTGCTACTCTCTCGATGTACTCCAACAGCATGTCGATGAAGTACCGTTTGACTCCGCGGTCGAAATCAGGTTCTCTGACGATCTGCTTTGACAGCTCAATGAGAGTGTCGGGATCCTCAGCGATCTCATCAGGATATCGATTCGACGCTTTGACCATTTCGAGGACCCTAGCAGGATTCCAAAATTCATGAGCCCCGGTTCAACCCGCGAGATGTTTTTCCTCATGATGATACATCGTTCACCGATAAGTCAAGAGGGACCCACCTGTTGAAGTCGACGACCGAGTCTTTGCCCTCGATCATCGCGGGATCTAAAGAATCCGCCCCGTATTCAAACTGGATTACATCGCCCGTACTCGAGCGTACCGAACTATCGTAGTTCAACATCATATCTTCCAAGGACTTTATGAGACGTCGTTGCATGTACCCTGCGGAGGTTGATAGGATCAATTACATCTTCGTCTTCAGCAGGGGGAATCTCGTTGGCTCCCGATAATTCACTTTGATCACGCAGCCGATACCTGTTTCCGCAGTTTTGACAGCGGTATCCACGAGACCTTCACGCCCAGCCATGGTGTGGAAGAAGAACTCGGTCGGTGTAAGACCAGTGAAGAACGAATCTTCCACAAAGCCTCGAGCGTCGGGATCTTTAGTCTTCCTCTCAAAATGCGGAAGCGAGCGATCCTCGAAACCATTACCGACTCGATGCCCAGAGATGGCCTGTTGACCGACGCAAGTTGCCATCTGGGAGATGTTAATGAAGGAGCCTGCAATGGAAGAAATTCAAATGAGTTACTGCGGCGTTCAAGCGAGTTGGTGGAAAAAATCATATACCAGACTTACCCTTTGAACCACAGAGGGCCATGACCAGAGGAGAGCAAGTTTGATGCAATTCCTCAGTACAAATATTTCCTGTTTTGTCTCGGATCGACGAGAGCTCTTTTAGACACAGCGCTTCCAAAGTCTGCTCCTCGGTACAGCCGGGCTGAGCTGGCAGTGTTCCCTGATCCAACTTTCGAATGTATTCCTGACATCGGCTATAGCCCACTCTGACTAGTTCTCTTTTTTGAGCAACGAGACTCGCACCGGGCGTTACATCACCGATTCCTACGGGGAAAAAAGGGGAAATCATCAAGATCTCTCATCATGTTGAGGAAATGGGAATCCCGGATGGAGCCCAGCACATTTTGTATTTTTTGCATGCCGACGCTCTTACCAATGGAGAAGCCTCTCGTCGAGAGGAGGAAAAATGCGCTGATCCTCGCCAACCTCCACATGGCGTCGGCCGCATGTTGTGCGCTATAATCTCTAAGCAGTAGATAAAAAATTGAGTTCTTGGATCCGCTTCCCATGGTTCCTTTGTCCATTCGACCACACAGCAGCTCGGAGTTTCGCATTATCACATAATTATCGTTGGTGCACATGTCCTCATTCTTGGTGTATTTTTGTTTTTGGCCCTCAGGTGGATGCGAACATCGGACGATTTCGAGGGCTTCAGTATCAGACTGAATATCTGCTTCCCGGTCCACAGGACTTTGGGTTTGAGTATCGCTGGATGAGGAAGCTCCACCGTCGTTGAGACGTCCCTCCCCGCGACGAACTGACTGATGAGATGGCACGCCGTTTCCCGGTCGAACATCTCATCCTTGTGAGTTAGCAGATAGCCTCCTGCAACATGGACCCCAACGCGAATGAATATTCACGTAACGCACATGAGATTTGCCCGCATGGACATCGATTTCCCGGAGAAGATCAATTAAAATATCACCTGTGATGAAATCCTGGATCGCTCCGATCAGGGGTTCACCGTTCCTGGGCGTAACTATATTGGCAGTTGTCGCCATGAGGACCATGGCTTCAGCTCGGGCTTCATAGGTCTGGGGCATGTGGATGTTCATTTCATCTCCATCGAAATCAGCGTTATATGGAGTACACACGCATTCGTTGAAGCGCAATGTTCTGCAACGAATGAACAGGGTATGAATCAGGTCATCGGTTTCTTTGGGACGCCGGCCAAGACGATTCTCAGAAACCCGCGAGAACAAACCGCATCTACTCGCATCGACGTTCAACCAACCTGTGAGGCAGAACCACCGCCTTGTGCGCCATTATCGACAACTTATGTAAGGAAGGCTGTCTGTTGAAGAGGACGACATCGCCGTCGGTCAAATGCCTCTCAACAATGTCGCCGACGCGAAGATTTTGTGCGAGTTGTTCACGGTTCCCGTACTTGAGAAACTTCTTGAGCTTGTTCCTTCCCTCTATGAAATTCGCTCCGGGATGCTTGTCGGGTCCGTTCATCACCATCTTCTTCATGAGATCGAGATTATGTCGCGTCACCATCTCGGGGAAGGTGAGAATTTTGGCCATGTGCACCGGTATCCCTACCTGATCGATATGTAAATTCGGATCAGGCGAAATAACCGTCCGGCCGGAGAAATCCACTCTCTTACCGGACAGGTTCTGTCGGAACCTGCCCTCTTTCCCTTTCAATCTCTGAATTATGCCTTTGGTTGGTCGTTTCGGCTGCATGTGCAGAGGAACGCCACTGATTTCCCCGTTGACATACAGAGCGAATTGAAGCTGTAGGAAATCTCTGTCCTCTACGATCATCTGCGGCTTGGCGTTCGTTTGACGGTGTCGTTCGATGACGTCGTTCAAGAAAATCATCTCGGTCAACTTTACGGTGAGATCATCCTCATTTGTGCCGGCGCTGGGAAACGATGGGGATGAGTTTTTGAAGGGTGGATCAACGCAGTGTTGTGAGAAACGTACTCTCAGCTAGTGAGAAATAAGTACTCAGCATAGCAACGCAGAGATAATTACCGGAAATCAGATGCAACCGAAGGTCTAATGCACAGCGGTGGGACCAAGACACGGGTCTGAATGAGGTTTTCGGGTCTTCCGATTTCGGCGTTCATGAACAGAAGGGGAACGTCGTACTCGGGTATACGCTCAAAAAGATGGAGGCACTTCATGGCATCCACTAGCTCTATTTCCGTCGACGGGGCTGGCAGTCCATCTGGAGGAAGATCGGAACTTCGTCGGATCGATATATGACCTACTGGACCTCACGAGAGCAGACTGCACCTTCCGCGCTCGCCGAATCTTTCGCGTCTCCTCTCTGCAGTTCTATCTGACCTTTGCCGGCCTTCAGATCAGAGTCTTCCGCGTCGATTTCTTCTTTCGTTCTCTTCTTTGGTTTGTTCCGTGTCCGGTCGTGCATTATCTTGAGCATACCAGCCTTCTTGACAAAGCCATTCACGAATTGACATTTCGGGCAGGTTTTCCCTTGGAGTTTGCGGCATTTCTCTAAGATTTCTGTATGCAGATGTTTCTTCGTCACGTAGTCCAGCTCACGGGACTGAATGCGTTGACGATATTTGTCTGATGAGGGAAAAAAACGGATATTCCACCACGATGATGGCGAGTCTGCATCGTTCACGCTTACGTCTCATGTCATTGCGCTGCTCACCCTTAATCTCGTCCGGCAGGAGAATATGAGCACAATTTTTACAGATGCATTGGAGGATGTTGATGCATTCACGGAAGAAGCCGCAGTGAAAAACGGGACATTCGAGATCGATGTAACCGAAATGACCAACGCACTCGGTCAGTCCTTTCCCGCATGTCTCACAGACACCGGCTCGGCTGGAAGTGCCTGCGACGAGTGATTTTTCCAGAGATAAGGCATAAGTATTACCTGAGTTTGTTCCGCTGCGGTGTCGATCCGATGCAGATCAGAGGATAGCCTGAATTATTTCTCACTCACCGAGTTTGGGATCCAGAACCCCGTAGGGAGAGGCTTGTCTGCCCTTCGAATGATCGGCGATGTAAAGACTCTTGTTGACGCATTTTATGTGTGACAAAGCTCCGATTTCGTCCGGCGTCAGTATGCCAAAGGCCATCTGACGGACTTCGACCGTCTCGCCAGTGGCCCGATACTGCTCCTTCGGCATGATCCGAATTCTATTTGGCGTCCAGTCTCAGAATTTCTGCTTGAGGAGGGCAAAACCAGATCTAGATTTGTCCAACAGCCGCTCAAATACGTCGCATGGCGCCACAGCAATTCCTACGGATAATTGAATACGAGGAGGCAAACCGAGTCTGATGCAATGTTGCTGTTCGTTCCCCTGTCACATTTCCGGCTTGGGATGTCCAACTCTCCCGATGCTTTCAGGATCCTCAGAGAACACCAACTGCGAGATTCGATCGTTATTCCATCATTCGGAGTTCAAGTTAATCCACTGTCAAGGGCTGCCGGTTTTTCGAACACACGTTCCAAATAACGTTTTGGCGAAGTTTTCCAAATTCGCTCGAGCTTCAGCTCAGCGTCAACAGCGCTAGTGGATCGGGTAAAGGAGACAGTTTCAGCCGAGGATATAATGGGTTCACGAGTTAATAGAACTTACATATCGGACATAGAACGGTACACGAGAACACATACCACGACCCACGACTCCGGAGTACCATGCGTAAACATTGAGTTAGTTTGCGGGATTCGCACGACGAAACTTGACCCGGTCTGGGTTTTCTCCTCACTGGCGCGCGGCGCGCTCCACCACTTGTAGATCGGAGATGCGGAGTGCACTCGAATCAGATGACGGGTTTCGGTCGCTGCAGCGGGACTTCGATGCATATCTAGTGATTAAAAGGGAGACGTCAATAATGTTTTGTCTCGAATACCAGTAGAGAGAGTTAGACACAATCCAGAGATGCGATGCTCCTTGCTTTGGCGGGCGCAGTCGCTGTCAGTTTAGGAATTCATTCTACCAGCCGCTGCGATGGGGGAATGTTCCTGACTGGGGACCCGTCCTCACATAACTCATATCTCCTACGTTGATCCTGCTGCTACGCGGGGGAAATTCATTGACATAAGGATTGAACATATGCGCTATTGCGTCTCACGGAAGATGCGGCGGATAAGTCTCGGCTGCGCTAGACCAAGCCGTCATGGATGAACGGACTTAAGAGACTGGAGACTATTGTATCTTCCGCATACAATAGTCTCCTTGTCTGACTTTATAGGCTCTGGACTTATGGGACACGCCCCTTGGGAAACGAGTGAATGAGTACGGATTTCGAATTTCATGAAGGCGTAGCACCGATTTCAGTGAGCAGACGACTCGCGCGGATCTGCTATGGCGAACAGGTGGTATGGGCGCATTGATTAGCGAGCGGAAAGTCGGGAGTCGAGATTGGGGCAGCGAGAGTTCGCCTCCCTCACTTATCGAGTCTCCGATCACCAAAGGCGCCCGTGTGAGAGACTCTAGCGCTCGTCTGCTAGCCAGCTGACAATAAACACGTGCTGTGGAAGCGGTGGAGGAAAAAAAAGGTGTTTAAAAACCCTAGAACGAACTAAAACTTCCAACAAAAGTGAAAAAGAGGTGCTATAGTGCGTGTTTGAGGGTTAAAAAGGGATATTATTCTAAGAATCATGTCTCAGTACCAAAAGATTTGCGATGGTTGTAAGGACAGCCTCCGCAGTCTCCGCAGACTCACGACACTAAATGAGTCATGTCTAGCATGTGCTGTAGCAGCAAATCGCACACAAATCGATAAGATTGATACGGCCCAGGGCCAGGTTACCTCGCTAAGCGAGGAATTAGCCAAAGCGAAGGAGAGGGCAGAGACCCTCTACAAACAAAACATTGACCTGGTGCAGGTCAACATAGAAAACTCGAGAATATCAGAGAGATTTCTGAAAGAAGCGCAAGAAAAAATCCAAGCGCTAAATAAGCGAGTTGAAGAGCTCATGAAGGAGCTCGTAGAAGTAAAACGGAAAAATCCAGAAGGTGCGGGCGAAGCCCATGCACAGATGGACACAAACGAAGGAGAAGAGGCTTCGAAGGACCTCACTTTGATAATCGGGGATGGGATACTCATCCAAATCATGAAGGAAAACCTTTCATGGTTTAAACCCATGTTCAAAGAGGGCTTGATCGTCAGGCAAGCCAAATCAAACAACAAATCTCTACCGTATTTCGTGGAGTCAGTGAGGAAACTCACAAAAGACGTGGTAAATGGCCGCGTCATAAACATCTTGTGCTTCCTAGGCACTTCCGATCTTCTAGGCAAGGACTATGAAATCGGCCAGGAAGGCGAATATGCAGAGAGACTAATCGAATGTCTCAAAGAGATAGGAAAGGAACCAGGAGTTTTGAGTGTAACATGGGCTACCCTAGTTGCACCCCCTGGAAACCAGCTTCAACAAGAGGCTCACGCAATAAACGAGCAGGTAATAGCCTGGCTCAAAACTCAGGATGGATTTAACCATATGAACCTGAGACAAATCATAGTAAACAAATGGCTCGCGAACGGAGAGGGGACGAGCGACCAAGTCGCCACCCAGATACTCTCCAGGAAGGGATCAGAATCCCTCATGGAATCAATCGAAGATTGGTTCTACAAAGTGAACAAATACAATGAGGATGAAATCCTCCGTTGTCAAGAAGAATTTCGCAACGCGAAAAGAATCTCCCAGAAGGAGCCAGAGAAAGAGAGAGAAGGAGTCCGGGTCGAACAAAATGTGAGACCCACAACGGAAATTAACGTGAGAGGCAGCTGGCGTGGGCGTCCGTTCAATCGACATGCTCCGAGAGGGCGAGGACATCCCACCTCTGCTCCGTACCCTCCACGAGGGCAAAGAGGAGCTTTTAGGGGCAGGACGAGAGGCAATAGGAATGGAGGCTTCTGAAAATCAGATCCTCCTTCATCGCCAACTAACTCAAAAGCGCGAATAGGTATTATCTCAAAAAAAGAAAAAAAAATACAAAAAAAGTGCCAAGAAGCCGAAGCGGAGGAGAAAGCCCGGAGGCAAAGGTTAGTTGAATCACTTGAGTCATTTCAATGGAGGTGGATGAAGTCAGAGTGCGAAGCACCCTGTCGGATCACAACCTAATCAGCATATCTATGAAAACGGAGAAAAAGATTCAAGACGCGAGTCTCAAAAAGAGACTCACGATCATGGATTACGACAAAGCAGCTAATCTCACTAGCGACAGTCTCCGTGAAGCCTTACTTAATGACTCAACTGCTAGTCACGAGATCTTAATCGAGAATATCAAGGCTAAAATATCAGAGAGCTCCAAAGCTATCACCATTAAAAGCAAGTATGCTCTGTGGAACAGAGAGATTGCACACCCTGACAAAATTAAGCGATATATCAGCTGAGAATGGCGTAAAGCAAGGAAAAATGCAGCAGCGAATGCTGAGGAATTATTTCTGAAGTTCAAAGAAGCTCAGAGAGAGTTCTCGGAAAAAATCAGTTTGGAAATAGCTGCGGAGGACAGGAAAATGTATGATCACATAGCCCGCTGTCCACGAAACCTTAGAGCCAAGCGTTTCTGGAACTATGTCAGGAATCAGGAAGTCCGACATGGTGACAAGAAAAGAAGTTTATATCAAAGATAAGAATGGCATTGAAGTCAAAGCCAGTAGAATTCGAAGTCATTCGACCGAGACTGTCGAAGACCTTCTGGAAAAACAGAAGCAGTCAACGGGGGAGGATACAAACTATCCCACCCCATTGAAAGCTTCTCAATATGACAAAGTATGCAGAACAAAGCTCTGGGAAGTCCTGGAGAAACACGAACTGCGACGCGACGGGAGGTCACAGAACTATTGAAATTACTATATAAAGAGAATACGGTCATTCTCAAAGCAGAGAAAGGGGACTCGGATAGAGTCGCCACACCAGTAGGTCTAAGGCAGGGTTGTGCCCTATCGCCGACCCTATTTCTCCTTTACATATCTGATCTGGAAGAGCAACTACTCGAATCCAGGAAAGGCTATGACGTGACAATCTCAAAAGACATATTCCAACCTAGGTAATAGTATTCAGAACAGGAAAATTCCTGGACTGCTGTTTGCAGATGATTCAGTGCTAATCGCACACTCGTGGTCAGACATAGAGAAACTTCTCCAAATCACGACTACCTTCGGTGAGGAAAGTGGCCTCGTATTCGATCCCGCTTAATCTGCGGTTTTAGAATTCAATCGGGTAGGCGGCCCGACCGATAGGGACTCATACATTCAGGGAAAGATAATCCCGAATGAAAGATCCTACAAATACTTGGGCACACATCTTAGCATAGACGCAAAATATAAAGGACCAGGAAAAAGAAATTCAGAGGTAGCAGCAGAGCCACTACCGTGTAGAGGACGTTAAACGTCTTCGGAATCGACATTCGTAAGACTCGAGCATCGTCATTATCCCTTTAAAATCAGCTCGTACTTTTAGGTCTCATTATCACTGGTGAAGTCGAACTCTTCACCGAAGTTGGGAAAACATCTTCTTCTAAGTGGAAAATATCTTCTTCTGAGTGGAAAATATCTCCTTCTGAGTTTTGAAAGAGGTGAATGCGGAATTCCGTTGCTAGCCATTGGGCCGTTACGCGCGCTCTTGAGATTTGAAATCGCCCTCTCCCAGGAGCAGCCATGATCACGGGCGAATAGGGCGCATAGGGTGTCATTCTTGCCTCCAGGAGTTGATCTGTGCGTGTGGGAATTCCGTAGGAAGTATATGAAATTGATGTGCCGTAAATTTGCTATCTAAAGACACCAACCGGGTGTCGATCGGTGTAGAAGGCACGGAGCTGCAGGGCGTAGAAAATGGACAAGTTTCGTCACACTTTTGGTGAAATACTAGGCCAACCTTTTTAAAGACGTTTCACGTCGAAAATCTGGAAAGAGAGAACGCGCAAGGCGCTACAACAACTTCATGCAAAAGTGCTGTGGAAATTTAATCGCTTTGAAACGGCGAAAATACAGTGGAAAGCCACGTGCGTTCCAGCGCTTTATTGCTTCATACAGTAAAAGCTCGTTACTACGAACACGAAGGGACCGACGACACTGGTTCGTTGTACCGAGTTTTCGCTGTAACGAATGCCGCTCAACACTTTCCCTATGGCGGGCTGGCCAAAGGAGGAGAAATTCCTTGTTCGTTGTACCGAGAAATTCGTTGTAATGGGGGTCGCTATAACGAGCTTTTACTGTATATGCGAAGCTCCGGGGGATTTTCCCGATCTTCTGTTGAACCACCTCTGCTCAGGCGTCTGTCCCTCTTGCTCATTAATCCAGTCCTCGTGGAATCCGCCAGGCGAGGTCTCGAATAGAAGGCGCGTCGTCCGGATGCTTTGGAGCAGGCCAAGGTTTCAGGAGGCGAATTGTTACTGAGGCTTCTTCCCGGGAGATAGCTCCGGGCTATTCTCTGTCGCAGAGGTGCCGCGACCCCCTCTTCCTCTCGGGATTCCGAATTCTAAGGGTTTGCGATCGACTGTGAGACTGTGATCCCAAGAAGAATGCGGCGAGATATCACGTCAAATAAGGTAAGAGCATGTGTTCTCGCCGAGCATACCTCGCGAGACCGTCAGAGACCAGACATGCAAGGCCAGGTCTTGCGGTTCCGATCGAGACGTAAATATGAGCCGCTCCATTCTGGCGGAACCTAGGCTCGGTCCCGCTTCTCTGATATTATAAGAGCGCATTCCGCGCAGCGATTGACGCAGCTGGCGAGTCTATCTGGCGGCTGAGCCCGGAGTCCCGATCGCTAAATCGGACTCCGGAACTTCTCCCACAAGATCCTGGGGCGAAACTGATAATTCTCTAGCTGCGAGAAGATCATTCGAACCCAGAGATTGATTTTTGAGCTTGACCGCCATTTTTCGCGATATCGGAGCCGATTCCCTCAAGTCTAGCGTATGCTGCGGAGTCACTAGCATCGTGCGACAGATTCTCGTATCGGCCGCGAAAAATATTCCGAACTCAATGCGACCGGAGCGGAAATAATGAGGCCAGGGAGGAATTTAGAGCAGCTGCTCGAAACTTGACTGGTTGATATGCTTTCGGAATTCCAACCCTTTTCGACGAGCGGAAGACAGGAATGGCATGCGAAGTTTACTGCCGGATTCCTCCCGACGGAAATTCCCAGATAAGCCGGGCAGAATTACACTGGGAGCTCGGCTGGCGAGAGCCGAACGCCGGATCGTTGTGTGTGTCCATGTGCACCTCATCTCAGAGCATCCTGGTGCTCTCCCCGTGATGAGCTCAAGGATTGAAAACTTCCGTCTAATTATTGAACAAGATGTTGCGATTCTTCTGTTGTCTGCAGATCCGCTGACTCGGGGGGCGTTATGTGGTAGATTCGGGAAAATGGGAAGCCTAACCCTACGTCTCGGGATTTCATGGTAATGGAAAATAACTCGCTGATAAGCGTTGTGCTCGGTCGTTCGAAAGCATGTTTCCAAGGAGTGACAGGTGTCTGCGTCGGCAACGGCAGAGAGATCCTCTAGTCGACTTCCATGGTGTCGAATACTATTGATCGATATGCCCAGATCAGCCGTCGGTTTCCAGAGCCTGATCTCTGACCCCTGTCATTCGATTCCGCAAAACTTTCCTTTTGAAGACCGCACCTGAGATATCCTAGCAACGGTCAACAAGCTCCAAGCAGGGTTGTGTAATACACATTTTTCGAGGTGAATTTTGGATTCGAGTCCGTAATCGTGGGAAAATCGTACGCCGAGAAATTCGGAAGGGTCTTTTTCTCTCATCCGATCCATGAGAAGAGGAGAATCGGGGAGAAATACTGCTCTTCGGTGATGTATCGTCGAACTGGAATTCGTAGAACAATAAAACCGCACGCTCAGAACCCCTGAATCTCTCGTTCAGTTGTGTGTCTGGATCGGGGAGGAGGAAGGCAGTGAGCCGCATGTTTCTTTTGAAGGAATCACTCCCTCCCTCCCAATCAAAGGTAATAAAGACAACCCTCGAATCCGATTGATTTTCTGGAAAGCCTTTGTCGGATCATCGCCACCGCCCGTCCATGTCTCGAGGCAGCGAGCAGAACCCGTGAGACGAGCAAGCGTGTGAACTTGTTTCGGGATGCTTTCTCAAACATGAGTTACATCACCGATCCAGGCTGATTCCACCGAAACCAATGTTCTCCACGATACCGACAATCGATGATGTCCGGCCCGGATACGCAAGCACGGCTTCGGGAGAAAGATTCGGGAGTTCCGAAATTCCGAGGTTTTATCGTGGAACACCTGAGCTCCGGACAAAGTGACACAGAGTCGAAATAAGGACCGTCGCGAAATCGATGACGTTGTGAGACTGCAAGAAACGTGGGCCTTGCTCCTACCCGCAAGACGTCTGAATAAGAATTCCCAGCCCTCCGGTGATTCAGGGTGAGTGGGCAGGCGGACTAGGAGCCGTACGAACCACGAATCGAGGCGTGACTGGAGAAGTTGTCTGAAACGTTTTCCCATGCCATATGCGAGGCTCCACGCCTTCTGAGAAACATTCTGTGTTTGTGAAGTAACCACAATTCCAGTTGTGTCTGTGGTCAGCAACGCCAAGTTTCGTCAACCGCAACTTCAGAGAGCGTCGCGCTACCGATCCACGAGAAACGTAGTGCAGACATCGAGCATGCGATAGGCTTTCCGAATCGTCTACAAGCTCCCCCTCCTTCTCAAAATTGAGATGTCGAGGACATATGAGATGACCCCGCGGGTCTATGATTTCGCTCACGCTATGAATCGATTCCAACGTATTTTCGTTCGGGTGCAAGCACTAATTTCCATAGGATTGAAATAGGGAGCGGCTGCGACGGTACGAAGCTGCTATCCTCGGTCCGGGTCTTCCATTCTACCGCAAGATTGGGACTTCGGGAACGAATGATTAATGAACGAATCACCACGAATGATAGTCTCCGCGGGATATTCGCCGTGATACTTAGAATACTTTGCCTTTCCACAGACGAAGCTTGACGCTTCCGTCAATCGGACCCTGACAAGACGAGACCCGAGAGCAGCGGAGAGTCTTATCGTGAAGGTTCGACACTGACACGAAGCGCCAGACATAGTGAAGAAGTCCCCGGGGCATATCGCGAGCCCCATTTCGAGGCGGGACCTGTAGACTTCTCATAGAGAAATTCATCTCAAGGTGGAAGAAGGAAAATCAGAGGCTCGGATGGGAACCATTCCGGTTAAGGCGCTTGATTCAGTCTGTGCTTCTTCCCCAAAGCGATCCCATCGTTCGGAGGAAGCTTGCATCGCATTTTTCCCCTTCGGGTATTGTCCAGATCGATATCGGCCAATCATTATAGTCGTGGCAGTGATAGCTCCTATTTGGCTCACAAGACCTGGCCGGAGGGATTCTCCTCTGCAAGGAGTTAGTATTTGAGCGCGACGCCCTCCATAGATATCTCCGATTGCTTCCACCTGGAGAAGAGCTCAAGTCTGGCGAAAAATTCTCGTCCCAAGAGACACCAATGACTCCGCTCTCACAGATGCGTAGGGGGGTCGAGGCATGCATGCTCGTTTCATATGGATGTTGTCGTAAGCTCCCTTCGTTCCTTGCATCCATGTCGACTTTCAGGGGCTGGATCAACGGTGGATTATCTTCGGTAAATCAACGGTCTCCTCGAGGAAGGCACGAAGTTGAACAGGAGCCCGGCGGAGCTCCCTGACGGAGCTCCCTGACGGAGCTCCCTGACGGAATCCTTCGACAGAACTCCCTGGCGGGAACCCTAGGCGAAACATCCTGGCGGAATTCTCTGGCGAACGTATTCGCCCGGAAACTAGAACAAGAAGAAATCGCAGCGGGCTCTCATCGGTGCCCCTACTCCCGAAAGTTAGTCCCGCAGTCGCAAATCTGCGCTTAGCGCTGAAGGAGCCGTCATGGCAGAAGTCAGAAAGCTCTCATCGAAGACCTCACAGCCAGAGTGGTACTTTCGTGCTCGTTCGCCGGGATATCAATCGAAGCGGAGTCGCGCGCAAATCGGTGACATAGTCGCGAGGAGTTCGGCCGCTTGAAATCTCAGCATACAAACCCCAGGATGAGCGATCAACTACATACAACTCCTCCCTGTGAAGCAAAACGTTTTGGTAGGGTGCTCGGCTATCGGAGGAGCTACTGAGTAACCTGCGATCTTGTTTCTGACGCGACGGTAGCACAGATGGCCCAAATCATTTAGTCTCAACGAATAAATTGCAAGAAGCTGATCGCAAATTCGGAGCGCTTCATTTCGCTCCCCGCAAGGTGAGGGCTCGGTGCAGTCAGGACCGATCCGCAGCATAAACACGGAGGAGACCATGAGAGATGGAGCCGGAGACCCCTGCGATACTCGTGAAGTCGATTTCCATACTGAGAAGAGTCGCTCGAAAGAACCCTCCGTGAAGAATATGGATTCCTCGCTCCTAGACACAGCTCGAAACGCCTGCGTATCCCCAGGGAGCGGAGCGGAAATGACGTAGAGCATCGTCTCACCCGAAACTTGAAGGCGGAGCTCCGAGAACGGGCGGAGCTAAGAGTCGGCGAGGAGCTAATATTTTGATAGGAAGACTCATAGGAGCAGCACAGATTCTGAACAGAACTCTGGTGGCCGACGACCTGTAGCGATTGGCGAGCGGAGGCAGTAGGAACGTCGATCGTGAAGACGCACGATCACCGGGAAGGCGCGAATCGTCTCTTATCGCATTCATTCGTCTTGAACGTGTTGTGCGGCTCGTGTTCGGACGAGCGTTTTTCTAAGTCGTCTAGAACTCTTGTTTGTGCATAGAGGTGTGAAGAAGTGTCACCGTCTGGGGAAGAAAATCCCTTCGAACTGTGGAAGCAACATCGTTCCCCACATTGTGATACAACCATGCTACCGTTCGAGACACCGACGATTTTCGACCAGTTGCCGCGGTACATCTACTACATACCGAGAGTCGTCTTGAACCAGAGGCACAAGTTCGAAACTGACGAACTCTTTAAGAAATGCTCCCGCGACAGCGAAGTTCGCTTCACGGGCTACCGGGACAGACCCCGAGAGGAACGCAATTTCCGATTCCAAACAGGACTCCGGGAAGGACACACGGAATTGGTAAGTGGCTTAGAGTGAAATTCGCGCGGATCTGCGGAGAGTCTTGGCATGGCAGGTATTAAGCTTCCCAGAGAATTTCCTGCTCCCTTCCCCCCATCAACTCTCTTTTTCACAACTCGCGGATCTCTCAGTTTCCTCATGAATAGATCAGGGAACATTTCTATTGCTGAGGTCCTTCCCGCCAGACTTGGCAGACTTTCGTATTTTGACGATGACCGCGACACGGAGCTGAGGGACTCATGCGCCACCCTCATTAGAAGCGCACCGGAACTCTGAACTCGGAGACTCGAGCTCATGAGATTTCTTCCTGACACGCTCTCTCTTCCAGGCCTATGTGTCGCACGGAACGAACCTGCAACTCGTCTTTTCGCCCCGCTCGAACAACTACGGGAGCGACTACTGTGATTTCGACAAGGAACAAGGAAAAGTAGGTGATCTTCTCGGAATAGCAGAAGCGAAAATCGGAGAGTGGCTAGTTCAGAGAATCCGTTGACTTCCCGCGAGAACACGAGATCAAGAAGAAAATTGCATTCGACGAAGGTCGTACCTTCCGTCTTTGTTAGGTTTTTAATCACCACCGTTTGGTGTGAATCGGAGTGAATCACTGGGGGCCCGCGGGCAACGTGAGCTAGCCTCCTCTCGACTCAGGCTCCTATCGAATCCGGTCGATTCTTGAACAGCCCGTTATGTAACCCATGTAAATTCTTGTCCTCGGGCTCTCTTCCCACGATATCCAGTGTTGACAATGGTGTATCTTATCGGCATCGAGGGCTCATCATCGGAACGCTCTCGAGAGCTGCCACTCCATGTAGTGATGAGTGCACGTGATCACCTGGGGAGTGGATTCCCGCCCGGCACTAGTTCACAATCTGTAAACATTAAAACACAGCGAACTTTGCGAGGAGAGTGTGTATACATATTGTAAACTGAGCGACCCACACCGGGTCAAGGAGCGTCTTCAACGGCAGTGCGACTATGCTTCGACTCTGCGACTAATACGCGCTCTCGAAACTTCGATGAACGATGATCATTCGAGAAGCATTCGACAAGGAATAAGAATATGGAACGTTTCGCGATGGCTTCACGAGGGAAAACCCAGGACCCACCCGAAGGTTTATTCCCGGGCCTGCATTCGGAGACGAAATTTCGACCGGACGATCCCTCCGGCGCGATTCTGGATCCCTCGGATCATTCGGCTCGAATACCCGAACAAAGCTCTCGTAAGCTGCCCGGAGCACAGCCGCCGGTGCAAATTTGTGCCGTCGAGTCAAGCTCGCAATTTTCCGCTAGCATGTGCTTGAACTAGAGTCGAACATTCATATCTGTTCCCTGTCGTGCCGGTCACGTGCCGAGGATTTTAAATCTCCTCCTGGCAGACTGCTCCGAAGGCGGCGACGGCGACCCAGCGGATGAAGACGACTCGCGGCAAGCCTGCGAGGAGATTCGGAAGGAGAAATTGTAGGTTTCCTGTCTCTAAGCCAGCAGGCAGCTGAAGCCACTGTGTTTTTCGACACGGACGTGATTGTAGTAATTATTTTGGAATTAGGCTCCCTCGTATCCCCGGGGCTCTCGGCGTGTGTCTTTCGAGACAGGACTCGCCTCCCTGGCTTGCCAAGAGTTGAGTCATTGGAATCTCGGCGACCCACGGGGACAAATGTGGATCTTGTTAGTCTCGCTAAAACTAAGAAGTCCTCGATAAACCGAGACGGCCGTCTACCAGGGGACAGGAATCCCTCTTTCTCGTCGGCCGTTGTCGACTTTTTTCGCTTGCTCCTCTATCGAATCGACACGAATCCGAGCAACATCAGAGATGGCAGCATCGACAAGAACACGAGCAACGACAGCAACAACGAGTCATTAAGAGGTCCGCTGGCCGCCCATAGCAATTACGGTGGATTCGAAGACCTTCGTAGGACTGTATCGGCGCTCGTTCGGATGATGCTCATGACGGCGTCGATCGGCGACTTCGTTCTGTCGTTTCGTTGGGGCATCTCGTGCCCGAAAGAGCGTGGCAGCGGAGGCATCATGCGACGAGAGCGTGTCGATGGATCCCGTGGGCCGCATCCGAGAGCGGAGAGGTTCTTGCTTTATTTCCACTCGCATTCGACGTCTCACCGTTCGCTCGCTTTCGTTCGTCACTTGGTCGCTGTGACATTCGCTGTCAGCGCAACGTAGAAATTTGCATTAGTCGCTCATTAGGAGTACGGAGGCGCTCAAGCGAGTAATTTCTATCCGTTGAATAGGAACGCGAGAACATCGACTCTGGCGGTAGCGGCGTCGACGAAGAGAAACATCGGCGGCGTGTAGACAGGAAAACAGACGAACCCGTGAGGATTCGTGCGAGTTTGCAACCGCGCCGCGCGAGGTTCGACCTAGCCGGGTGCGTGCAGCAAACCAGTCATCCGAGGAATCGGGGGATGAAGCTACTCCTCGCTCGGTGCAAGCGCAACGACCGACCACCCAATTGGAAGGCGCGAACCAGGACAGAAAGGAACATTATCTTTAGATCGCTCAGACGAGACTCCAGTCGAGCCATTATTCTGGAGCTCCACCGAACTTGCTGCTTCGGCGTCTGCTGCCAACATTGGCGATAATTATATTCCATCGCGACGGGAGAAAACAAACCGCGCCGCGCGCATTGGGCTTCGTAAGACCGACGACGACGACGACGACGACTAGTACCATCATCAAGAGCATCCATAGAGCACCGTTGGTGACGACAATCGAGCCAGGTGTTGTGTTTTCTTTCTCTCGTACGGGAACCCAAGCAAGCGATCGCTTAGACGGACGGACGAACGGTCGGTCTGCTGGTCGGTCGGACGAACGGACTAGCTGGCCGCTGTCGCCGCCGCCGCCAGCACGGCGATTACGCCAACTACTAGAGAATTAAGAACGACCAGAGTCTGACGGGCAGTCACTCAAACGGCGGCGTCGACGACGCCTGGCCATCCAGATACCCGATACCCATCCGCTGCTTTGTCAAGTCCGTGAGAGAGCAGCCGAAGAAAACGGAGCCGAAGTCATAACGTCAGACGAACGTTGACGTCTGCAGAAAACAAGCACGAGCAGCGATTCAAGAAACGGCTCATGCGGGCCTGCGACTAGCTGCTGGTCGTAAGCCCTTCTCCTCCGAATGTCGACTCCATGTCTCGAAAAACGTACCCGCTCTCTCGACACACGATTGCACGATTGCATGCGGCTTCATTCCAACTACTCCATGTGGAGGCGCGCTATCATAAAACCGGAGCACGGAGGACTTAGCCGACGAAAAATACACACGCTCACCAATTTACTAAAACTATCACGATTTTCATTCTTGATCAGTTCAAACGATTCCTGACGTCAACAGACAATGCTGGGAGCGTGATTCATCCCAGAACCGCTGAACAAAGATTCAGAGCGAAACCTCTTGACGCTCGGCGTTCGAACGTCGGCGTTGGTAGTCGCCTGCTTTGCTCAGTGAGCGGGCAATTTGCATCCAGCGACACGGAAGATGGTGTGTTCTCTCCTCAGTCTGATCCGCACACCCGTCGGATCGGTGTTTCAGTTCGTGAAACAACCTGACGTGACAGACGCTCTCATGCTCGTTCCTTGAACGCCGTCTGATCTATGGATAGGATCGGTTCTCGTGTTCACCCGGTGATACATTCGGTCGCGTTCGAGATACTCACCGAGTGGACACACTTTGAATGGACATTGAATGGAGCCGAGCCTGCACGTCCCGACTTCGAAAACGGAGGCAAAGAAAGAAGAGAAAGACGAACAGACAAACACCTCGATGCTCATAAAAATAGGAGAAGAAAAGATGTCCATGATCATTATGAAGGCGAAAGCGATGCCGAGACTTACATTTTTCCTGAATGAGCTTCTCCAGTAGTGGTGTCGTGAGAAGACACGCTGCTTCTTGGACGTCGATGAGCCGGTGCCTCGGGATGTTGCAGAAAGAAGTAAACAGACCTACCTGCGGATATTATGGGTTCACGCCTCGCCAGGCGCCTCGGGTTGCCGGCTCAGGATGAAGTCCATCGAGACGATCCGTCCGAAAACACGGTGTCTGTTCCGGACCCAGAAAAGCATCGGAAGCCTGACCATGACCAACCTATATGTTCGGGACTCTGGAATCCTCGAAAGATAAGCTGGGATTCGAAGATTCACCCAATTTACCTACTTAAACGGGTTCAACGACTTCATAGCGCTCAAAACACCTGATTTCTTTTTGAAGCTCATGGTGGAGCACACTTTTCACGCCCGACGGCGCACGGTCCACCCGCACACATGGCGAGATGCTCGCGTCAAGTCGTAAAAAAAACTTGTAGCTTCAAGACACATTTGGGTTCATTCTCTTTCCCGTATCCCTGCGAGCTACCGATTCTGGGCAGGGAACTCGTTCGATGGAGCTGACGTCCGGATCAGCTTCCGTCCGAATCTTGGATCAAGTCGTTTCTTGAAAAAAACTCTGACTGATGCACGAGCTTAAACTACAATCGAAGTGTTCGTGGCGGAATGCGCGAATGCGGACCTCTATCGAGGAGAAAGCCCTTCCCTGCTCGGTTCGTCTCATCTGATGCCTTTTCTCATCGTTTGACTTCCTATCAGATACTCTTGGTGGCGGTTCGTCATGTTCTTCAGAGACGATTCGGGTAGAGGCTGACGGTGGAAGCGCCGGAGCAAGAAGAAGGCATTTTCTCCCCGAAATTCACTTAGGGACTTAGACGTTCGGGGAAGGCTCTCCTGAGGCGTCGGTGGCTCTGATCCGCGAAAGTAATTAAGAATGAGATCAAACTATTATCAATGCGACGGTTAGGTAAGAAAGAGAACTCGGACGATAGTGGGCCAAATTTTAATCAAAACTCATCCGAGAGACAGAGACCAATCCTCGAAATTTGATTCTGGAGATCTCCATGACGGACTCGCGACTTGCTGACAACTTGTAGATTCATGATCGGTCGAGAATGAGCACTATAGAACACTCAAGAAGACACACCTTCGGTCGTTCCTTACGCTGTGAGCAGTGCCCGAACAGACACCCCGGTGTCGGATTTCTTTGGCGCATTTCTATTCTAGTACGAACATCTGCCCTAAACCTCGTCCACTGTCGATCTCTACTATGAGGAGCTCACCCATGAACAGATCACCTCAGACAATCGTACATGCGAGCATACAAAAAATAACACAGACGTCGAGGGAACAGCCAATACAAACACTGATAAGCGGTGGAAAGAACGAGAAGCCGAGCTGCTCGGATACAGAGGGACAGATAGACTCTGAACATTAGAGATTTTATCAGATACTTCGGGATCAACGATCCTAAGTGGCTCGCAAACGATTGTGCTTGTTAGGATCTTCGGCCGAAAGGTCGACAGCTCTTTTTCGCTGGGACACCGACATCTCAGGACTACATGGCTTCAGAGCGCAGCCTAGGCTGAGTTCGAAATCGAACACACTCGAGAGGATACGAGCAGCTATGTCCAAACATTCCTCCAGCCCCTCCATCATCGTCCAGATTCTAGACTGCATACGCGTGGTACTCGCAAAGTCATTAGCGTCCTGCCACCGGACTCGTCCGAGGAGAAGCCGGACTCTATAGTAAAGTTTCCCTTTTGGCGTGTCGGCAGCAGTGCTGCTTTCGCCGCTAAGCTCTGTGGGGAGTTTCGGAGGACCGGCAGGCCCTTCGTCCCGACATCGGAACGGGGAGGTTGCTATGGAGATTGCACTCCCGGAGGCGCATAACATTACCTCGTAGCTTCGGGGGAAGAGGCTGGGGAAGGCTCTCTTCGTTTCGCGATGCCGTTCGTCGGAGCGTCTCAACAAGCTCGGCAGACAGAATGGGGAGGCGAAAGAAAAAGATTCATTGCCGAACGCCGGTTTCGTGTTTTCGGCATGCATTCGGAACTCGGTGACAGAAATTCTCTTCGAGCTGCCTTCTAAAAATATCCCGCTCTAACTTCAGGTACACATTCAGAGCTCCTTCATCATGAACGGAGTCTGCGTACGATGGCGAGGCTGGATCGATCTTCAGAAACTCGAAGGAACTGGCTGCTTGGAGTTCGACGAAGAGAAAGCCAAGGTAGGGTTTTGACGTTACGCTGGCTTTCGATTTTCTCATCTGCGACGGGAATACGCTAATCGGCGCAGTCGGTTACGCGTGTACGAATTACGCGAATAGTACTCGTAAACGTTAGCTCCTTTCTTGGTGGCTACTCGGTCGGTATGTTTCTCGTATCGTCGACCGAAAGAAACGGGTGTGGCTCCTCTGAAGTTCGAGAGCCTGCTTTTATATGCTGGATCATAACCTGAGTAGCAATTAAGTCAATTGATGCCTCTTTCGAAGAAGATTCGGAGACAAGGCACGCCTGCCTCGCCTGGCAGCGCTTATATTCCGATTTGCTGTTGCTGCTCCCGGTCGAAGCCTGTTGTCGAAGTTCCTCGCTTCACCCGTTGCCTGATTTTCGACAAGCGTTCAGAGTGCGGCTGTTTTTCCCTCTTGCCGACACGTACTAACGTCTCAAATCGTTTCCTCGCAGATCGAAGACGAAATTTTGAAAGCACAAATCGCAAACCATAGAGAACGCATGCGAGAATCGGATTCCAAACGTTTTATCAGGGACTCGGTCGAAGGCGAGACGAATATCGCGTACCATCCAGCATGACGGTGAGTTGATTCTCTGAGGATCCAATAATTATTTATCAACGAAGAAGAGTGCGAGCTCTCACGTCTAAGGTCTTGCCGTACGAATGGAGTTGAGCGCGAATCTATTATTTTGAAAATAACCTCAGCCGTCAGACTAATCAATCAAATAATTCGAATCACTTTTCACGGCTGACGAAAGAATCGCTTATTGATGAAAGCGACTTTTCACGCTTAGAAACGTTGTTTTTGTTGCTCTACCGTCTGTCCGTCCGATCGGTCAGCTCTTAGGCTGGCTCTCTTCGATCTGACGGGATTTCTCTGTGCGTGTTCCTTCTTCTTGTTGTATTGTGTGGCACGGTTGCATTCTTCGAGGCCTCTGTCGTTGGACCAACAGAGCGATTTCGATGGAAGAATTTCTCACACCGCTCTTTCGTCTCATATCCGCTTCGTAGCCGAATAACTTGTCTAGCTAGCCCTTGATTCGACTTCTGAGTGTGATCACCAGAGGAAGGATAGGATATGATATTGATGCAGTAATAGATACCTTATTTGATGATGTCGTCGGGAATCTGAGCACATAATTCTATCACGCCTCCATGCTGCAACATGGGAATTGTGAAGTCTATGATATGCGGGACGACGAGACTTCGAAACATGGGACTCTCGCAGAGGATCGAAGACGACTCCTCCGATGGGATGAAGAGTGCCAGAGATTACAAAAGTCGGCTTGATGCATCGACACTCAGAATTAGAGTCGCTTGTGCGCCACCAGTTGCACCTTTATAGCGTCACACCTCCTGATGATCCCGCTGGGCTTGGCGGGGTTCCCGATATTTCTATTCACGCTCCCCTTATTACGGTGCGATTCTACCTCTCATCTGGTCCACACATATATTGGTGCTACTCACGCAGTCTGTGAATCAAGCGAGAAGCCTCTGATTTGTCAACGGATCCATTGTCCCTTGAACGTGGGGACTTGTTTTTTTTCCCTCGCAGTCCCTAGCGCTCGGACCTTCCCCGATTTAGAATCCGACGGCCCATTTCTCAGAAGTGCTCTCCCGACTGTTCCGATGAGAACTTTCCAGGGAGGTGTACATCGAGAGTCGTCGCGCGAATTTCTGTGTTCACAGTTTGCTGCGCTCCGCATGATTCCGTGATCCTGAGTCGTGCAGTAAACCAGACTCGCCCCAGAGAAGGGAACCTCGATTCTTTCGTTCCTCGAGTCCCGATCACCTTCTGTTGACTGACTCGCTGATCGGCTTAGCATCGAAATTCTCGAATTAGGATTAGTGTCAACACCCAAAATACGGCAAGTCATTCGGCTCGGAGGTGCTGACTTCGAAACCAGATTATCCACGAGAAGCCGAGTGCAGAGTCAGACGGTCATTACCGTCCCCATGGTCGAACCTCACCAAAAAAAATAGCAAGCGTGAAATCATAGTCATTTCGTGCATTTGACTGCGTCTTAGCAGTCCCTGTGCAACACTCAGACCGGATATTTTCTGCCAAGATCCTCGCCCTCCTTTCAGTCTTAATTAAGATCAGAGGCAAGCCACCGCGACTGCGCCACAAATTTACCGCAGCCTTTCCTGAGGTCGGGTGGTTTTTGGTCATCTAACGGCTTCACCTCTGATTACTTGATGTGGATCTAATCTAAATGCGGGAAGACTCTCGCTCTCGGATGAAAGTTGAACTCGAAGCAGACGGTCGGAAATTCTGGAAGTTTCGTTTCGAGAATTGAAGTGCTGAGAAAATTTTCTCTTTGTTGCAGGCGTTGCAAGGAAATCCTCCTCCCAGACACTCTGTCCCCATCCCACGTTGCCTTCCCTCGAGGTTTGCTTCCGTCAGCGGAGATCTCTCATCCATGTTAGGTAAACGCCGTACATCACAAAACGGATTGTTATAGTGAATCTCACGACGGAATTCGCGGGCTCCCGTTCTCAAGCAAGACCGACTTCCGCGATGCGAACATGAAGTTACATCTAAAAAGTAGATTCGTGTTGATTCTTGCGAGTTTTCTACGAAGTTTGTTAGATAACAAGAACTCCCGCTGCCGGAGGATCATGACGAGATGCGAGCTCCCGCAGGAGCTCCGAAACAATTCTGACAGTGTTCGATGACGCTTCCTGAGGAATATCGAGCTTTCTACTAGAATTGAAAAGTCCCTTGGATAACGCCGGTGTAAACTCCTGTGAATAAAAGAGTCTGTATATAATGGTACCTGTGCAGATTTCATTCCGATTTCAGTATTCTTCCACAGCAGTTCATCTTGCAGATTTTTGCTAGCGCTCGAGATGAAATATGCTTCTGCTCATCGGTTCCATTCTTCCGCTCGAAATTGAGGAGAATTCACCTCCGCCTGAGCTTTCGAGGGATATTGAATCGCCGGGAAATCCTTGGTATTATTTTATTATTATCACACATTCAGTCGATTATCTACCCAGGGATGTCTTCTCTTTGAGGCTCCTCTCAATTCATTGGAGAGATGATTCCGCTCCCGCAAACGGTGTTCCGCTCACACGCGTCGCAGAGCTCGAGCGTCCCGAGTTTCGAATGTGTGTTTGCATACAGTCAGGCGAAGTGCACCTCTAGAGTCCTCCTATTTCCTCCCATCGACTCGCTGCTCGTTCGCTCTCTGTCGAAATGTGCGCCCCAATCTCTATTGTCGTCACTCTCTATCCCCATTTCTCCTCTCCTCGTTCAGAACGTTTATAAAATTACGAGCAGCGAGTCGCGACTCGGAGCTCGCAACAGCAGAAGGTGCGAAGAAATTAAGATACCTCGCTCCTCTCATGCTCGGCGACGATCAGCATACATACAGGGTGCTCCGAGTGCTGACTCACTCGTCCGGCTTGACAAATCGTCAGAGAACTGTACGATCGCTTCCTTGTTGGGGATCCGCAGATCCACCTGAGATTAACGATAAGCTGGTCCCGGGGAAATTTCCGACAGAAGCACACCGGGAGAGAAATGCGCTACCGAGGGCGATACTCAATTAGCGATGTAAAGGACTAGAATCAAGTTCTAGAAGAAGATTATTCTCAGCGGATCTGTGAAGAGGTGTCGAATTACGGTACCTAGTCGAACGCCGGCGCCAGACAAGATCTCAAACAAGCTGCTGTATCTGCGACGAAGAGGCAGACGAAAGCCCGGCGAACGAGCGAGCAAGCGAACTCCAACACGAGGAGAGCATCGGCCAATACGTAGTGGTGAGGAAGAATGTTTTGATCTGAACTGCCCAGCCAGTCCTTACGTAGGATCATTGAGTGCTCCTGCTGATCAGGGTAGACGTCGAGCCGTCTCCGCCGGGGAGACCCCAGAGACGAGAATTTCTGTCGGGAATGGAGCCGATCATAAAGCTCCCGAACATCTCTCACTTAGAGGACCCCGTCCCTCTGAACCTGCTAGAGCGGCGCTCCCCAGCGTTGTTCATCCTTGGTACTACACGGGGAAGTTGAGTTTCCCGACTCCGCTCTGCCACCGAATGCCACCTCAAGAACCGAGGATCCGACGCGAGGGAGGAGGCACAAGCTTGCATCGTGACGCCAGATTTTTCAGCTCTTGATTCCTCAAGCCATCCATCGGGGGAAAGCTTGCATCTGAAGAATCGCCAGCTGATCCAGCAATCACCCTCGTCTGATTCAATGATTTGTGGCTTGAGAAATCCTGATCGCACCGTGTGCATCTTGAAGAAGCTTCGAGTATCTTGCGGGATACGCGTACCCCCGAATGGGAAACGCTGTGCCGGAGCATGCGAAAGCTCAAGGCTCCGAAGACTCTTCTGAACGGCCTCGGTTGTGCTCCGAGCGGTTCTGCTTTGATGCGGTTTTGCAGACGAATCATCGAGATACTGCCGAAAAAGAGCGGAAAATAGGTCTAATTAACGGAGCGTGCAGGTGGACGGTCGGTGAGATGAACCGGCGTGGTCTTCGGGCGATCCGAAGCCCAAACTTGGATGCAGGCATCCCCGTAGAGCCCCGGATCTCAGAGATTCATCGGAAATCTCCCAAACCAGACCCGAGAGCTACTTGATCGTCCGTATCTGATTGGTGAGTCGTCTCTCTGTTTGAAGAGATCCCGTAGCGCGACCTGCAAGCGCCTAAACGTCTTCTATCGATTCCGACAAGTGTGAGCGGCGGCGAGACGATCGAATTCGTTGATTTCCGATTGAACGATCGTTTTCGGATAGACGTCATCGGCGACCCGAAGAGAGGTGAATCGAGTTTACAGAACTATAAGAACTGAGTCAGCGGAAACTTCATTTTCTCTGTTGAGGTCGAAGAAGATGTCGCTCAAAGTTTCAACGCCCAGTCAGAACTCAGGTGGAGGTAAACGGCTGTAGCAACAAGCATCTGTTGAGTTCCGACGGAGGCGTCTGTTCAGAGTGGGGTCGCTCCGAATCGTCAATTTTCAGACACGCTGTTCGAGCCGGGGTGTTTTGACAGCCATTGTAGTCGCTGGCACAAGGAATGATGAGGGTCGACTGACTGACTGACTCCGGATCTAATGGAGGGAGTCCGATAAGATCGCAACTAAGTTATTGCATGAAATTGCTCTCACTGCTAAGAAGCGTAAACTCGGGAAGGGTGCCTCTGTCGATCGCTTGCACACTATCGCACTCCCTCGATCTGGGCGACTTGCATCGATTCGGGAGCTCGACTTCACGGGCATGATCTACTCGAAGCACCGGAATCTCTCTTCATCGTATGACGCTAGAGGCTTTTTTCCTCAACCGATTTTCGGCTCGCTCTGACGCTGCGCCGGGGGAAATTCCGATCACCCCATCACACGAATCCGTGGCTTCGGATTGAGTTTTCCACTTCTCTCGGCCGCTATCCGCTCGTCTGGTCCATGAATCTGGATATCCTACTCGCGGATGTTCAAAGTCAATCTCTCCTGAGCGGGACCGCATCTAGGTAGTCGAATCAAAATGGGCGGGTCACTCTTTCGGCTCGCTCGCATAAAGCGGGGTAGCTGACTGGCCAGCCTGCTTCGATTTACGATAGACGTCCGCTTCGAAAGAACAGAAACGCATGAAGAGCGGCCGCAACGCCAGCGAACGACAAGGATTGTTCATCCGCCGCCGGCTGCGCTGATTCTGTGACTCGTCAGCTTGTTTCAGAATACGTATTGGCCGCGACATTCATTTGGAAGCTGGCTCGCACTTCATCCGTTCCTAAGTCGGGTCGTTGATCAGGTGATCATCCATGATCCTCGCCCGATCGCTACAAGTCATTAGGACTCGTCTCATGTCGGCATCTCGCACGAGACTTTCGGATGGGGTTCTTTTGATCGAATAACGAGAAATGAGCGGTCGTCCTGCATGCGGATACCATGCAGGAATCTCTCATTTTGAAATACATATAGGATCCGAATGCCAGCAAGCCCAGATTTGCGTGTTTATATGTTCAGAAAATTAATCCTCGAGTGTATCGGATATTTCCCTCTTCTTTCTCACGGAACTCGATGCTGTCGAATAGGATCCGCTAAACGAGCGAATATTGACACAAGTGATCACCTATTAGAAGTACTCCGCCCCTTTATATGCTCGAGATCAACGCGGGGTTCGAATCTTGTGTGATACACCATGATTCTCGTGCACGAGAAACAACTATTTCTCGTCACGTGTCTGAGGGATCCGATCGCGGGATCAAGCTCTGTTTAACGTGATCTTCCGCTAGGGCTCACTCGTCTTTGAGCTATAGCTCATAGAGCAGTTGAAGTGATACCCAAGCTCTCATAAGGAGAGCGTGTTTGCACCATTTTCGCAAGTAGTAGCAAACTGCGCCTGAGAGCGAGATTGGGAAAATGCTCCATTGGGAGGACGATGGCGCATTCGGAGTCTCGGGAAGCGCACGGAGCCGGAGAGCCCGATGGGATTCGGGCCCGAGCCTATTTTCGAGAGCGATATCGTCTCGCTGAGATACAAGAAGTTTGTTCATCAAACAATACCGACGGCTGGCGCCAAGCGGCCTCGGCTCGAACTTTCCCATAGAATCACATCATAAATCTGGATCCAACACCGAGCTTGTGAATATTTGTCAATGGACGGTGCGCCATACCTTATCAGGTTCCGTCGGACTCAAATTCGTTCATCAGAATCGTCAAGGCGACACCGCGTTTCACAGAATGGACTCGCCGGATTTTCGCTTTCGGATAAAGAATTGAGAATTTCTTCTCGTCGCTGTCGTTGTCGTTGAGTTTCATGTCCGAGCAATGTTCTCAGGCAACGAGAATCACTGGGCGCGTGAAGGAGAAAAAATATCCGAACGCTTCGGTCGAGTGCCTTCGACTTCAATCTGGTCAACATCGATTTTGTGATCGGAACTCGAAGTGCGAACTTGACTTCCTGCGTCAGATCACCGAGCGAGACGACGCCTTTAGTCAGTGATACGCTTCTCGTCCTCTCGACTCGTCCGACGCTCGCTTTTCGTACCTCTGCTGCTGCTGTATCTATCGCCAGACAACCGTTTTCCTCTCCTGAGGTGCCTCCGCTCTTCTCCCCGTGCAGCCAGCGCTTGCAAAGAACCCAGCGACAAGCAGCGCACTCCCCACGCTCCCTCTGCTCCCCTTGGAGGGCCCTCGAGGCTCCGCCTTCGAGAGCTCCATCTTGGATAATTTGCTTCACTCCTTGGCGTCGAAGGCAACTCGTCCTGCAGGACCGTCGGCTACCAGTCGGTCGGTCGATCCGTCAGTCAGTCCGTCAGCAAGCGAGTTCCCGAGTCGGCCGACCGCTTCTTCTCTGGTTCCCGGGATTCTTCCCTGACGATCCATTGGGTTTCCCTGATTTTTGTTCAGAAATCTCGTGTGCCAGCCACCGGCGCAACGTCACAATCGTGCTTCAAGCTCCCGAACCAAAAACTCGCAATCGTGGGCTGGAGTGAAATAGGCGTTCCGGGTGGTACCCGGAGGATGCTGCCCTTCGAGACGCCTTCGGTGTTCGATCAACTCCCGCGGTATTTGCTCAAAATCCCGCGGGTGGTCAAGGACCAGAAACACAAGTTCGAGACTGAGGATCTATTCAAAAAACTCAGCCGTGAAGGAGAGGTGAGTCAGGTTTCTCGACGTTTTCGAGAGGTACCGCTATCGACTCGATCCGGTATTCGTGTCTATCAAGCAGACTAGCACGTCAGGAATTCGTTGCGATCGGAGCCCTCCGGTGAATAGGACAGATTGCAAATTCTGATGGCCGGAGCTCCCCCCAAATCTCAACAAGAATGTTTCTCTTCGTAATAGAGAAACGACGCTCGTGATCAATGTGAATGAGCAATCGATGTGAAGTGCGCATCGTCACACCGCGGTGAAGTGTCCTCGAAAACTCGGGCCTCGAGTGGATCCGAAGCTATTAGTGTCGTCGAGCTGGGCTCTCAGGCGACAAGGGCTCCAGAAAAAAACTCAATTCTGCGACAAAACTAAAAGTGGAGTCCCTTCCCCAATTGTGAGCAATAACGCCGAGCTTCGGCGAGTTCCTTCGGGGTATGCGAGTTACATCACGAGATCTGCATCTCGATGGCAGCTCGAAGGCTTTGTATGTCCAGTGGCCCCGAATCGGCTTCGGCTCGGAACGATTCGGAACAGCGACTCCTACTCTCTGTGTTTCCAAGAATTCAATGGGGATCCAAAGATCTTAGCTCGACCGAAAATCAAAGCCATCCGTTCAGACAAGTATGTCGATAGAGGGGACGCCCCGGGACTTACGTCATCTCGGACGCATACGGTGACGAGGACCGATTTCGAATATGCAAGACTATAACACCGGATGCTGCGGTCGGAATCGCCTGTGCCGAGTCAACAAGCTGCTGGTGAAATGCCAGACCGCATAGTATTTATTGTTTAGGTTATCTCAGTTCAGCTACGTCGAATGTTCTGTCGTACGAACTGTGCTCACCCCGCGCATTATTTCAGGTGAGGTACACTGGATTCCGTGACAGACCGCGCGAGGAGCGCCAGATCCGTTTCCAGAGCGGAGTCCGAGAAGGACATACCGATATCGCCTTCGTCGCCAACGGAACTAATCTACAGCTCATGTTCAGCGCATGTCCCCCTGTCCTGGGCTACCCTCAAGACTACTGCGATTTCTCGAAAGAAAGGGGAAAGGTGAGAATATTCGCTACGAGACAGTGTCGAGGATATCACTCGAGGAACCATCAAATCAAACCGCAGAGTCAGTAGGTTTTCGCTGTGAGCTTCCATTCAAGCGATATGTTCAATGAAGGTCCACTTGCGGAGCTCTTTCATCATGAACGGCGTGTGCGTTCGATGGCGAGGCTGGATTGACCTTGAAAGGCTCGACGGTATCGGATGCGTGGAGTTCGACGAGGATCGGGCCAGGGTAAGAGTCATTCAAGAGCTTCTTGTCTTGTTCGGGCAGAACACGTCATGAAGCGTAATGTCACGCGCTCTATCCGTGTCTCAACAGATCGAGGATGCCATACTGCGCGATCAGATCGAGGTCTACAACCAAAGACTGCGGCAACTGGAAGAAATCCGTAAAGTCCACACAGTTAAGCGCGAAGATGAGGTATTTGCCTTCAATCACCCGTTCACGTCTTTTTTTTGTTCGGTGTCCCTCGCCTCCGGTTTTCACGTTTATGGCTAGGGGAGAAATTGGAACTCCGAATGCGATTCGTAAGAGCAGAATCTCTGTTCGTCTTCCAGGCTCGTCGGAGGCGTGACTTCGAGAAGGAACCACATGACAATAACAACGACGAGATGATTCTACCTTAACCGTCGAGGCGCTTGCGTGCAATACAGTTGCGAATACTCAATAGGAGAAGGAGTAGTTGATAGAGCAGCACTCGAAATAAAAGCCTCCAATGGTATTGGTGCGTTACCTCTGCGACTTGGGTCCATCCCGAGCTCGGCGACTGAGCTTCTGGCGGAATCTGCTAATAAGACCATTCTCAGCCCTTGTGTTGTCATCTTGTCGTAGAAAAACTTTGTTTATTTTTGTGATGATCTGGAGATTCTCTTGAAACAATAGTCGATGTGCTCGTATGTATGAATCGCAAACATCAGGCTGCCGTCGATCTGTGCAAGATGGCTGCTGGAGGCTTCCTCGGTCCCCTCACTCGCAAGCAGGAGACATGGAGTCTCCTGATATGGACGGGGGGTCATACCCTAAGAGTGTACTTAACCCCGCGCCCGTCGGGCTCTATCGCCCGTCGGACTCGGAGTGAGCGGGGACTCGAATGGCACGCTCGATGAATTCCTCAATAAAAAGATCTCATATCCATCTGCAATGCGCTCGCTCGGTAGAGGTTGATCCGATCCCTGGAGCTGCTCCGTGACAGTCTCGAGCGGCGACAGGAGCGACGTCGATCCGCTTCCAGCACGCGTACGATATTAAATGCGAAGTGTCTCTTCCCTCTCTTATACAAATCGGTTTTGAGCTTTCCAAAAGCTCCATTGGGGACCCGAAGTTTCTCTCCTACGATCCACCCTGTTTCGAACTCCTGCTCAGGGTGTTCTCGGCTGATGACGCATCCCTAATGCATTCGGCACTCAACGCGCTCGCTTTGTTTGAGAATTCAATTAGATCTTGAGAACATACTGCATGCTTTCTCTTCAGAAATTCGCGAGACCGTGATTTTCGTTGCACTGCCGCCACCCTCGCCGCTGCAAGACTAATGGAGAGATTATCTTTCGAAATGGCGGCAGGATTTTTCCAGTCAGTGAGCAAATTGGGCCTTATGGGAATGAATTCATAAAGAAATTCTGAGCCCTCGGCGTGAACGTCCTCGAAGATGATTCAAGTGCTTCTTCCAATAATGAACATCAGTAAGGCTGGGAATAATTCACGGCATTTTTCCCGAAAATTCACGGCAATTCTCACCCCCCATTGACTTCCTATGGAGGATCGCCTGAAAATACCGTGAAAATTCACGGCTTTTGGCGCGATCGCGTCAACTTCCCAGCCCCAAATATCAGTCGGTATGACTTCATTGACGGGAATCCGAAGATATCGACGAATAGCGGCTGGAAAGTGCCCGTCAGAAGTACGAGTTTTCACGTTCATATTATCCCCCGAGTCAGTCGTAGATACCTTTGTATAGCCTTCATTTCAATTTATTCCTCGAATCCGTGGGGAAGCTCTCCTGGAATTCAGGAGCATGAGTTTCGATAATGAGATCTGCCCTTGCACCATCAAGCCAGGTGTGGCCTTGGTTCTCACCGAGTTCGGGCAGCTCGATGATAATCTACATCTCCGAGAAAAGGAGCCCGGAATAGAGCCGCTCTCGGGAATGACCTGTCCTGGAAGATCTCCAGCCACTCCGCATAAGGAGCATTCCCAACCGCAAGATAGTTACGTATAATGAGACCACTGATAGGAAATTTACATTTATTCAACCTACGAGATCAAAAAACATCTCTGTGTGATCGCACAACTCCTTCCTTGATTCTATACGTTTGAAAGACACATGTGACTCCAGCGGAGACGATTCCTTCATGGTCCGACACAGCACGTTTCCATACGAGCTGACGTTCAGGTCGACACGGCCAAGGACGAAATACTCGCGCTGCCCTAACAATTGATCGCATCCACTTTTCTCGAACTGGAGGGACACCAGACTCCAATCGCTCGTTTGCTTTCCCGGGCTTTGTCCGTTTCATCTTCCTTAATCGATGCATGTTTTGTGCTTTCACAAACAGAGCCTCGCACAAGGAAACATCGGAATCTAACACTGATCAAATCGCGCAATGTCAACACTCATCTCGTGCACGCGTCTTCCCGGATTTTCTTTTTTGTGGCTTCTTCGAGGACGGCGAAGAATCTGTGATTGAATAGCGCGGGTCTCCGATCCGGGCGACATTCAAGGTGTCCGAAATCATCGGGATGGATGGTCAGATGCGTGAAATCCGAAATTAAGTTGAGTATGCATCGACGGCGAGCTTCGACCATACTCCGCAAAGTACGTTTCATTTGGCGCAAGGCTCGGCGAGCGACGTTCAGGAACCGACGTATCTGGCCATCGTCGAGGTCGAAGCTGTAGCCGACGCACATCACATTACTGACCGCTCGGAAGCACTGGTCATGAGCCCGTAACATCTCGTCGTGATCAAAAATCGCGTCGTGAAGTCTGGCTCTCTCGAGGAACTCGACAACTTCCGATTCGAGATACGGTACTGTGAGGAGGTCTTCCAAGCGGACCGTCAGCTTAGTGTTCCGTTTCTGACTTGGCCTGAAACCCCCATAGAGCCGCCTTGCAACGAATTTGATGAGGAGAGTCTGCAGAAGGAGCAAAGAGGAAAATTAGATTAATGGGAGGGACCCTCTCCGGAGGAATTCCTGCATCCATAAGCCGCGCTACGAAGGGACTCTTCTTCGACTCGCTCTCAGACAACGAGGATGGATATCTGGAGTTCCGAGTCGATCCTTCAGTTTGGAGCTCCGTCCGGTGTCGGAGCAGAAGAATCCCCTGAGATCGAGCGATTACCTGCCTATTCCAGATCGAACCCGAGCGCTCCTCAGATCGATTGTGAGTTCCGGGGAGATCAGAACGATTTTCAGATGCTCCCAGAGACCTCAAGGGACGCAATCGAATCGAGAAACTGGAGGAATTGCCTCGATGATATCGACTTCGGGAACCTCCGAATAACTGCTCGCAGCATCTCAACGCAACCAGCGTAGGAGGTTTTGCCCGGTGGCGGCGGCACCGCCAAGTGTGAATGCAGAAGGGCGAACGTGAACAGGTGTAGCAGAGCTCGCGGACACAGGACGTACCTTCAATTTTCTCTGATTGCTGAGGTGCTCGAAGTAGGACACCTCTCGTCTCGGGACGGGTAATCTCGCGGATCTTCGCGGTGTTGCTCCGAGGGTTCTGAAGCTCCTCGGAGCTGGAAGTCGACTCATCTGAAATTATTGAAATTAAGAAGAGCTTATCACGTGATCAGCCGATCTCGGGCGCCAGGGTCCGGCTCGAAGTATTCCCGAGTCCCTCCTCGAGGTGGCGGTCGATTTTTCTTCTGGAAGTCCCAGTATTTCTCGATGAACTTTCACTGGAATTCTCGGCCCACGGAGCTTGAAAGCCTTCCCGATCACCTCACCGGTCGAGAGGACCCCGATAGATTCTGAACGCTCACATACAGACCCTGCGGAAGCTCCGCCGGCGGGAGTTCATCTGGGAAGATGTTTCAAGTTTCCGACTAGCATTCGAGGGAAAGCCCGCGACGAACTCATCCCAGACCCAATTGGACGCACTCTCTTTCCAGAACGAATTTCCAGATCAACTCACGAGCAACTATATCTCCCCCGCTCACTTTATCGAGTCGCCGAGAGTTGACAGCTGCGGAAGGCACAAAAAATTCGAAGACTCCTATTCGAATCGGTCACATGTTCTCAAAGCTGGCGAATGTTCGGCCATTCACCTTGTCGAGACAGATATCAAGTTCGGATATCAATGTGTTCAATATTGAATGGAGAGGAAGAACTCGGAATTTTTCGGCCGCGAATGGATATCGAGGACCAAAAAGTGAGCCATGCTGCAGGCGTTGTTCGAAATTCTGAGTTAGACATCGGAAACCCGCAAATCGAAGACACATGATCCACAGGATGAGCATCCAGATAAGACGTAACTCACCTCTCGAGTTCGAAGAGGAAGAAGGGACTTTTTGAAGACCAACAGGTTTGCCTGTTTCCTCTCGGAGATGTCCTTGATTTCCGAGAATGCCCCGGAACTCGGGAGCCGAATCCTTCCTCCAAGCAGCTCCGCCCTCCACGAGCCTGTCACGGGTACACGGAAAGCTACCGGAACTGATCCGGTCGGGCGTTGGAGTGCTCCATGAATTCAAGGAAAAACTCGACCGCTAGTTGTGGTGACTTGTTGTGAAAATGATGATGACAGAGCAGACGACTTTTGGTGAACAAATTGTTTGAGGTAAGGCGGTGGATTCTCACGGCAGCGGATTGCACTCGCAGAAGATCTCGGGAGGTCGCGGAACCATAGATCGAGGGGAGTCTGTCGAAGAGTTGATTCACGGAGATTCAGCATGCTCTTGCGCAGTCGGGTCGTCTGCTAACCTACGGGAAGCGTCAAAGAGACGTCCCCGACGGAAAGCGCTCCGTGGGTCATCAAGAATTTTGTATCGGGCGGCGCGGCGGATCCCGGTGGGTCGACGGCAGCTTTTTTCCGTAGCTTCCCGCTTCCCGACCGGTCGGTCGGGATGTCGACAGAGACCGCTTAATTCTTATTTTCTCGGACGGGGCAGCCGAGAACTACGACCCCGAGCGTACTCGCGGATGTCAATCGGAGCACAATTCCTCATGTCGACACATCCCTTAGCGGCACCGAAGCCATTTTATGAACTACCTTAGATCGAAATTTTCAATCGAATTCTCAGCCGATGCGCAGACCGAAACAGGAGAGACTCGAGTCGTGACATCACATGATCAGAAATCTCGCCCCCCTCGGACGGGATTGCTCGCGAAGGAACTGACCGCCGCCGCAAGGGCGTGAAGTGCGTCGCAATTCTCCATGATGGTCCTGATGATCTCGCAAAGTCGAATTGATGCCCGTCCCTTTCTTGACGAGTTTTGCGACTGTCGTAGTTCGATACTTGCTTCCTTCAATAGGTATGTGTAATCGGGGGCTCCATGATGAGATCTTTCAGAAATGATGAATGATCTCATCGACGAATGGACCTCTCCGAGGGCATTCCGCTTGCCCGGGCGGACCTTCGAGGATCCCCCTCCGGGAGATGGGAATTATTTCTCTGAGGAGACCTCCGACTCGCCTGGCGGTTAAGGATGGTCATACATCCGCTCACTTTCACTCAATTTATTCCGGTCTCAGATACCTAAAGGTCATTCACTATCCCTCCAAAACTTGAACAAGTTTCCTTCATCGAGTACGGAAGAATTCGTGCCTCTGCATCGCTCTATAATCGGTTTCGAAACGGAGCCCGATCGAATTGCCATCCTCTTCGTTGAAGCCTTTTTCGTACTTCGGTTTGTAATAGGTCTCCCATGCTGTATTGTACAACTCTACGTCGCCGTAGGGGGCATTCAAGCTCGGATGATTATAGCGACCGACGCTGTAGATGGCTTCGACGAGCAGCCGACGCTTCTCATTGGTATATCTGAGGTTTGAGGAATACATATCGTTAGAAGATCCTCGATCCGACGATGACCTAGGACACGACTAGGCGATATAGAGTAACAGAATTCCTCTTGCAGGTGTCTTTCTATTGATAGCGAAACTTACTTCATTCTCAGAGCATCCCATCCGCGGTCATTGAACCCTCTCCAGTCAGAAAGTTTGCTCTCGAATCGATCATCGAGCATCGCGTCAAGAGGTAGCCGCTCAAGATCTTCTACGACGTGACTCGGGTCCCCGAAAGTCGACCAGTCGTAAGAAAGCACTTCGACGTGGTCTTTGATCGACGGGAGGTATTGCTCTTTATAGCATCGATCGATTTCGGCGAGGTATTCCGGCGTCAGAACCTTGTTGTTCTGCTCGCATGGCTGTGAGGACGGAAGAAACTCGATCAATTCTGAGCTCTGCGCATACTCAGAGAGACACTTCTCGACCAAACCCAGTCAGTGATAAAAAAAAAAGAAATCCCGTGCTCCCTTACCACTCCACGACTTTTGATCCTCTGTAGCAGAGTATCGATTGGTGCATCGAGATAGATAACCACATGAGGTCTGAGAATGTCTTCCCGACAGTTCCTCCTCATCTTGTCGTAGACTTCCTTATCGTAATTGTCGATATAGCCAGCTTTGTGCATGGCTTCCGCGAAAACGAAGTCACTGTACGGAGAACGTTCCAAAATCACTCCCTGGCCTGCGGAATGAAAAATTTCCGAGTTGTCACGACGAATCCTCTGTCAACTGGGCGATGTTCTTGTGGCTCGAGAGCCAGAAGATTCTCCACTCACCGGTGTTGAAAAGATGCACCAGCGCATCTATGTATTGCTCGAGCCGCAAAGCCAGCATGGAGTACTGAAAGTCGGCCGTCATGATGGTTTTCGGATGTGAATAAAATCTCTCGAGGTCATAGGGCTTCAAGGATTCGGGGAAATGCTCCGAGATGGATCTGCAAGGATTCAGATACCATTAAAGAACGTTCTGGGGGAGATATCTTGCCATGGACAGAAAGTATCCGGTTCGGTCACGGTCTCCGTCCGGCTCGAGCTATTTTAGTCATGCATGCGTAGGAATGAATCTCTGCGATAAATTTCGAGTAATTTCTCCTGCTACCTGAGATCGAATCCTGTGTCGTCTATGAACTTGAAGTCCATTGTGGCTTCAGGAAACAAGAAGAAGTCGAGCTCTTCAGCGAGTTTCTTCGCCAAATAGCTTTTTCCGACGCCTACGTTGCCGTCGATGACGATGAGCCTCGTATTCTCGTCGAACCGATCCGCGGTGTCCTCCGAAAAGGTATCCCAAACCGTGAACGACATTTTCTCGTACGGCCACGGTTTAGGCTTGTCGGGGTTTTCTTCCCTGTGATTCCGAACGGACAGTCTTAAGTTTTTGCCGTGGGATTCCGTATTAGACAGAGAATTCGACCCGGGGCTCGATCAGCTGCTGGGGCTGGATCGTCACGGGGCTCCCGATATGAATGAGATTGCTTCGTGCATCCGAGGGAACGATTCGAGAAGAGGCCGACTCCGTTCCACCAGCTCCCGAGGAGACCCGATCGGGGAGCGCGAATCTGAATAGGGACATCTGGTCCAATCTAAATCATACTCACTTGAATTGTTTGCTTATGATGGTTCGCTTCTTGATCACCGCAGTCGCCGCGGGCGTGAGACGCACGCTTGAGATGAGGGCTCGACCACTTTGAAGTCCATGACGAAGCATGGACAGAGCCATCTCGCTCACGAAATTCCCCCGATCGATTCACGTTTTGTCAATCCCCGAAGTGTCGGTGTCCTCTCCTGAAGTTCACCTAGCAGCAGCAGAAGACATTTGTTTTTGTTTTGATTCTCCCCCTCCTGACAGTCCAGAGAGCAGGAGATGATGAGGCCCGCGTGTTGATCTTTGTCGGAAACATGGTCCGCGCGGTTATCGATAGACGAGTCGAGAGTCACTGTATCGTGAGTCTTGACTTCAATCAAATATCGATCGGAGAGAATCTGCGTCTCCCTTGTTCGGATGAAACGGTCTGAAATCAGACTCGTGGACTGATCTGGAATCACGGCGGCTAATCGTGATCAACCCGAATATGATGCCTTCGATTTCGCTTCGATTGATCCGCGCACTGAGGACGCGGGGATCAAGCGAGTTCTCTGGAAGAAAATCGAGTCAATAGATGAATCGAATGGATAGACCCCACGCTCCTGCCTCCAGGCGTCCGGAAAGATGTACTCCTCCGGAAGTCGCTCTCGCGGTGAATACATGAAGGCAGCTGAATCAGACAACTTCGGTTCAGGACCCGGGAGCTGAGACATTTGCAGAGCATTCATGGCTGAGATCATTTTCTCGGTGAGAATAATGCGCGTATTTCCATGCAGATAGAAGACGAATCATCAGAGACTCTTTCAGAGACCGGTTCTAGATATTCGGTCTCCTAAACAAAAGTGATTGAGGAAGCTGACCCTGACGTGCACCCCCGATATTATCGAACGCCGCTGACATGTTATTGTGTATCCTCGATCGAGCGGGGCTTCTCCATGTCCCCTTGATCGGTATCGGGATCAATGCTTGATTCCTGCCTAAGCAAGTGAAATGACTCAGGTAGGCGAATCGCAGCGCGATCACGGCTCCCCGTCTCCAACAGGACTCGGTCATGGAGAAACTCGTGGAGCTCCTGGAAAGTATTGTTCCCAAGATCGTCAACATGGACGCGAACCCATCAGCTCTATTAATATTTCTAGACAGAATCGACACTCGAGGAACCTCGCCGAATCGACTTCAGTCAGGCGAGTGATGATGAGTCGCGTCAATGTATTCCGGTCTATCTGCGGATCAAGCCGTCGGAGGACGAGGAAATGTCGATCAAGGTGATCGACGACCAAACAGTGGAAACGAATCATGGTGAGCTAATCCTCCGAGCCAAAGTCCGATCGCTGCAATTGATGAATACGACAAAGGAAATCCGGAATCTCAATTGGGATCCGAACGAGCCCACCTAAGCTCTTCAGGGCTATCGATACCGTGATTCTTCTCTACAGCATACAGATCGAATAAGAGGGCCAAGTATTCCCGGATTTTCTCCGGGGATGCAAGTCAGCAAGAAGTTTTCGATGGCACAAGCGCTCATTTGATCAAGAAATTTCAAGAAGGAGCCAACGTGATGACATTCGCTTACGGGGTGACCTCATCCGGGAAAACTTTTACAATCCTGGGCAGCCACGCCGATCCTGGCATCCTGCCGAGGATGCTGAATATCATTTTTAAACCTTCTCTCTCGGATTTTGGAAATATCACACGAAGTTGCTATCAGCCGTCGAAGTTTGACGGGATCCAGGATATTTCGGAAGAGGACTACGACCTACTGGAAGATATGAAGAACTCCCTACTCTCGAAGGTTTGCTCGCTGTAATCATTCTCGTCCACCAGATACTTATAAGGAGCACTGATCCGCATTCTCCTGTTCGGAAATCAACGATCGAGTCTCTTCCAGGTGAAAGGGTCCACCAGGTCTTTCGACCAATATTCTTTCGCGGAATCTCCACCGAACGACAGTTTCACCTCCATACACGAGGACGGATCGGACATGTCCCGCAGCATGTGGATATCGATATACGATATCCATAACGAAATTATAACCGACCTCCTGAGCGCTGATTCCAAACGGAAACGCAAGGCGCTCACCATCGGTCAGGATCCCAATGGTCGGACCTTTGTCAAGGACCTTATACAGCTGCCCGTCAACTCGGCGTCGGAGGCTTACGCTCTCCTCCAGTACGCCAGCCAGAATCTAGCAACGGCGAAAACGAAATTGAACGACAATTCGTCGCGATCGCATTTGGTTTTCGATCTCAAGGGGTTGCATCGGGGAGGAGCAACAGCGAAACCATTCGTGAATCATTTCGTCATCAGCGATCTCGCCGGCAGCGAGCGTCAGTCCAAGACCGGGACTTCAGGAACGACGCTAAGGCAAGCAGGCGCGATCAACAATTCCCTTCTGGTTCTCGGTCGTTGCCTGGAAGCCTTGCGCAAGAAAGACAAAGGCATAGCCGCCCCTTTCCGGGATTCTAAACTGACCCGCATGCTGAACCCGTTCTTCACGCAAGGGGGTTACGTCAGTCTGATCATCTGCATAAACCCCGACGTCCACCTACAGGATGAGACCATGGACACGATCAGATTCTCTGCTATCGCTTCAGAAATCGTCCAGGATCCAGTCAGACCTATCGAGCGACTCCGACAGCTCCGAAGACTAACTCTCGGCTGTATTGAGAACAGTCCGATGAAAATCGTCTACGACACCGACGTAGAGCACTGGCAGGATGCCGTGAACGGCACCGCCGTGCACGACGGGGTCGCTTATCTTGAAGTCAAAGCCAGCTACTTCAACGACATGGCGCGAGATATTCTCCGCGCCGAGAAACTGCTGACAGCGAACGAAGAGGAAATCGAATCCTTAAAGGGGAGACTGAGGGAGAGCGAGGTTTCGAAAGAAAACATCAAGCTCATGTATCAGGACAAGATGAAGGAGCAGAGGGAGAAATTTTCGGCGCAGCGTGCGGAGTTGGAAGAAATGCATCGAGACATGCAGAGGACTCTCGTGGAGGAGCTCGAAGAGGACATCCAGACCTACAAAGACAAGTACACGAAATACAGGGTAGGTCCATGCTCGATAACATAGCAGAACGAACGACTCAGCAGGACGGAGTCAAGACATCCGATTCTCTCATGGAGACTGACGATTCTCGTAAAACATTCCTCCACAGGACGGATATGCGAAACTGAGCCAATATCTAAAGGACAGACTTTGGCCAGAGGTTTATCTCTACCGCGAGAGATTCGGTCATCTGCCCGAGTTCCCGCCAATGGATGGAGCTCAAGAGAGTGAAACGAAAGCAGAAAACACGCTGAGGTACTGGCAAGATAAACTCCAAGACATGGAGCTCAAGTATCGGGCTCTGAAAAGCAAAATGAGTGATAAGAATAAGGAGCTGCATCAATTGGAGGAAGCAGTCCAGGAACAAGAGAAGTCGCTCCGGGAAACCCTCGCGGAGTGCGTGGAGGCTCGGGGAGAATCGGCAACTTTGAAGCGCCAGGTGACGGAACTAAGCGAGCAAGTGGTAGCGCTGAAGGATCAATTGGACGACCATGAGACGCTGGTCGAAGAAGGTGGGTTGGGTGCATCTTTCACGGAGAAGACTCCGCCGACTGCAGGAGATCTCGACTCGTTCCCGCAGTCAATCGCGGATAAGGTTCGACGCCTATTGCTCTCGAGACACAATTTGGTTTCATTTCAGTGAGCGATCTGAAACGATGTCTACGGGACGCCGAGGAACGTAGAGAATGTCTCGTCGTCCAGCATCAGATAGAGATCAACTCTCTGGAGGAAGAACTTCGGGGGCTCAAAGCAGAGCTCAGCGACGGTGTCGTCGAGCTTCGCCCGGATAATCCCATGCTAGTTGCGGCACGAATGCGGCGCGGCGTCGTCAACGGTCACGATCTCAAAACACCGTCGAGAATGAGCTCCAGAACACCGTCAACAGCCCGGACCAGGACACCGAGTATGATTTGCACGAAAACACCGACACGCTTGAGATCACCGACTTCGATTGTCACGCGGACACCGTCTGGACATCTCACGAAAACACCGTCGAAGTATCTCACAAAAACGCCGTCAAAGCGAATCGAGGAGACACCCTCGAAGCTCCCCGCAAGAACTCCTCGAAGCAGGCTTGCGTCCCTCGATGATTAATAAAGAGACTATAGAAGAACATAGAACTTCTTATATATCAATCATTAGGAGCTTGGTTTTTATTCCGTCGATGAAGCCCGGATGGGCTGTCTGAGTGAGTCTAATTGCCGGTCAGTTCTCGACCCTCTAGGTGGTCGGAACGAAAAAAACGGGTCTCTTCCCTTTTGAAACCGCTCCCGAGTTATCGAACCGTGGGCAGCAGATCCCAACAGGAGGAACTTATCGGCAAAAGGAAATAGAATCTTCACAAGCTTCGCGCCAGAGCCCCCTGAAAAATCTCTGGGCTTTCAGGGAGACTCCTAGGAATAAAGAATTGCATCAATCGATCAAACCGAACCACCTGCTCAGAAGCGTCAGCGCTGCTTAGACAAAGACCTCAGTCATCGTGAGTGCGCGGTATAAAGGGACGAATTGATATTTCGGAGACCATTATCTTTCTAGCCGCCATCATAATTTATAAGGAAACCTACTCAGATGTACAGGGACTCAAGTACCCTTTTGGACTTGTAGTCATCCTAGTCCGATACCCATACTGAAGGATCCAGACGGGAAGCCGTCGGGTCCCTCCTCGGACACGATTTGATATGGAGGATCCGAATTACATAGATGAAGGTGTCACCTCATATCCTCGGAGCCGCAGTCGACCTGATGTCACTAGGAAAGATGCAAGGCGACCCCATTTTCTTTAAAACTCACCAACCGTAAAAACACCAATCGTACTGCTCAGTTCAACACATTTTTTCTCCCGCACATCCCGTCTTTGGAATGCCCTCCCCACTCATGTCTCAGCTTCAAAGTATAATCCTATATTCTCCAAATCCAACGCTCTCCGCTATCTCCTTCCACGCAAAGGGTCTACTTTGATGAGTATTATTTTAATGAGCCTCACACTCCGCGTCTCCAACGGTTTTTGCGCTCTTCTGGGTCGTGCATCGATGCATTTTTCACCTATGGCACCTCTTCGTTCCCCCTCTGTCTTTCCCTAGATTTCTCCCTCCGCCCTCGCCTTTCTCTTGAGGATTGTTAGGTCAGCCGTTCGCGAGCCGCTCCGCGGAAAAAGAACACAGACACCGCTTCGATCAAATAAAAGATATCTTTATGAATACCACTGTGGCACTGCCTCCCGTATCCATTTCCCTCTGAGAACATATTTGAACATGGTTTTACTCAATCATTCGTCGCTGAGCTTGGATAGCAATATATTTACACCGGAATAGAAAAATCTGTAGCATTTCCGAATCACCACCGACGGCAACCAAATCTCCACTGGAATCGACAGAGTTCACGCAGAATATCGACGGCTCCACGAGTCTCTCAATTTCCATGCGATCTTTCATGACATCCGGCATAAGCCAGCCACTCGTGTCTGGAAGGAAAAATATCGACGCCGATTTACGCGGATTCAGACTTTTGAAGAGGGGTCGAGTAGCGATTCGATTTGAGCTTCGACGGTATATGTCTGTTTTACGAGAGGACGCGAATTCGAAAGGCATACCTGAATTCTGAGTTCTCTTCAGTTCTCGGTTGGACGCGAGAGCCGCTGTAGTCTCGAAGGGACTCATGAGTTTGCTCGCGTTCCACCAGAGGGCTGTTCCGTCGTAGCACACGCTTATGAGATGAGAAGTCGACAATGCGTGAAAGCGTAGCTCGGGAATGAGAACGGTGTGGCAGTTGTAGAATGCGGATGGATTGGGCTGATCTTCTTGACGGAGATCCCAAACGCAGATCGAACCCGCTTCCGTGCCGCAGAATACCAGATGCGGTTGGGATGGGTGCTGCAAAATGCATGTGATGCCGACGAGATCGTCTTGACGCCTACGGTGCAAAAATTCTCTTCGTTAGTTATCCGGCACTCCCCCAGGATCTGCACATGACGCTGTTGACTATTAATTATCCGGATCCACTTACAGTAGGCAAGCTCGAACTTCTTGAGATTTGTTGAGGTCGAAAATTTGGAGGCGTCCCGCGAGGTTCCCTACGGCTACTTCATTTTGACCGAGGTAGGCTACGCAGGTAAGAGAGTCGGCTCCCGACTCGATTGACTGGGCGGGGGTGTCTTTGGGATCTTTAAGTATGAACCTTTTTATGAAACCGTCCTCTCCTACTGTGACAACTTCCGCGCCTTCGGTCCCCTGTCTCACGGCAAGGCCGGAATAAGGCATCGCGGACTCGATCGCCGCCGGCCATCGACGGGTCTCTGTGATTGACTAGAAGAAAGATGAAGGTTATTTCCCTTTCCTCTTTTCACATGTTGATGACAAGAGTTTCTCATCAGGTACTTTCATTGGATGATCCGACTGTGGCGAAGGTTGCACTCACCGATGCAGAGCATTCAAATAAGACGAGCTCACTGGCAGATGTGGCTACGATGAGGTTATTGGGATCGATGAACTGTGAAGCGAAACTTGCAATTAGACTGTTATCTCGGAATAAGTTTCTGAGATTCGGGAGTTGATTCCGGGATTCGATAACTGGTCGGAGAAAGGTACGGAATTCTCATCGACTCTGCCTACACAGAACAGGGAACGAGTCCGGGATGATTCTCAAGTATATTGAGGAACCACGAATGACCACCGAAGTCACAGTTCCTCCGGTCGAAGACCCTAGCGAGTTCCGTTGCATAATTTCCGAAAAGCTTCCAAGGTGCTCAACTCTTGAGTCTGACGTAGCAGGGAACGGAATCTCCTATCATGGACATACGCCAAACTTTGGCGTTTGAGCTGTCTTGTTTCTCCGATTGCAGAGGAATAGCGAAAACCCAAGATCATCTCGTCACATCGATTGGAGACATCCGACTCGCCACCCTTCGTCTCAGTGTGACTCAAAACGCTTACGGAATGTTCTTACGTGTCGCAATCGTGCGACTCTCGGCGGAGATCGTCGACGAAATTCTAAGCGACGCTCCCGAGCTAAGTCAAGTTTCGGTTCATGCGAGCTTTTTTGATGCTCCTTGCATCCAATCGTCGAGGATCCCAACTTTTTGCAGGAATCCCGTTGCAGGAATCGATCAGCTCTGGATCAGGGCGCGTAGTCTCTCCGAAGGGCTCTGCGCGGGGCGGTCTCCTCGAACGAATACCGTTCCTGCCGTTTATTCGCATCTATCAGCCTGTTTCAAGTGCATGCACGAATCTGCGAAATATCTCCGGCAATACGTGGATCCAGTGAAGAGGTTCCCTCATAGAGAGTAGAGGTCTAGCGGCATCGACAGCCATGTATGTGTAGCGGTCGGAAAAGCCTTGAGAACGTTCCGAGAAGCTTTCGAGGACACACCGGTGGAACGCATCCTCCCAGACATGCCGTCGGCCAAGGCTCGCGTAGAGATGATCGAAGAAAGTGAGAAAGGCAGAGGTCATCGTACAAACCGACCTCACCACAATCAAAGCCGTATAAGACGTGTTCCAAATAGTCCTGGACTCTCGGTATTGTCTCCCTCAAAAATCGTGGTAAGAACTAGCCGCAGCTGTCGTGCGACGTGGAATGTCTGGAGACGTAACAGACTAGTCGAGACCCCAATCTCATTCCTCCAGCTGGCGCACTGAGATCTATTGAATATATTCGCAATGGGACGATTTGAGCCTTAACAAACTCCATGACTTGAAGAAGTTTCGATCAAAATTCTAGAATGAGCCACTTCGACGAGTTCACTCTCTGTATCGAAATATCCCGACGCCATGGGAGCAGGACAGCGGATTGCATTGGATCCCATGCAAAAGTACTGATGGGGAGAAGGAACTCCATCGGGCAGGTGCTCGCGGAGTCATGTCCCGCTAGTTTTAGACATTGCACGGAGCGACGCGGAAAAACTTGTAAATCCGGAGAAAACTCACCTCCATCGCGGCAACGTCGCCCTGGATATTGGCTTGTGCCATAACTTGCGGCTCGCATTGCTCATCGGTTTCATCATTCCTCGAGATGTTCCAGAGCTGAATAAGGCTGTCCTGTGAAATAGATATTGCTGCTGAGTATTCGCGCTCGAGCAGAAATTTGAATCAGTCAGATTTCTCATCTGATACAAGTACGTCTGACGCAATTCGTCGCGCAGGATGAGCCCTGCGGTAGAGCTCATCAAACATTTGATCCTGATGTTTCGATCAACCCTTCGAAATTTTCGGTGCACCGTCCGCTGCCCGCGTTCGGAGGAGATCCTTTCCCTAACGTGTCCCTATAAACTTAGTGGGGAAATCCCTCGGTCATGACTGTCCCGGAAGCGCGTATTCCAGGAAGAGGGGAGGGAGTGGAAGCACAGAAATGCTCGTCCGGGAATCGACGCTCAGTAACTCGAGACTGTCCTCCATAGAGAAACGCGGTCGGAAACGGATCAGGACATTAGATGGAGCTTTCTTATGGAACTCGCTCCGAGATCCGGAGTTTCTCGAACTCTTATGATTCCGAGACTCGATTATAATTATCTCCAAACTTCAACGAGCGTTTCGGATAGCAGATCGTTCACACGGAAAAGAAGTCCCATTCGATAAGAGTCTCCTCGTTATAGTCCTGTACGAGAGAACGCGTGAAGGAAGTTTCGAGTAAGCGACATGGAGTCTTAGTTGTGGTCTCCTGAGGGTACCACGACTATACAAACTATACTCACGTCGTCGTCCCACGAAGCCACGGCCAGGATCGTCTCGCGCTGGGCTGCCGTCGCCTCCTTGATGGGCATGAAGCGCAGCTTGGCAATTTTTTGCCAATTATTTTCGACGCCACCAGAGAGCTCATGTTCGAGCTCTTGGATTCCGTGGGCACAAATCTTCAAGGTTCTCAGCTGGAGCAAACCGATACTCAGTCTATCCTTCCACTACTTCAAACGCATAAACTCCTTCGGAAACCGCCAACTCCGACACACGGTATGATCACAACAGTTCTCCTCGCTCAAATCTTCTTCTGCGCCAGCTAGGAGGGAGAGCAGGAAGGGCCCGTCACGCAGCGGTTGGATCCGCGCACCTTCGTCCACGGCGTCGCAACAAGTCAGCAAAGGCGTTTCCCTGGGCGGCTGTATCGTGAGGAAATGTTTCCACGGCTTCCGAGAAATTCGGAAGAATGCACCGCATGTGAGCAGTGAGCACCCAAGTTTGGAAGATCTGTCAGGAGCGATCGCAGACGAATCGATCCTAGATGCTGATGACGTTGATTCTTGCCTAGAACCCCGTGCACCTGCAAAGCAAATTCGAGGCTCTTCTGTTGTCCACGGGAAACTTCGAGAACGAAGGAAAGATATCCGTCTCTACCTAATTCATCCGTATGATTGAGATCTTTTGCATTCTTTCCCAGAATAGGTTATTTAGATTATCACCCGCCTCCTCCGGACGGACTACTTCCGACATGACCTAGCAAATTGATTTTTGAGCCTCGCCGGACATCTCATCATTGTATAGGTATTTGAATGTCCCCGAATTCCTCGCCTTGCGACCAAGCTTCACATCGTTAAATGACCCGCCCCGAAGCTACCCGACGCGTAAGCAACCCAATGTAATGGAAAGCTCCCGCTTTAAGCCCCCTCCGAGAACCGTCTCCGCAGTCAACTAGCTCTATGCGAAGATCCGCGAATTCGGTGACAGAGAAGACTCCCCGCGGGAAGATTATAGTCGATAGACTCGCCCGGAGTCGCTACCCGGGGAAGTCCTTCGGCAAATCCTATACCTGTCGAAAGTAAGGTTCTCCATACGGCATCGTGTCGGAGCTGATCGAGGAAGTTCCCACGCGTATATTGTGATTGCATCTTCGTGGTCCTGATTGTTCGTTCTCCTCCACTTACCTAGTTCCTCCCACGCACTTGCATAATCACAACAAACAAATGCGGTGACGAAAACGACGGAGAAACTGACGCTTCCCCGTGGAACCGGCGCGTAGCTTCATGGATTACCCCTTGGGTGCAAGTTTGTGAACTACAGTACCTGTAGTACCGACCAATAGCTTCGCTAACTCAAGGGAAGCATTCCGCATGAGAGATTCGAGGCTGAGATATTCAACTTGAGGTTACGAGATCCGTACCATCCCTCAGACTTCGAGCTCCCAGAGGAGAACGAGCTCTGTCCCCGCGTGTGCGACCCTCGTCAATGCAGACGACCACGATTGTACGATCTTTCCGTTGCCTGCAGACATAGGCGACCTGATTCCTTGCTCTCACAGGGAACGCTCGATCACGCACCGCTCATCTGCCTCCTCAGGTGCCAGATCCCGATATCGGCTCCTCGGAGTCGAGATGTTCCTTCCTCTCATTGCCATTTGAAAAACCCGCCGCGGATCAACAAAGATGGCGGTTCTTTGAATCTGAAAAGAAAACCGCGGCGCACTCTCGGGGCGAATCATCGCCACTTGTGAAATTCTGCCCATCTGCTGATCATTGTCACCGCGAGATCCATCTCAACCGGCGCAAGAGGTACTGAATTCTCCCGACTATTCTGAGGAGAACCGATTGGAGAATCCGCTTCGCAATGGATGCGATCGCTCCAATATCTTTACTTATTAAATAAGCGGAACAAGTTGGGACTTGTCTGCGCTGTTCTCCCTCCGCGCCCCCTTGGAGCTTCTGTTCGCTGCTGTAATGAATGACCCTTCTACGAGTAATATTTCTGTATTCCCGCCGCGGGGAGCTCCAGCGCTGAGTCATCTGCGGACTAATTCCAAATCTCCAATCCGGAGCCCTCGCCAATTACCGATGCTGATGGTTGTCACTTCGTGCAAACTCGAGAGCGCCTGGAGACTTGTGCAATCCGACTCCTGTGTGCAGCTGTCGGGAGAAACCGTGCAAAGAATCTCTCTGAATTTTTTCTATTCATAGATGGAGACCGAGCTACTCGAACCGTGTCGGATCGACTTCAGCGATGACGGCGAGGATGAAGGACGCGAATGTCTCCCGGTGTATTTGAGAATTAAGCCTCACGACGATGAGGAGATGTCGATCAAAGTCCTCGACGGCACGACCGTGGAAACAAACCATGGTAAGGAAATTCCCTGCGATGATATCGAGGTCCGTTTGACGTATTTGAGAATCTTGAGGTCGCATATCCCATCTGCTCGAAGCTGAAATCTGTGTCCGTTTCTCGTAGCCTTCAGAGCGAACAAGAGAGCAACGTACACTCGAGTTTTTCCCGGGTCTGCGACGCAACAGCAAGTGTTCGACGGCTCCAGCGCTCAACTGATCAGGAAGTTTCTCGACGGCGCCAACGTCATGACATTCGCCTACGGAGTGACTTCATCCGGGAAGACTTACACTATAATGGGAAGCCCCAACAATCCGGGCGTGCTGCCGCGATCGCTCGAGATAATTTTCGGATCGTTCAGATCGAAAATCGAGAAATCTTCCCCGATCTACATGCCGTCGAAGTTCGACGAAGCGCAAGAGACCACGGCGGAAGAAATCGATCAGCTGGAGAGATACAAATCGACACTCATCTCGAAGGTTCGCCGCTAGAATTCTTTTCCGACTCGAGACCACTCCGATACACGATGAACAGAATGAGCATGCGTTTCATAGATCGGGAAAGATCTTATGACGACCGACTTCTCCATTCCACAGCTGAGAGGATCGAACCGGGCTTTCGATCAATATTCTTTCGCAAACACAACGCCAGACGCATGCCTCACTTCGATTCCGAGGAAAGAGTCTCCACTACTCGCAGCCATGTCCTGTTGTGTGTGGATTTCGATCTATGAGATCCACAATGAAGTCATCACCGACCTTCTCCACGCCGATCCGAAGACCAAACGGAGAGCTCTCAACATCGGCCAAGACTCGAAGGCTCGTACCTTCGTGAGGGATCTCCTGCAGCTTCCTGTCCGATCCGCCTCTGAAGCCTACGCTCTGCTTCAATTCGCGAGGCAAAATCTCGCGACGGCGACCACGAAGCTCAACGATAGCTCTTCGAGGTCTCATATGGTTTTTAACTTAAAAATGGTCCACTGGGGGGGACCTATGGCGGAGCCGTTTGTGAATCAATTCATCATCAGCGATCTCGCAGGCAGCGAGCGCCAATCGAAGACCGGCACTTCAGGGCCTACGTTGAGGCAGGCGGGCGCCATCAACAACTCCCTCCTCGTTCTCGGTCGCTGTCTCGAGGCTCTGCGGAAAAAAGACAAAGGGATCGCCGCTCCGTTCCGAGATTCGAAACTGACCCGAATGCTGAACCCGTTCTTCACGCAAGGGGGTTACGTCAGTCTGATCATCTGCATAAACCCCGACGTCCACCTCCAGGATGAGACCATGGATACGATCAGATTCTCCGCTATCGCTTCCGAAATCGTTCAGGATCCGATCAGACCCTTGGAGAGACTACGGCAGCTGCGTAGGCTCACTCTCGGTTGTATTGAGAACAGTCCGATGAAAATTGTCTACGATACAGACGTAGAGCACTGGCAAGATGCCGTGAACGGCACCGCCGTGCACGACGGGGTCGCTTATCTTGAAGTCAAGGCCAGCTACTTCAACGATATGGCGCGTGATATCCTCCGCGCGGAGAAATTGTTGACAGCCAATGAAGAGGAGATCGAATCCCTGAAGGAAAGACTGAGGGAGAGCGAGGTTTCGAAAGAAAACATCAAGCTTATGTATCAGGACAAGATGAAGGAGCAGAGGGAGAAATTTTCTGCGCAGCGTGCGGAATTGGAAGAAATGCATCGAGACATGCAGAAGACTCTCGTGGAGGAGCTCGAAGAGGACATCCAGACCTACAAAGACAAGTACTCGAAATATAGGGTGAGTCGACAGGCTCCTCCGAGTCGGTCGAGTCCGAGGCTCGATGTGACTCGAACCTCGGACCGAATTCGGAGTTGCCCCAGATTCTGACTCGAATTTTTATCGATTCTCAACAGGATGGCTACGCGAAGTTGAGCGATTATCTGAAGGACAAGCTCTGGCCGGAGGTTTACCTCTTCCGGGAGAGATTCGGATACCTGCCGGAGTTTCCACCGAAAGATGGAGAACAAGATGAGGAGACGAAAGCGGAAAATACCATTAAATATTGGCAAGATAAACTGCAGGACAAAGAAGCTGAGTTCCGATCTCTCAGAACCAAGCTCGGCACTAGGAACGAAGAGCTCGCGAGCTTGAGAAAGCAGCTCGAGGACCAGAAACGACAGGTGCAGTCCGCGGAAGCTGATTATCAGGAGTCTCGACGAGAGGCGGCCGTGTTGTCATCTCGCGTGACGGAGCTCAACGAGCAGCTTGCGGCGCTCAAGAACCAGCTCAGTGATCACGATACGCTCTTTGATGAAGGCGAGTTCAATTATTGCCTGGGGACCCTCCGTGGTCTTCCTATGTTCATCTTCGCTTCCCCCCCGCGGTCCCCTCCTCTCCTACCCCACACCCTTCTGAGCTCATGGGGCCTCATGTATAGCGGGGAGCCGAACTATGGTACTCCGAATTGACTAACTCGTCCGCAAAAGACTGAGACGATCGGGAATTTTTTCTTGCAGTGAGTGATCTCAAGCAGCGCCTCCAACTCGCAGAGGAGAGACGGGAGTCTCTCGTTGCCCACCATCAAGTTCGAATCGACGCAATGATCGAGGAGCTCGACTCTCTGAAATCCGAACTCCGAGAGAAGGATTCCGAGGTAATTGGGGACGACTGTGTATCCTGCTCACGCCCCCCCCCTCCTCCCGAATACGAACTTGATAATCATTGCCTGTCGTAGAATATGGGATTAAGAATCTTGCGCTTGACTTTGCAGCTCGGAGAAACTTCCGGAGCTTTAGCTTCCGCCCAAGCTCAAGTCGATGTTCTGAAGAAAGCAGTCGCCAACATCGAGAAACAACAGTCTCGATGCGAAACAGATGCGAAGTTCGCACCAGAGAAAGCGAAGCTCGAGCAGAAAATTCTCGCCTTGGAAGCTGAGCTCGGAAAGGAGCGCAAGCAGGCGCTTGAATTGCGGGAGAGTATCCTCTCGCTCCGGGAGGAAATCGAGAGATACGCAGAGAAGGAAGCCGACCTCAAGAAGCGCGAAGCACAGATCGCTTTCGGGAAACGTAATGCGCGCCTGAAGAGAACCTCCGAGAACGACATTGCTCGATTGGAGGATGATATGAAACGACTTCAGCTCGCTCTCGATGAGGGAAAGGAGGCTTTGGCCGAGAAGAATATCCAAGTCTTGTCCAAGGTAAGTACTCGACCGCTCTTCGCCAAATCCCTGTTAGTTTCTACCGATGTGTTCTCAATGACCGGACTCTCTCCTTGCAGGACGCTGAGCTGGACGAGCTCCGGGACAAAGTAGCGACCATCGAAATCCTCGGACGTCAGATGGAGAAACTGTCTGAAGAGAATAAGGAAATTCGCGATAAGCTCAAAGTCTTTCAGTTCGAAAACAAGCGTTTGGAAACCGAAGTCAAGCAGACGAGAGAGCTCGAGGTTGAAGTCGAGTTCCTTACACGGAAACTAGAGAACCAACAGAGGAGAATCCTGCGGGATCAACCTCAAACCGAGAAACCGAATAGACGTCGACGTTCGGTTTCTTCGTCCGAAGTCGAGCTGAAGGTTCCCGCCACGGAAAAACCAAGGCGGCGCCTGAGACTTGGGAACGAAGAGAACTCGGTCCTTGACAGAACCCTGGATCGGGCTATCCGAGACATTTCGCCTGCACCAACGCCATACAGAACGCGGTCGTCGAGGAAGCGTTGAGGCGGAGAGTTGTATATTTCCGATCATTTTGTGCGGTCCTCTTAAATTTCCACCATCTGGCAAAATGTCTTGTCAGATCGGCTTCATAACCTGGGACTCTTAGTATAAATGTTAATAATAACCCAATACAATACGCTTTGAATCTGATTAATTCCGCGAGGTTTTCATTCATCCTCGGTTAGACTCCACACTAGGTACGGCGCAGTCTCTCTCGAACTCCAGGAAGGACTGTACTTGTACCACGCGTTGTACGAGCGCAACACCACATTGGGAAGAATCGCCATTTCCTTAGAACTCGATGCCGTCAAGAGTCGTCGGCGCGTAGTAGCCCTGGGATCTTCATCAACTGAACCGGGTTGATATTCGTCATCATCTCGAAAGCACATCTCGTCCATAGAATCTTTATTCTAGTTCGGCAACTCCGACAAACAGCGTAATTTATTTAGAGGGTTTGTCGATCGTATCAGATAGGTTCTTCTCACATGACACGATATTCATGGAATCGTGATCTCTATATCCCAGCGGGGAATCTTCACAATTGAAAGACTTCAAGACACTCGTCGCTATTCATATCCATAAAATACGCACAAAATATTGGCTCTGTGGGATGAGTGTCTCCCACCATGCCAGCCAGCGGGCCCGTCTATTCTCTGAAGGGGCTTCGCCGATGGTCACCACGAAACTTTCAAGGTCTTCGATGATTTGATCTAAAATCACGAACTGGCGTGAAGTCTTGTATCGATTCTGTGAGAGTTCTATCCAAGAGGGAATTCTCATCATTCTCCTGTCTCAATCGCCTCCGCGGTTTAGAATCTCCTAAACTCTTCAGTGATCCGTCGCGGTCGGAGCTCGGACCGAAGGGGCCGCCGCGGGAGGTCTGCGATGAGGCTTCGAGCGATTTCTCGAGTTGTGCGAACCTTTGGTTCTCAGACAAAATTTGAGCGTTGTCCCTCTCCAAACGGAAGTTCCTGTCAGCGATCCTCAGGGTCGCAACCTGCTTGCGGAGTTCTCGATTTTCGATTTCCAGAGCTTCGGCTTTCGTTTCAAATACTTCGCTGATGACGCTCTTCTGTCTGAGTTCTTCCAGCTCAGATGCCTGAAAATGGGAAACTTCGTCAGGTGGCAATCCTCGATTATTAGGTTCTACATATGAGATATGGAGAGAAGGTTCGATCCCATGGCTCAAAGCTCACGAGCGATCGAGACTCACTTGAGCAACGATAACAGATTCCTTCTCCGCGATGGAATCTTGGAATTCTTGCAGTCTCTCTCGGAGTCGGAGGTTGTCTTCCTTCAAATGAGTGATTTCCTCTGATGTTCCGGCTATGTATTCCTCGGTGGTGCGGCCTCTTCTAGTGAGCCGCAAGTCGGTTTGCGAGGCGCGAGCGCTGGATGTCATCAATGAGGAGAGTTTTGCCGAAATCTCGGAGAGTTGCGTGAGGCAAGAATCGCGCCTCGAAGACACCGGAGACTCGAGCAGGCCGTTCAGAACCTCTGTGATTTCGTCTATCGCGCATGTCGTTTTGTCGACAAGTCCGCTCTCAACACACCCACCCGCCGACAGCATCGCGGCGAAGCTCTTCAAGTACCCACTCATATCCAATAGAAGACGGTGGATTTGCCGGTTCATATCGGACGTCTGGATCTCGCGAAGAGAACCATGGTCTCCGCTGTCGAGCGTATAGCCATCCGAACGCTGAAACGATCAAAAACGATTCTGACGTCTTTTGGCTGAGCGAATTGTCGAGAATGGAATCGCAGAATTTCCCCAGGAATTTCTCTGAGAGGGAAGGGCTCCCAGAAAATCCCGGAATGAACGTCACCCGAGGACTCCCCGGAAGCGTATAGAAATCCGGGATATGTCCGAAAAGTCGATCCGAAAATATCACCTCAGTGTCCGAATCGCGTTTTTGACCTCTCAGCTTGGCTAACTCTTCTTCGAGTCCATTGATTTTGATTTCATATCCCGCCGCAAGATTTTCCCTCCTCTCGTCCGCGATGCGCAGCTCCTCTTGGAGTTCGGTCACTGAGGAATGGAAGATAGCTCAATCGCAGAAGAAACTCGAAGGTCTGACTTGCGAGCATTCTCTCGCTAATGAGCACAGGAAGCAACGACATGGGAAAGATCAAACCTTGACACCCGAGAGCTTCAGCATCCCCGTTCGCAATCGATTGCTCTCTCGTTTCCAGTTGAAGACGTCCGGCTGCTTCAGTAGCGGCGAGGTTCATCGCCTCGTTGACGACAAGCTGTAAGTCGGTGTTCGTATTTCGCAGATTTTCACACGTTCGGAGCATTTCGGCTAATTGATTGGTCTTCTCGAGATTTTCTTCCTGCAGACTCTGAATGTCGCGCTCCGCTTCTGCAAGTTTCTCGCGCCAATATCCGATGGTATTCTCCGGTTTTGTTTCTTCATCCTCGGTGTCGCCCCCTACAGGAGGGAACTCCGGCAGATAACCGAAACGCTCTCGGAAAAGACTGATCTCGGGCCATATTTTCTCCTCCAAGTAGGAGCTGACTTTCGCGTAGCCGTTCTGTGAAAAAATAAAAGTCCCCATATATTCCGAAAATCATACAGAAGATGCAGAATTCGACGGGGAATGGGGGAGTGTCGATCAAGGGCGGTGAGGCCTCGAAAGAAGCAAAGCTTGCTTACCCTGTACTTGAGATACTTCTGTTCGTAGGTTTCGATTTCCTCCTTCAGTGAATTCACAATCAACGATTTCTCGTTCTCATAAAACTCCTTCATCTCTGCTTTTAGCAGCAGGAATCTGTCACGTTGCTCTTTCATGCGATCTTGATACATCGATTGAATGTTCTCCTTCGATGCTTCCGCTGCTTTCAGACGGTTTTTCAGCGACTCGACTTCCTCTTCGAACGCGATCAACTGCTTCTCCGCGTAGAGAATATCCTTCGCCATATCATTAAAGTAACTGGCTCTGATTTCGAGATATCGAACGCCATTGTGAACTGTCGAAGATCCGACCGCGTCTCTCCAGTTTTCCACACACTCCGAATCCTCAACATCAGCCATAGGGACCGCGTCCGGCTCCGCCGCGCACGTCTGCGTCAGTCTCCTCAGCTTACGCAAGCGCTCAAGGGGCTTGACCGTTTCCTGGACGATCTCCGACGCGATCGCAGAGAAGCGGATCGTATCCAAAGTTTCGTCTCTTAGACTCACGTGAGGATTGATGCAGATGATCAGGCTCACGTAGCCCCCGAGGGAGAAAAATGGATTCAGTATCCTCGTGAGTTTCGAATCCCGGAACGGTGCCGCAATCCCCCGGTCTTTCTTCCTGAGCGCCTCGAGACAACGACCCAGAACCAATAGTGAGTTATTGATGGCGCCAGCTTGTTTCAGAATAATGCCCGAACTACCGGTTTTCGCCTGACGCTCGCTTCCCGCCAAATCGCTAATAACGAAATGATTGACCACTGGATCCGCACAGGAACCACCCCAGTGTACCATCTTGATGTTGAAAACCATGTGCGATCTCGACGAGTTGTCGTTCAGTTTTGTTGAGGCTTTTGCGAGATTCTGCTTCGCCACTCGGAGTAGAGTATAGGCTTCAGCCGCAGAGCTGACCGGGAGCTGGGTCAAATCCTTGACGAAAGTGCTGCCCTTGGCATCCTGTCCGATCGTGAGAGGCTTACGCTTCGCCCTATTGCAGTCGCTCACGAGAAGATCCGTTATTATCTCGTTGTATATCTCGTACACTGAAATCCACACCGTGCAGAAGTCCGCGGGAGATACGGTCGTGGTGTGCAGATCGCATCCTGAGGCCTGGTCCTTCGTTCTGTCTTGGAAAGCATAATGACCGAAACCTGGTTTGGTTGATTTCATTTTGGCCAGGAGGGAAGATTTCATCCTCCTCAGATCAGATATCTCGCTTGCTTTGAGCTGTTGCACGCCGTCGAAAAGAACGGGTTTGTAGGCGAGCATCGAGCTCGCTATCTTGGTGTGGTAGTGTCCGAAAATTCTTTCCAGAGTCCTCGGGACAAGCCCTGGCTTAGAGTGCGTGCCCATTATCGTGTAGGTTTTACCGGAAGACGTCACTCCGTAGGCGAATGTCATGACATTCGCCCCGTCGAGGAATCGTTGAAGGAGCGATGCAGTGGTGCAGTTGAATATTTCTTGTTGGTCGTCGTGACCTTGGAATACGCGGGTGAATGTGGCTTTCTTGTTGGCTCGTCCATCTGCAAGCAGGTATGCTTAGGATGAGAGAGAAATACAATCTTCGGATGAATATATTTTTTCTTGCACGATCAAGAGGTGACCTGAATACGATGCAACCTGCAGGGAGGATACCCATGACTGACCATGATTCGTTTCCACCGTGATGTCGTCGATAACTTTGAGTGAACTCTCAGTGGCGTCTTTGAGGGGCTTTATGCGGAGGTAAACCGGCAGATTGAGCGGCTTCTCGTCCTCGAAGTCAATCCTGCGAGGATCCCCCATCTCCGATTCGTATCTCAAAAGTTTGACCTGTAAGATTGGCAAGGTGTCGGGATGAAACTGTATCGTTGACCCAAACTATATCCGCCTCTGCATGGGAGCTAATTTCATTGCACAGTTTCGCAGATAAGGAAGATCCATGCCAATGATAGCTTTTCGGCCATGATTCATATCTCCATACGAAGTTGTAACCGAAGCAATCAGCCAGGGGATCACAGAATCGGTTTACCTAAGCCGGAACCAGATTTGCAATGATCAACATCTGATAGCACATCACACATCAACCCATCGACGACAAGGTGGATTAATGACGTTGTTCGCTATCGTTCGGTAATGTCACCAATCAAGTTTTCCCCCTGGCTGATGAAGGGAAACTCGGGCCCGCATGAGCAAACACGTACTCACGGTGATCGGATATACATCGTTAAAAGGGACGAACACAAAATTATCGGCCGACGTTCTGTAACTGTCAGCGCCGCCTTCGTTCGTTTGAAGCAGAAATTCTATAGTGGAGAACGGCTGTCTGCTTGTTTATATTCCTGTCTGCTTCCATGTCCGCAAATTCTCAATAGGAGATTTTCTCCCTCAGCGTCCCAGTCCTGTCCCATGTGCGCTTCTCGGTGGAGAGATGGCGACACGGAGCTAGAGCGTACTCTACGGTATTCGAAAGACCCCTCCGACTAGATCAGACGCGAGGTCGGAAGGAAAGCAACGGGCGCGGAAAATGAGGAGCAGACGACACAACTCCCTGGATATCAGCTGTGTTTACAGGGAGCTAGGCGCGCGGAATAACACAGGCTAGGCGCGGGAGTTTTCAATTTAGGCCTTCGTCTAATGGTCGCTAAAACAATCCTTATGGAATGAGGGATCCGCTCCCTATGAAGACGCGCAGGAATTCATGGCCGGGGGCTTCGAGACTCTTGCCGACGTCCTGCGACCCCTTCCCCGCCAGCCGAGCGCCCCGACAAAATACTTTTCATCTGATACTTGTTTCGCTATTCGCTATCAACTACTTTTTCGAGTTCTGTTTCTTATCATTCCCGCTCTAATATGCTGGCGTGTGTCGTCATAAATCAAGCCTATCCAATTTGATCGCTGATTTCATGTATTCTGTCGCATCTTGTTCGCGCTCGCGGGATAGTAAAGTGTGTACGAACCGTGGATGTCCCGATGGAGGGGCTTTCGCGTAAGTTTTCAGACCCTTAGAAACCTGACCGTGCATTGGGATCATCCCGTATGTTCTTTCGATGTAGACTTGGATATGTCTACTGCGAAGATTGCAATGAATGCTCTCTGTGAGGAGCTATGCTCTAGTGAATAGTGAAGGCTCTCGGAATCCGGAATACTCGACCGAGATCTGGTGAGTCCGACGCTTCTCAAAAACTTCCGAAATCTGGATGTCACCAGTGAATCTTCGCGGCCCGTAACAGGTTCCTCCACGGCGCGAAGATGGGTCAGGCCCCGTTTCCGGGATAAAGCACTAGAAGTCGCTCTCTAATAGGACATAGGACCCTCCGATGAGGAGGCTCGAGCCTAATCGTGGTCCCTCTTCCATAGGAACCTCCGTCAAACAAGAGTTTGCCTGTGGAGGGATCTGAAAGTATCCAAGAAGTCCAAAATACTTCCGGAATCTTCACCTCATTTGGTCCAGATCATTTTTCCCGATCTTCTCCTGTGTGTGGTACTATTTAGTACCAACGTGGTGCTCATGTGGTACTAAGTCTGACAAAGATGTGAGGAGATGGTCGCAGATCATCATCGGGGCTGCTCTGCGAGTGGACGGCGGTTGGTGGTACAGCCCCGCGACGGAGCGCACTGAGCTCCGGATATTTTGTGTTTGTGGGTGAGAAGCTCCTCTACAGCAACAATGCTGACCGTCGGAGTAGACGTCTCTATCCAGAGAACCTCTGGTAAGCGAGCACCCCACCTCCCCATGCCTCCTCTAGCCCTAGATCTCAGACCGGGGTCGGGACTCCGGCTTACTAGTACATCAGAATGAAGAACTTTTCCAATAAATGGAAAGAAGGGCTCTGTCTTCAGAAAAGCTCGCTCGACTGATTCCTGTGAGCACAGCACCATCCTACGCCGGGCTGGTGGCTTGATGTAGGAGTAGTGCTCACCACTAGTGTCATCGTGATGCGTTCCGTCGCGAATACTCTCCGGAGACATTCATCTGGAAATGACAATCAATTCATATGATGAGCTTTATAGTCCCATTGGAGTTTCTGCCTAATTTGGCAGCCTCAGACCCGATCGCGAAGCTCTGAAAATCTCAGTCTCGAAGTCACGCTTCCGGGACAGGAATTGACAGATCGGTCGCTCGCTTCCCGTTCGGCATACATTCGAGCGTGCGATATTCACAATGACGTGAGCTATTCATTCGACAAGTGAGGCCGCCGAATCATAATTGTATCGTATCCGATGAACTTTATTGCTCGTGATCGACATAGATGCGTCCGCGAATCGGTCATCATGGGAACGGACAGCTGTTCCGTGTCGTGCCTTTCTATTCCATCGTCATTGTCCGACCGTAGCATAGCAGCTAAATGGGAGAACGCTTTTCGGTTGGTAGTCGGCGAGTTTCGATCTTGGACACTCCGGTCTGGCGAAACGAGCCCGGCTCTGGGAAACGATGGGGTCCAGTCGATTCGCAGAAAGTACTTGCGTTGCTTTTGGTTTGCCAAGCCACCAGAGAAGCGGTGACTCACCTCAACATTCGAGAACCACCCCACCGCTCGGCTCGTGCCCAACTCGGATAAGCTTCTCCGAGGCAGTTTCTCCTCGATATTCGGCGTATGTTATTCTGTCTTTCCCTTAATCTCATACACTTTCTTGCATTGGAGCATTTCGATTCAAAGGCTCATGAGAAGCTCGTGGGCTGTCGGACGGAATCCACGAATTGCACGAGGCTTGATCTTCTTCACCGTAACCAAGACATGAGAGCCTGGCTTCTGCCAACCGTTGACACGACAACAAAGACCATTTGGATGCCTCTTCGAGAATTACCACGAACACGACGGTTGTTTTCACCGCGAGCCATGCTCCGGAAAATTGCTTATCGTGTCGTTCATGGAGCATGCCGCATTAGTTACGACTATCGATACGTATTCGTCTTGCTTGTTCCATCGAACAATGATAGAACAGGGCGGGCGAATCCCGGTAATCGGATCGGGAGTATTTCGGAGAGCCGCCAGCCCTACTTCGTCCAGTGCGTCGAACGCTTTACTTCGTCCTGTTTGATGAACGGGACACGACCACTGCTGAGTTTCAATGTCGTTCGGAGTTTTGAGGTTTTTCAGAGCACGACTCTGTCGGAGTGAGGTCGAGCATTCGGTAAATCCAACATGAAGAGAATAATGTATGACGGAACGACTTTTCTGAAGCGGCCTTGACATGCCCGTCTATCGCAATGCTTTGCGTAGCGAGCCGTTGTTCCGTACAATCCGGCCGAGAGGAGCTCACGGAGCGTGGGAGACGGACATAGTCGCAGTCGTCCAGTTCTTGCTGCGGTTATCCGGACGGCCAGAAACCCCGCGACGGGAGCCGCGATGCTAACTCTGCCTCGTGACACATACTAGCGATGCGCTTCGAAGGACGATTCCCTGATTGGATGAGCGGCCGGACCGTCCATCTAACTTGAGCTCAATCAATGAAGTGTATGCTAGACGGGACATTTAGCCCAGCGATACACGCGACCCGGGTGGAGTTCGGCATCCGGGCGGCGAAACGGCCTACAACGTCTCTGGCCTACATTCTAGGCTGGACTAGGATCGATCTATCCACTTACTGTTTCTCGCGAGCCCTCGCTCTGAGCCTAAGCAGCTCGTTCGCTCCGGAAACGGCGTCGCGTGGGATCAATTTTCAGTAGGGACAGCCCGAATTTCGCTTCGGAAGTCAGATTATCCCAAAATGCTGCAGCACAATGCGGTAAAAAACGTGCCGAACTTCATCCCTTCCTGCATTTTCAGCCCGTCTTTTTTACTCAAGGGAGCTAGTCTGAATCGGTATTTTTCCCGAGCAGACGTCCCCTCAGTCGGCTGGTCGGTGGCATCTGAAAGCTGACAATTCCACACTTCCCGAAACCCAGTCAAAAACGGGCGCGTGTCTCCGACTGATGCGAATCCTGTCCCCTGACTTCGCCCCGACGACAAGTCGTGACGTTCCTAAAATGATACCGTGGAAGAGTTCCGCAAGAATCACGCCCGTCATTCAAGCACATTAGCTGTGAGAGAGCTTTAGAATGCGAGAATCGAAGTCGCCTGATGAGGAGACACGTACGCGCATTGAAAATCGGCTCCTGATGATTTCCAGGGGGTTGGGTGCTCTGTTGTGCGCTGCGAGGGATGAGATGGAATTTTTTCCTTGTTGCGAGCTTATTTCGACTTGCGCGTGTTTTTTCGCCGGATCGGGTCCCATTAGAATTGATTGGTCGATTGATTTCTCTGTCTTTCCAGGCAAGGTCCACTCGGCTAAAGTAACAGAAATCAACGAAAAGAACCGAACGGTTACTGTTGAATGGTTCGAAAACGGAGACACCAAAGGAAAAGAGGTGAGTGGGAGACGAGAGCACGGAAAGACGAGGAAATTCGATGCGAAACGCAGGAAATATTCCAACGAGGAGATCTGGCAGTAGCAGCGGACTAGTTAGCGTGGATACTGCCACAACAAAGAGTAGACAAGAAGAGCACGCCACCGTGAGGGTAATCGCCGATGCTACCCGCTCACATGGCTAATCAACGAATTAATAGCTCGTATAAAAGATCGCCTGCGAGGTTCGTCGCTTGAGCGGAATGCGGATGATGGCATCATTCTCGGCCGAAAGGCCTAAATAGACGTCGTCCGCACGCACTCGAAGCCAACACACATAAGCTGTCTCGACAGCGACTCTGTCCGGGTAATCGATTCCATCATCCTTCCTAACTGTTCCCAAATCTCTATCCTCATTCTTCGAAGTCCTTCTTGATTCCGGATGGGAATAATACCGCGCGAGGAAGCTGATGGGGCCAGGGAGACGATGGAACAAGATTGGAAGGCTCGAATTTCAATTCTGCTGCTCGAACAATCTGAGGCGGCGATTCCCAACCAACAAGGGTTGTGAAAGCATGGGGATGTGCGGGGGCTTCCTTGCTCAGACAGGAACTTCTTGTTCACGGAGATCTCTTCCGGGTTCCCGAATTGAAGAAGCGAATGTATCTTCTGGGCGTAGAAATGGAAGAGCGGATGGGAGCCGCGAGGAAATCCTGGGTTTCCCCTCGGATGTAGAGCAGCCGTTCGAGGGAGAAAACGACTCGAGCTCGCGTGGCTGCGGATTCTTTCCGCGTCTCGGGATTTCGAGCGAAGATCGAAGCGATCCCGATCGCCTGGTGTCCGTATGAACCCTCCTGTGGACTAAGGAGCGTTAATGGCTGAACCCCTCTTAGGTTTCTCTTGCTGACATTGTGCAGCTCAATCCGAAATACTTCGTCGGCGCACCTTCACCAAACCTCAGCGCTACAGGACCTCGGATCGCCATCGGTCAACATCAATATGGTCGGGTAAGTCAGCTTTCAAAATCCAGGCCGCGAGTCGGGAATCAGGATTCCCGATTCACGAAGGTGCATCATACGTCCGAAGAGACGAGGGCTCCGTCGAAGTTCAGATCCTCATGGAGATTGTCCTTCCAGACCACGCAAATCAACGGTGCTCGCATCGTTCCAGCGCAAATCGACAATGACTTCGTGGCGCCGGCTCCGCCCCAACACAAGAAGCAAATCGCTAAGCCTGGAGGTGAGCAACGAGAAACTCTCGATAACGATCGGGCGATTTATCGGGGGACCATTCCGCCGAATTTCCTCGTGTATAAACACGCTGTGGACCTACGCATTTTGAGCAGGCCGGTAGACATGAGCGGTAGAGGAAGTGCTCTACTTCGGATATAGGAAGACTAGAGGCCGCTCGATGAAGATCCAATGCGTCGGTCAGTCGATCCGCATTGGAACGTTTCCCCTTGTACAGAGTCATTCCAGTCATTTATCTCTTAGCAATCGATTTCGTTGCCGTCAGAGTTAGGCGGATAGTGGAACATTTAGTCGCTCGATCAGTCAGTCTTCCGGTCCGCCCGACTCAGACCGAAGTCAATAAATCGGAGCCTCTGTAGCCGTAGACATGTTCAGAGGATAGAGGTACACAAAAGGACCCCCCCGTGCACTCCCCGAACTGCTCCGTAGTATCCCACCGCAGATCCCCGAGACCTCCCGGATTTAATGAAGTTTGACTAGAAGTGCAACTTCTGCCATTTGCTTTGAACCTGAGATGTGTGGGTGCCTGTGAGTGAAAGTACGTCTTCTCTTTCTCTCTCATGGGAGCCAGTCTCTGGAGGCAGACATAAGAACTTCGACCCATGTCCCGCCCAGAAAAATTCGATAATTGTCGTCAGACGAACCACCGAGGCGAATGGTTCGGAACTTTGATCGTCTCCCGATCGAGGACTTTGATACTTCGCGTTACGAGAAACTCTGGAGTCGTTCGTGATTCCTCTTCCCAGAGGAATCTCCGCTATGATTTCGAGCGATCAAGCATCTAACATCGATTACGTACTTTAGCGAGTACAGGATCTACGGTTCCCGTGGTGCCTCCGCACAGCGGAAGTCTTAACCGGGCTTCGAATAATACGTGTAGGTTCACTCCTGAGACAGGGAGATTGCTTCCGTAATTTCGGTATAAATGAGCGAAAGGATGATTGTGGTTGCTGTATTTCCGACCCTTGGCACGGCTGGATGATTCGCCTTCTGTTCGAAGTTCTGCAACTGATTTGAGGAATTAGCAATCTGCCCGACTCAATGAGCAAGAGGGAGGCACGTCGGCATGCAGGGTGCACGATGCTCAGACGCAAGATTTAGTTTGGGAGGAAAGTCTTATCCCACGCTCCGAATTTAATTTATCGCAATCGAATACTCCACCACATCAAGGGGGTGTCAAGCTCGCACGAGTGAACTCTGAGCACTATACGAGTGCATCCCGAAAGTCTTTCGCAAACGATTGGTTCTAGCACGCGGTTCTCTTATTCGCCGACTCGCGGCGAAATGCCTCATTTGTCGTGATAAACCCCTATTTGACGTCAGAGCGAACGCATTCCAGTCAAGCTACGAGCCTCCACCGTCACTGCGGTTCAAGATAACAACAATTCGAACTACGCTGTGGTGAATAAAGCAAACAAAGAAAAGGAAGCGACTACTCCCGTGACGCCTGTCACCCCACAAGAGCCCGAGCCTCCGAAACACGCTGTCACGGACAACGGCCAAGACAAGAACGCTGGGCCCGCCAGGAAGAGCGTCGCAATGAGCAAGGTGAAATTACCCCCCGTTCATTGTTCGTCATCACTGAAGACCCGTTTCGGTTTGAACTCGTTCACAGATAAGATCTGGGAATTGTTTCAGGTCGACGAGATCAAGAAGAACCGCGAGGAACGCCGAGCGAAGCAGGCGGAAGCGATGGCTCAGAAACAAGAAATGACCAAGAATCAATCGAACAACAAGAATTGGGAGTTCGGAAACATGATCAAGTTAGTGTTCAAATAAGCCATGTAAAACTTGGGCTCTCCGCCGAGTGAACGGATCTCATTCATTGGTCATGCTCGTCGGAATCAATCGCCTAGTTCAGCTCGGAAACTCCTTCCTTGCAGAGAGTACCGAGCCCAGCTGAATATTTCGGCGTTGAACATCAACGAGCCAGTGCTGGATCATAAGATCTGTGTGGCAGTCCGGAAGAGACCCTTGAACAAGCGCGAGAACGCACGTGGAGAGGTCGATGTGATCACCATCCCGAACCGGGATACGATCCTCATCCATGAACCAAAAACCAAATTAGATCTTACTAGATACCTTGACCATTCGAACTTCCGGTTCGACTATGCTTTCGAGGAAGGTGCCGACAACGAGTTGGTGTACAGATTCACCGCGAAGCCTCTCGTCAAAACGATTTTCGATGGAGGCATGGCAACTTGTTTCGCTTACGGACAAACTGGGTCCGGAAAAACCCACACAATGGGAGGAAACTTCAGCGGGAAAGGACAGGATTGCTCGAAGGTACCAATCAGAAGCGGGTTTCCTCTCCGTATTCCCACAGAAAAATCATATTATAATAATAATTATTCCCCTGTGTCAAGGAGTATGATTCGAACTCAAGTTCTCAATGCAATTTTTCGCCAATTACTCAGGGTATTTACTACATGGCCACGCGGGACATTTTCACCCTCCTGCGACAGCCGAAGTACGCGTCGCAGAGTTTTGTGGTGACAGCTTCATACTTTGAGATCTACGCGGGGAAAGTGTTCGACTTACTCAACGGGAAAGAGATGCTTCGTGTTCTTGAGGACGCCAAAGGCCAAGTACAAGTGTGCGGCTTAACCGAAATCCCGGTTCACTCGGTCGATGGGGTTCTTGAGCTCATCCAGAAAGGCTCCACGGACAGAACCAGCGGACAGACGCAAGTGAACGCAAATTCATCTCGGTCACACGCCGTTTTCCAAATTTCGCTCAGAAAGGCTACTCGTCTCCACGGGAAGTTCTCTCTGATTGATCTCGCGGGAAACGAACGTGGAGCCGATACGGCATCGGCCGATCAACGCACTCGAATGGAGGGCGCCGAGATCAACAAATCCCTGCTCGCTTTGAAAGAATGTATTCGAGCTCTGGGGAGGAAAAACGCCTCGCACACACCGTTCCGCTCGTCAAAACTGACCCATATTCTCAAAGATTCGTTCATCGGCGAGAACACGAGAACTTGCATGATAGCCATGATCTCGCCCGGAATGTCGTCTTGTGAAAACTCGCTCAACACTTTACGCTACGCAGACCGTGTGAAAGAACTCGGTGCTGAAAATCCCCTAGAACGTCAGGAGAGAGAGGATCGTGAGATGGAAAACATAGTCGACGTCGATCTAGATGAGGAACTGTACGACGTAAGTTCTGTTCGCAAGGCGTAGCCTCAAGGAATATAATCGAGCAAGCCGCTCTTGGTCGCAGATGCTTTCGATCTAATCGAGATTTTCTCCAGGGCGATCAGATATCATCGGAAATGTTAGAGTTGACCCAAGCCGTAAGCCACCTTCAGGAGCTGGAGGAGGATTTGCTGGAGGCTCACGGGGAGATGATCGAGGTCTACCCCAAGTTCACTCTGCAGCTCCGCCAAATCATGGACATCACCAAGAGGGTGGATTACGATATGAACGAATACGTCGGTAGAATGACGGACCTCATCGAAGAGAACAAGCAATACATCGAGCGAATGGAGGCGCGCTGCCGGTGAGTTCACAACATCGACTATCTTCCTACTTCATATCCTCTCTCCTATCTGGGGTCTGAGACGACGATATGCAATCCCGTCCGTCGATTTCCTAACGAGCCTCGCCGATTTCCCTCATTCCGCAGAGCCATGCGACAACAAATGCAAGAAGAAGAAAAAATCTCAATGGCTATGAAGAGGCCCCACTACTAGGAAAAAGCTTTTCCCCGGTTCAACACTCATCAGACATTATTAGAACCACCGCTCGCTAATGAGATGAAAATATAGACGCCTCGGACTCCTGTTCTGCCCGTCCCCCACCCGCTAGGAGACGGAGTCAGCCATGCGGGTCTTCGGCCGCCTCCCTAGCTCCCAGATTAAGCTGCTTCGCTCCAGGATTATCTCCGGCAGCAGGGATTACTTCCTCGAAAAATGAGTTTATCGGAGTTCACTCACGTTCTTCCCCAATCTCCAAGACCGGGATACACGGCTAAGAGTTCCTGGGAAGTAGGAGAAGGGCGTGGGAGCGAGGACTCATTGTAGTTCTCTGCCGCCACGCCGAAAATCTTCTCGGCGGTGTGAATGCTCCAATATGGTCGCTCGAGGTTTCTGGGGGCGCCTCATCTGTGATGTCAACCTAAACCTTTCGGCCTCGAAGGATGTTGCCCTCAACTGTGACATCTTCGTGTCCAATCCGTGTAGGTTATCTTGAGTTCCCCATCTACGCAGCAAGCACCCCAAATTCGTTTTCCCCTACATGGTGTGAAAAAATCGGTAGGGTTCTTTGTCGGGGGACGCGATTTTGGATTCGAAATTCAGAGAAATGGTCCTTTGGTGAACAATTTATTCATATGACAGAGCATGCATAGTAATTATCATTAATATCATATTTATCAAGGTATTTATACATTCAACGAAATATATCAGTGAGCTGACGCCAAGTTCAGAAGACTTTCGATGCGCGGTTCTCTCTATGAATCCCTCCTCGCGGCGGCTCGAAATTTCCCTTCACTTATCACCCCAAGAAAATCTCGCGATCTGATACCTGGTTCGATAATTATTATCATGGATCAATCAGTATGGGGGGAGCTTCGGTATACCGCGGAAGAAAATGCATGGAACGTTGGCATAATATTCGTCACTTGCGCCCAACGTCATCCGGAGAATTCGAGGACGGGGGTGTACCGAAGCCAGACGAAGCTTCTAGCGGAAGTGTCGTGAATCAGTGGCATGATCGAGGAGACTCAATGAGGTTTTCTAGTGAACTGGATATACATAGGGACACGAGATTTCCTGTCTACTCAGGGGATAAATTTCGAAATTCGATCATCAACGCAAGCTTTAATTATTAAACGTTCCGAATCTCAGAAATCAGGAGTTGTTCCTTCAGCACTGAATTCTATCCTTTTCGAAGATGAAAGTCATTTTCTGATTATCGAACCCCAGGGCGCGAAGAGCCATCCAAGCAATGGCTGAGGTTTGACCAGTGGAGGAGGATGAAGATTTGGACAAGAATCGCCTTGCTTTAAGATACGGTGAAAAGCTAATGATTTTGCAGAAATAAAGGCTTACCACTCCACAACGAAGCTGTGATCCTTATCATAGGTTGATCCACACGTTGAGTCCGTGCGAAAGATTGTGCCCTGGATTTAGGCGTATATAAACTCCACGGAGAACCACGGGCACAAGGAAAAGGAGCTAGGATCTTCGGGCAGTGTAGGTTCTCGCAGGCTTGATCGTAGCTCCATCGACGACATCAAAGGCGGTCCCCAACTCTCCGCCATCGGAGCATTCACCAGGAATGAAAGATACCAGAGGTAGGGAACCGCGATGAATTGATAGTTTCATCAGAATCAGGCGCGATCCTTGAATGTTGAGCTGCTCCGCGGAGATGATCTCAAGAGGTCTCTCTCAAGATCTCACCGAGGTCCTCAAGATGACATCTGGCTCATGTGAGATCAGAAGCGTTCCAGCGAATTCTCTATGATCTGATGTTCATTCGCGGCCCAGCGGATTCTCTCGATCCGTTGCGGTGTTCCTCCCTCATTGACGCAATGCAGAGATGATTCAGGTCTCGGCTACTTGCCACTCTCAGAGCCCATTTTTTGACTCACCTACGAGCACGTCTCCGTCAAAGTTGAATAAATTCAAACGTTCGATGAGGTGTCGATTCGGGGCGGAATTCGGAGTGCGCACTGTCAGTCCGTCGAGCCCCCAAAATCTCTACTCCGAGCTTGGCACGTGTGAGGTACCTGACGATCTAAGCAGTTCACCTACTTCCGAGCCTTTCTCGCGAAAGGCCTTTGCGAATGAACATCACTATTTCCTCGTTTCTAGTCACCCGAGCGAGCAGTTCAGTCGGGAAGGCGTCCCGCTCGGAATATTGCGGCACACGGAGTACTTTATTTCGTTATATTGTATTGTGTGTTGCATCGACGGGGGAATTCCCCTCATTGCCTCCCCTCGACGCTTCTCACCAACGCGACTTCTGCCTCATTCCGATGCATTCTTGAGCGAGCCTCCTCCCAAAATCGGGATCAGGAGCCTGAGTTTCGGATGACGTATCGTTTCGGCTTGGAGTTCTCGTCGAAGTGTCGAGGGTCTCCGTTCATGGGACCGACGCCGACATGTGCAAGGTGGATTCTCGTAAATACCTATTCCTGATTCGTGTTCGAACTCAGACGACCGGATTCTGGACTCCACTTTCCCCCAAGGTCAATTTACTGGGCACGTATTCGCATGCGCGACCAGTTCGGAGAGTTTCTCCACCGACCGAACAATACTGTACTCCGCGCGCGTATCGTAGCCGATTGGAGTCTGCGTGGAGAGGGTTCAGAACTCCCTTCGCATCCGAGTAATAAGAGGGTATTGAGCAACACTCTCACAAACAGCCGCACTCGCTCTCATTCACATACAGTGCCACTCATTGTGTAAATATAGCCCGCCAGCGGACGTTTGTCGACAGGGAAAGCAGACAAAGTTCTCGGAGTTCGAAAAAGCGCGATTGAGATTCGAGCGGAGCGCTTGTGATCGTGAGATTGAGTATCGTCCGGAATTCAGAAGCCTCCAAAACCTCCGCCGGGAAGATGAGTTGCGTCTCGAGATCGATTCTCATCGATGTTCATCTGCCGGCATCGGATGAAGGAACGAAGCACAGATTGCTGGAAGTGCTCGACGACCAGCTCGAACAGTTAGGCCTGACGCGTACCAGTTTCACCCACAAACTCGCTTCATCGCAGCTTTACGTTTACGTTAGCGACAACGACATAAGCGGCAGCCTTCGCGTATATCCCTCGAACAAGTTGGCCACTCTGACGCTGGAGGAATCGAGCGACGAGCAGGCGATGAGCAACGAAGACATCGAATGTTTCCGCAAACAGCTCCAGAAAGAGCTCGAAATGCGCGTCGTCAGAGTGCCACACCTCAAGAGGGGTCCGCCAGTCCCAAATTACTATACGTCAGCCGACGAACGCTTGCTAGAGTACGACTTCGATAAAATTCTCTTCGAGAAGCAGAGCGACTTCCAGGAGGTGAAGATCCTCAGCTCGCCGACGCTTGGCGCCGTGCTGTTCCTCGACGATCTGCAGAACTTGGGCGAATGTGATTTGCCGTACACGCACGGTATTATGGATTTCGGAAACTACAGCTATACCGACAAGGACATACTCATTCTCGGCGGGGGTGACGGAGGACTTCTGCACGAGCTACTCAAGGAGAGCCCCAAATTCGTCACGATGATCGACATCGACGAAGTTGTTATGCAATCGTGCCGGAAACATCTCAGAGGAGCTTGCGGCGATTGCCTGGATACGTACGAAGGTCCCAATTATAATGTGATTGTAGGTGATTGCTTGGAGTACATGGAACGCTATAAGAACGAAGGAAGAAAATTCGACGTGGTCTTCAGTGATCTCACCGACATACCGATCTCAGCGGAAATCGGCGGGCTAGCCCAACAGAACGAACAGTGGGAATTCCTGAGCAAGGTTCTAAACGATAGTTTGGACATTATGAACAAGGACGGAGTGTTCCAAAACCACGCGATCGGTAAAGGATGCGTTCAGGCGCTCGAAAGTTACGAGAAGTTCCTCAATACCCTAAAAGGTACACACTTCACGAAGCGTATTCGATTCGTTCCCTCGTTTCTGGAAGAATGGGTTTTCTACAGCATCTTCAAAGACGCCTGATCTGGATATGCTCCAGAAGAGAGTCTCTTCATCAGCCGGAAACTTCTTAGATCAACTAAAGCGCTTCACTGCCCGCTGCTGTCAAACGTTACTTCCGTGTCCGAGCGTTGAGGCTCAAAATTCGTGTCTGCGTAGTGTCCGGAACATGGGTTTTCAAATCGAAGTGGACCTAATATGGCCCCGAATGAGTCTGTCGTTCTTTGTGTTTCTCTGGAACTCCGAGTCCGCTCATTCTTTTATACCATAATAATATATCTATGTGGCTAGATACGATCTATACCCAATGAAATCTTATTTGTAATTTATGAATAAATTTTGCGCGTGTCTCGACTCGCTATCCCCGATCGACGGTCATTCGCATGGTCCTCTCACTGTCTGTGAGTATCATGGGTCTACTACGAAAAACAGCCGAGGTCAAAGTCGCATTTTTTTATGTAATATTTCAATATATTTACATGTATGCCCAACGGTACACAAAGAGACAGACTTCTGTTTTGAGAATTCTGGACTCCTCTGCGCTAAAATTCTCACAAGCCGTATTGTGGTCTGCGGGGAGCGAAATGATGGTAAAATCGACTTAGTCAGCCTGACGGCAAACGTATCACTGTCTGTAATAGCCTTGAGGTGGTGCCCTGTAATCTCTCGGTGGATGGGGAGGCCGTTGCTGCCAATGTGTCGCAACAGGAGGCGCTCCCCTGAAGTCATCGTATCCAGCGGTCTGCGGGGCATACGCTGTTGGCGGAGGTGGGGGTTGGCCGTAGGCCGTGGGATGAGGTCCGTGGACGTACGCGGATGCATGAACCGCCGAGGGTACCGGCGGATACTGTCCTCCCGTATAGACCGCCGTGGGCGGCGGAACCATCTGGGGAGCATAGCTGTGAAGGATCGAAATTCGGTCATTCTGCGGCGATAAACTCGAACGAGCGATGCGTCTCATCTCGGGGAAGAATTAGTTTTAAGGAATCAGAAGAGTTACTTACACGGGCGGGGGTGTGAGGTAAGGCGGAGGTGGACCAGCTGGGGGCACGGGTGCGGATAACGCTGAAAATAAAAGTTGATTCAGAACAATGGGGATCGGTCGAATTTGCGGGGCAAGAATCGTGTTCTTGAAGGGAAGTTTCGTGAACCAACCGGGAATAGGCGGGAGCGGCGGAGCCGGTGGGGGAGGATTGAAGGCCACGACAGGTTTGGTCGGCGCGGGGACTGTTACTGAAGGCACCGACGGAACTCTTTGAAGAGCTGTCGGGGGAACCGCGGGGAGCGGATGAACGCTGCGAGGATCCCTCGTCACCGGCACGGTCGCGGTCTTTTCTTTCTCCTTGCACTTGACATGCCGGTGAGCGATGTGGGCCTGCAATGAATGGAATGAAATATCCAGGGCGATGGATTTCTGGAGGAAAGGAACGATACGCTTCTCCGATCTATTGGGGGAAGTCGAAGACTCGGAACTCACCTGGAGATCTCTCTGACTCAAGTAGGTTCTCTTACAGAGCTCCCTCGTCTTGCTTTGTTGATGTGTACACATGAAAACCTTGCCTAGAGTAGTTTGCTCCACCCGTGAAACCTTCTCGTTGCATTTGTGACAGACTTTATCAGCGGCTCGGCCACACTCCAGGCAGAAAACGTGCTTGCAAGGAATCTGGAGGGGCGAAGAAAATTAGTCGGCTCCCGAAGGTCAACGGAAATTCCGACACCGTGCTTGGAAATCAGGGGAAGCTGAAGACGAGCGGTTTACCATGCGAGCGTAGATGAGAATCGGCAGATGACACTTGTCGCAAATATGAATCATTGGGTCCACCACTTTCTCGCCGATGAGATTCACTTTATGCTTCCATTTCAGACTCTCGTTGTGATGTCGTGGAGACGGCGGACCTTTGAGCAACGGTGAAAACGACGGTGGTTCCAGCGATGCAGCGAGCATAGGTGAAAGGGACGATGACTCTGCAACGGACCGAACAAATCGTCGTAATCATTCTATCCGAGCCCTGATCTATTTGAGGAGTTCTCAATGATTTATTTCGCCGTACCTGTCAACTTCGCGGGCTCGACGATATCGATTGGGACTGTCGGTTCTGAATGGATCATATCGCTTGGATGCTTCTCAGGTTTTTTGACGATCGCATCCTCCAGGCTCTCCTCATCCGAAGAAATTATTTTCCTCTTCGACTTGCTTCTGGCAGGGAGGTTAGCTCTTTTCCTCGAGCCTGAAGACCGTGATTTCGTCCGGATAGAAGCGTTTCGGCGTCCGATGGGCTCATCAGAATCTGTAATTGTCGCGGTGATTGAAAAAGAACCTAGCGGCTTCAGGGAGGTTTTGGAACCATGATGCAGCGAAGCTCAACAGATTCCGGAAAATCCGCGGATGTCACTTCTCCTCCAGCCTTTAATCCCCCACGGTATCCCATGTTTCTTGAATCTATACTGGCTTCGTTACAGCGGCAATTGGGGCGCTGATCTATCGGCAATATATAGTCAGAGTAATTCCCGCCTAGCCTTCGGAAGTCTAAAATCCCATTCCCCCTCATGAGCGCGGAGATACTGTACGCAATGATTCGATCACAACGTTCAAAAATCGAAGCGGCATTCTTTTATGCACAGAGTGAACTCACCATTGTCGGACATGTTGTCGGACACCGCTATCTCTCAAGAGTTACACTGCCAAGATTCTTCCCGGTGAGTTCGCTGAATTGATGCCGCTAGTTTCGATATTTGGAGCGATGATGCGATAGCGGTGGCGCAACTTACGTCGATGGTCATGCGATTGATCGTGATTTAGCCGAAACAAGCGAGTAGCTATTAGAATTAAGGAGTCAGATTCGATCGCCAGGCCTTCATCCGGCTGCTACGCTAGTTCGCCGGCTTGACAGGAGAACTTGCTTCTGTGTATCGAACTTCACCGTCGCTGCCGCACCACCACCGTGTGTTGATATTTATCTTTGTTGATGTTTATTTCTTCGATGGAACGCGCGCGTGCCACTCACTCAGACGAAACCGGGACAGAACTCGGAGCGCTGTATGGGACGATGAGGCGGATTTCAAGTGCGCGCAATGGTTGGAGGGAGTCCATCCTCGGGGAAGGTCTTCTCAGAAGAAGGAAATGGTATAGCGGGAAGGAAGCCATATCTCAACGAATCGCCTCAAACCGGAGACCCCCAGAGCGGTGGCCGCATCGAATCTCCTTCCATAACCGCCGTCGAGAAGACCGTCTCGGAGCTTCTTCCAGGAAGACAGCGTGGCTCAGGGTGGAGGAATGATCCGCCCGCTTACCGACACCGTATGGAACTTCTAGAAGAGCTGCGTGTCCCGAAAAGAAGCTGAAAGTACGTGGAGATGATGGCCCTGCTTCCCAGTAAAGATCATCAACATCGCAGAGAGCCCGTATTGGTCTGCTGGAGAGAGGGCTCACAGTAGTTCACATAGGAGGGAAAGCATTCCCCTTTCCTCATCAAAATTATTCCTTTCGTTCGATTTTCCCAACCCCTTGTCGTTTCGTGGGAACGGGTGCTTGAGATATAGCGTTCCTCTGAAACCCGGAACGTCTCACACAGACGCGTTCCGATGGCAGCCCGAGAGCCAGAGCCGATCGGCGCAAGAAACCGTTGCTTGTGATTTTTGCATATTGTTCTCGGAACGACTTCGCGAGCACTCTCTCGAATCGTTCGCCAGAGATCTTCCGAATCGATCGCGCATCTTATCGAGACGAGTCATTCGTCTAGGAACGAATTGTCGAGAGGCAAGATCGAGGAATTATGCTGACAGAGAGAGTGTCAACTCCGTTCCTCGAGCGGCGGTATCGCTCGCTATAAGGAGCGCGTGTGTGGTATTGCCAAGCCAGCACACCACGCGCAATCGTTCGGTGCGGAGGAGGAACATTGAAACACCGGAGCTGATTCGCGCACGTTGCATGAAACTCGGCGTTATTATCGACAGGGGTGGATCTGATCGTCATTGAGCTTCGGAGGGGGACCCCGACCAACGACTTGTGACCCTTAACGGGAAAGCCAGCAGAGTGAGTATCTGTGGTGTTCGAAAAAAGTTTGCGCCGCTACCGAGACCTTGTGAGGAGATCAACCTTGAATGCCAAGTTGAAACTCTGTGTTTTGATAGCCGTCATACGGCGCATATTTTTTTGATTGAGCAGCCATGGTGTCGAGAACCCTGAGGCCCCCCTATCCTTCAATCCAGTGCCACGCTCGGCTAATTGGGCTTCTCCGACGTTCGATGCGCATGTCGCACAGCCGAAACACAATTTAATAGGGAGCTCTTCGGGAACTCGAGCGACTGCGGTACAGTCAAAACTCTGCAGAGAAAAGCTTCCTTTCCTCGCCGAGAGATCTTCACTTGATTGCGGTGACATCGCCACTACTCGGAATATGTGCGGATAACCAGAATCCTTCTCGCAATGGTCGAGATCGGAATACGAGCGGATGTTTCGGTTCTTGCAGATGTCGTCCAGGATCTTCCAAGGACTCGCTCCCAGCCTCCTCCGAGGAGCAACTCGGGGCATGCGGAAGAAGAATCCAGAAAAACGCACGACTTCCCAAGCCGTCTCATCTCTATTCATGCCGGCACCTCTGAAGCCCGGCTCGAATTCAGACGACATAAACGTTGGAGCGGAACTCGGTGCTGAAATCGACAAGAACGGCCTTCGGAAGGCGTTGAATGAGTTCCACAAACGTCCTGAGGTCATAGAGCTGGCCGCTGAGAATGGTCTCGACAGTTCCTTGTTCCAGAGAGCCTTCCAATCGTTTCGACAGTTCTGCGAAACCTCCGAGAAACTGGACGCCGAATTTCACATAGTGTGCAGCGATCTTCTCCGAGGCTCCGGCCATGTCACGGACATTTTCCCGTACTTCTTGCGGCACGCGAAGCAAGTGTTCCCGCATGTCGAGTGCATGGACGAGCTAAAGAAAATCTCGGATTTGCGTCTACCAGCGAATTGGTATCCCGAAGCGAGATCCGTGGAGAGAAAATTCATTTTCCACGCCGGACCGACGAATAGCGGAAAAACGTACCACGCAATGGAGGCGTTCATCAGTGCGAGTAACGGTGTATATTGTGGTCCTCTGAAAATGCTCGCTGTCGAAGTCTATCAGAAAACGAACGCCCGGGGTACGTCGTGTGATCTTGTCACCGGTGAAGAGCGTCGGCGTCCGAACGGCGATATGCCGTCGAGTCACGTTGCCTGTACCGTGGAGATGACTTCCACCAAAGAATTTGTTGACGTAGCGATAATAGACGAGATCCAAATGGTGAAGGATCCTCAACGAGGTTGGGCATGGACGCGTGCGCTCCTCGGAATCCCAGCCAAAGAAGTTCATCTATGCGGTGAGGAAGCCGCGATTCCCCTCATCCGAGAGATCTTAGCCCCGCTCGGTGAGCAGATCGAAGTCAGGAACTACGAGAGACTCACGCCACTCGTCGTCGAGAAGGAGGCTCTGAGGTCGCTGTCCAATCTGCAGCCGGGCGACTGCGTTGTGTGTTTCAACAAAAACGACATCTACACTGTCTCGTTAGAGATCGAACGAATGGACAAGCAGTGTGCCATCATATACGGTTCCTTATCGCCAGGTACAAAATCAGCACAATCGGAGAAATTCAACGATCCCGATCACCCCTGCAAAATCCTCGTCGCGACCGACGCCATCGGTATGGGACTGAATCTCAGCATCAGGAGGATAATTTTCTACAACGTGACCAAGCCGAACACCAACGAGAAAGGCGTGTGCGAGAGGGAAGTCCTCTCGGTCTCCCAGGCTCTCCAGATCGCCGGCCGAGCCGGAAGATTCGGCACGGCCTGGTCAGAAGGTCGCGTCACGACAATGAAGCCGCAGGACCTGCCGATTCTGACCCATCTCCTCAATTCGAAACCGGAAACGATAGCCGCAGCTGGTTTGCATCCGACAGCCGACCAGATCGAACTGTTCGCATATCACCTGCCCCACGCGAACTTATCGAACCTCATCGACATCTTCTGTTCCCTATCCCGCATGAACAACGCACAGTATTTCATGTGCAATGTCGAATCGTTGAAGTACCTGGCCGACCTCATCCAACACGTGAATCTGCCTCTGCGAGCGCGATATGTGTTCTGTTGCGCGCCGATCAATCCGAAAATGCCGTTCGTCACCACCGTGTTCCTCAAGTACGCCAGGCAGTACTCCCGAAACGAACCGGTCACTTGTCAGAGAGTTCACGAAATCATCGGCTGGCCGCTGAAATCGCCGGAAAACATCGTGGAGCTCGTGCATCTCGAAGCCGTATTCGACGTCGTCGACCTGTACCTCTGGCTCAGCTATCGCTTCCAGGACCTGTTCCCCGAACAGGAACGAGTGCGCGAACTGCAGATAGAACTGGATGAAATGATCCAGGGCGGGGTGGTTTCGTTCACGCGGCTGCTGAGGGCCGTCACTTCTGCCGATGGAGAGAAAGCAGTAAGGCGGAGACCCCGTCGCGAAACGAAAAAGGTAGTCCCCGAGAACGCATCCGCAACGAAATTGACAGATTCTCTCATCTCAAGGGGACTCATCACCGAGGACGAATTAAAAATGCTACAAGAGGAATGGCTGAATTCATCGAAACCCAGCTAGGTGTCCGATAATAAAAAAATGGGTGGTGCGGCTCAGCGTAGGATTAGACGAATACACACATACAATATTGTTTTCCGAGGAACGGAAGCGCTCGCGATAGTCGTCATCTGTCATCAGCCCGATTCTAATTCTGGAGTTCCGGTGACCGTTCCGGAGACTCAGAAAGTCCGTAGCATATGACTTGACGTCGTGATCGGTTCATCACGGGAAACGAGTAGACGAAGGTCGGACGTGGAACAAACTGGGGGTCGATGATGTTCATTTGTAAAATAATCTTGGAGTAATAAATCTAAACTACATATTTGAGTTGAAACGAGTGGCGCCTGAACATTCAGGAGACATCGAGAATGGAGCCTAGAGCTCGAGAAATCGGAACTCGAGAGAACCCTGCGTTGATCTAGGGCTCCTGAAGAATTTACGTAGACCAAAAGTCGTGGGCGATTTTTTTTCTTCGACTCCGCCGCGGAAACGGATCCTCCAGCATCCGTCAAGCCCCACAGAGGAACACGGGTGCAAATGAATTCTGAGGGATGGTTGGTGGGATTCATCTTCAAGGAAAGGAACTCATTTATTCTGATACTTCTGTGGGTGTCCGCTCAATTCGCACGTAAGATCAAACTTGTATACAAGGAAGTTTTCCTCAAAGGTCATCCTGGACGTCCCAGTCCGACACGTCTCTCGATCACGAGCCGTAAGCCTCTTGTCTCTGTGTTATCATGCGCGAGGAAAGAATTCGGACGGCCAGTCCAGCCTACGATCCACCGCTCCACCGAATCCCGGCAACTATGCTACTATTGCGTTGAAAAGTAAGGAGCACTCTTCTGATCCAGGAGCGTATGACAAACGGCGCACACATTAAAGCTTCGACGATTCGGTCCCGACTGAATGGTTTTCGAGACACAGGTGGGACAGAATATTCTCCCGCAATGACTACAGTTGGGCTTTTTCCCGGACAGATGTTTCTTACAGCTGTTACATTCCGTCACGTCGTCCGGATGCTGGAATCGAACCTCACCGTCACAGACGCGCAGCTTCTCCAGTTCTACTTGTAAGCTCTGGGAGAGTTTCACAAAGTCCTTCTGAACGGCTTCTGAATTGTCGAGGTCCCTCTGCAGCGCGAGAACCTTGCACCGAAGTTCGTGGTTTTCTCTTTCGAACTTGTGCTTCAGAGGTTCCATGACTTCCAGTTCGGCTGCTCGGACCTTGGTCGTGGCCAACTCCTGCTCGCAAGCCCGCAGTCGCTGAACTTCGAGATTTTTTCGCTCCAGCTCGTCATTTACAGTATCCTCATAACTGCGTCGCTCTTTCTGTACCTCGTCTTGCTGCTCCTGCAGGAAGAGCAGCTCGGCGCGCAATTTTCCCTCGGCATTCTCCCAAGTGACCATCGATTCGATCATTTTCTCATGCAGCTTGAGATATTCGAATTGCAGGTTGTGAAATGCCGTCGAAAGCGCCTCGTCGTGCTCGACCATCCTGGCGGCTTTCTCGAACACGTCGGGGAGCGGTTCGGACTCCGTTTTAATCCGTTGTTCCATCCGGCTGACGTGTTTCGCCAGAAGCCTATCGTTGTCCTCGGTCAGCTGACGATTCTGCCATTCCACCCGAGCCAGTTGATGGTTGAGCTTCTCGAGCTCCGATCGGAAGGCGGCATCGGACCCGGACAGCTGAACGGACATTTCTAAAAGCAAGCCTTCATTGGTTTCGATTTTAGCTGCCAGACTCCGCGTCTCGGCAGCAGCTTCGTTCAACTGCTTGCTGAGCTCCTCTTTTTCATTTTGTCTCTTTTTATCACAGTCCGCCCGCAGGCTGTCAAGAACACTTTCCAACTCTTCGATTCGCTTCTTATAGACGTCGATCTCGTCTTCCATAGGTTTCACGACGGATCGTAGGAGAACGGTTTGTTTCTGGGCATTCCTCATGCTTTCATCTAAATCCAGACCCGCAGGACCTATGAACTCTTCGATCTGTTTCAGGAGGGCGAAGTTTTTCTCCTGTTCAATTTTGAGTTCTTCTTCCTTCGCGACGAACATCTGCATGAGCGCAGCCCTCTGTGCGTCGAACTCGGATTGCATTTGCTTCTTGAAGGCATCGAGATCGCTCGACGCGTCTCCGCATTCCGCTGCCGACACCCCTTCCATCGCGACCACAGGCAGTAGAGCTGGAAAACGAAAACACCATCGATCAGCGGAGGACAAACGCGAGGAAACAAAAAGTTTCCCGAATGGGGCCCAGCTGAGTCACGCATCGCAGAACGCGTGCGTGCGTCGTCCGTCTTCCCGGTGACCCACCCGAATGGTGGAGCACGGAGTACAGGGAAAGGGATCTAAGTGACCGAATGCGAACATCCCGCAGGAGGACCGGTCCTGAGAACGCTCCATCAAAAATTTACAGCTTCACAACTCAGCGCTCGTACGGGGAACGCTCATTAAACCTGGAGCAGAAAGCTCGCATCAGTTCGCTCCCGCGGATAAGGGAGCTCGGCTCGATATCGAACCGGCGAGCCTGTGTAATCGACGATACGCGCTGTACTAGCTCGCAGAGTCACTATCTGAGGTTATTTGACAGCTTTCGGCTAATCCTTGTCGGATAGAATATTTCCCGTCCAGGAGAAGCTGGAAACCACCGGCTACGTCATCAAAGAGATCAATAAGCCGAAAGTTCTTACTCAGTTGTGGGAATCCTCCTCGTCCATCCGGCTCGATGATGGGGGTCTTTCCGGGGAACCTGACCAACTCACTTCGAACCCTGCGACATACACACAGACACAGGACTGTGTCCACACACACGGATGGAGGGGTCACTTGTGTACTCTATGAACGCATTGAGGAAAACAGCAGACGGCTTCTCGAAATGTGGAGCTGCTTATTAACTATCCACACGGTAAGAGAACCGAGCTATGTGTGGTGTGTACCACCGAGCGGAGCGCGCGTTCGATCTCGCTCTTCGTTTGAGAACACGAAACGTTCCGTCTCACCAGCTCGATGAGAACGAATTGAGATTTCTGCTGGGGCTTGGAACTCCGTGGTTTCCGCTGGTGCAATGCCTGGTCAACAGAATCCAACATGGTTGCTGACGTCAAAAAATCGGATCAGCTGTGCGTCTGTCAGCGGTTGACGAATCGAGTCAGGTGTCAGGTCCGCTCGCCGAGATTTTCACCTATCGAAACTTTCGGGAGACACTATATCATCTCATAGGGGTTTTCTTTATTCTGAAAGGATCGAGACTATATCCCCCGTTCTGTGAAGGATCCGAGCCAGCGCCCGACTGCTGCCAGAACAGCCCTTCGATGTTCGAGGGCTCTTCGACGCAGCATTCGTGAGAATATTGCGGTCTGTGAGGGTGAAGTTTCTCGACTTCGGGGAACCCTAAATTCCTATCCTCAGTAGCTAGCTCGACGGGACTCCCAGCCTCGGAGAGGAGGCTGTGCTCCAGGATAAGTCAAAAGTGCAGACTCGATGATGGCCTGTGATCCCATATCTGAAAGTCTTGTCGAGACCTCATTCTTGTTTTGCTTCTGAAAGACCAGAGAGCAGCCGCCTCTGATCGATATTTATCTTCTGGATGAAATGGCTGTTCGTGTCTCTCGACCGTGGGTGAGCGGGGGGAGAGGTCGTACGCGGACTCGACGAGCGATACCGATTATTTTTGGTTTTCAATCATCCTTCGTTGGTATTTACATCACCGGACCTTTCACTAGTCGGACCGACGACGCGACGATAGAACAATTTAGGATCGAGTGGGCGCAGATCTGATGGCCGGATCGTCTCGGGAGACTCTACAGTCATTGGGAACTAATCGTGAGCTGCTGGCAGGGGAAACCTCCGACTTTAATCGTTGAAACCGTCGGTGTTCAAAGATCGATGTACAAATGAGACTGCGGAAATCTTGCTCCCCTCGCAAGATCTCTGCGTTGCCGCTGGATAACTGTGGGTATCGAAAACACGGAAAATATGGCAAAGGATACCAGGAGGTGTATTAAGTTGAGTGATTTCCTTCCCTCGGTATAACCTATCGATGCCCCTCATTTGTCAGAGCCTTACGTAAATGATTGCGACAGGTCCGACGATGTCGCTTGCTCACGAAGATCCCATGCCGACGATGATAAGGTGCGCAGAGGCATTCTCGCTTGCTCGCCCGCATCGGACGATGCTTGAGCGACTCGCTCATCCAAAGCTCAGGTCTCCGGACTCGTCAGATTGGCTTCTCAACTCTATGGTGGTGGAATACAGCGCAATACATCGACACACGCCTGAACCGTGAACCTCGACGCAAGGGAGACTGACAGGCACCTGACGCTTCAGTCACCGATACTCAGCTCTATGTTTGCAATCTTCAGGAATAAAGATTGCCGCATCCATAGTTTGGACATTGAGGAGAGCCGAACGAATAAATAAACACTCTCTATTCACATGTTTCAAAAGCTGCGACATCTGGCCTCCCGGCCTCTCTGATTTCCATTAGATATTCTATATATATATATTCAACAACACTCCATGAACCAGAAAACATTCTTCCCGTTGAAAGCCTGATCCAATCCGGGGCGACAGTCACACAGGGGTTTTGGCTCTCAGTCGATTTACACTTTGTAGGCTCTCGATGTCGCTCGATGATAAGTAATAAGGCTCCTGTCACTGAGTAAGTATCTCATTCTCGGTACTTGTAGAACCCCAGATTTTCCTGGGGAAGATACGACTCCGGAAATCATTCCCGTTTCTTTCTTCGAATCGTTTCTATCATTGATTCCGCCAGCGGGCCGCTCTTGGTCGCCACTCGACCGTACAGTCGTGTACTTTTCACTTTGAAGTACCTGGAAAATTTGAGAGAGACTCCTCAGACTAAGGAAAAACATTGAATATCGAATGCTGACGTTCTATGTCTCAAGGATGTCAAGATCCATCCATCTTTCGAAGAATCAAACGATGCTTCACCTCATAATAGATCGAGGCGTCACGAACTCGTTCGGTACGATGCCGTCGACCCCACTTTCGAAAAAGTAGAACAGAGGGAACCATATCCGTGTACGCTTCGAGTCCATTTGCATGAGGGCACGATTATTGGCCAGCGTGTGGTAGTACAGGAATAGACGAGTCGAGATGTAGAACGCTACGAAGACATCGATCGAATAGTGCTCATGAGCCGCCAAGATGAAGAAGATTCCAAACAAGTTGACCACCCAGGAAAACGTGTGCAAATAGTAATAACTTCGCGGAGAATATTCCGTGATGAAGAAATTGAGCAATGTGAGAACTGTCGTGTGGCCTGAGAACATGTAGTCCCCGCACGTTCTTACTCCTTGGATCAGCAAACCGCCTCCCTGCAACGATATGGGGGTGAGGATTTTGTTGTCGAGCTCTGAGAATCCGGACTTTCTAAGCTTTGCTCGACAACGATCGGAAGTCCCGAGCGGAGGAAACGGGACTCGGAACTACATATGGTGTCGGGAGAAGCCATGTCTCGAGGGAATAATAAACGAGAGTTCACGAACCTGCCATATTTGGAAGGCCTGCTGCAGTTTCTGCCAAATATCTCCCGGAGTTCGCGCTCTGCATTCAAGGTGCGTTCCTGGCACTGACAGTGACGTGATCAACATGGTTACACATCTGGGGAGTCGAAGTGTTTGTCAATCGTCGCGGTTTTCGGGACAATCGAATCAATATCATTATCATCAGCTTCTCTGAGCCGCGTACTCACCTCAACAGGAAAACCGACCCGAACAGAGAGAATTGGCGTCTCAAGAGTATGAAACGATGCCTATGGAATGTTAGAATACCCAACCATATAACGAAAAGGACAACGCCGGCGAGTTCGCACATCGCGAAGGCCCATGGAATGTGAGGCACATTGTCTAAGAAAATGTCCGGCAACGGAGGATAAGTTTCCATCGAAGGCACACGATCGTGAACGACGACCATAACGAATGAAGTGACCGCGGTAACGGCGAAAAAATAGGCCATGGCCACCACAGTTTTCCAGATCTCTGGCTTGAACCTGGAAGCAAGGTGGATAGTGAAATCAATCTCTGACTTGGTCTAGGAAGCCCCTTCGTCTCCGGAGAGTCTGCCTACCACTCACCTCTTTCTCGTTCCATCGACCGTGGTGGTCTCGTCGTCGTTCTCGAATGAAAATATGGAAGTTGTATCACTATGAGCTTCTTCATCAAGGTTCTCGTCCGTGTCGCTCGACTCATCCGAGATGACTCGTTCGAATCGTCTCTGGCGATCCAGCCGCGAAGAGCAGAGGGAGCGTCTGTGAGGGAAGTTAAATTCACCATGCCTGATATAATCGGTTTTGGTGACATCCATACCCCGGTGACCTTCCGCATGGGACTCCGGTTTGATCGGGTTTGAGAATGACATTTTCTACAAACCTCTGTGAGTCGATAGCTGAATGCGGACAGTAGATCCGCCTGAGCTCTCTAATGTGGCTCGACAGAACCTTTATATCCCCGAGGCAGGGCAATCCCATCGGCGGATTCCGCAGATCTTGCTCATTTAGTTGTAGAAGGGCTTTGCCCGAGATTTTATGCCGCTCGAATATTCCTTTTTGTTCTCGGAATCCCACGGATTCCAGCCACAGACCAACCTGCAATCGAGGAAATATCGGGTATGAGGCATGGTTTTCCCCGAGGGAATTGAAAAACAGAATTTTCTTCCTTGATGAGAATATCGCGAGCTCGATTGAACTCATAAGAAAGCGAAATCTGAATTCTTCATGACAGATCCGATCATGAACTCGGAAACGAATTCTCACACGTTGGACGTGAGATGAACGATCCTCATTGTATAGTAACCGTTATAACGCATGACAGGCGGTCGAGTCAGATCGCCAATCGACGTCCGCGGCAATGTCGAGGGATAGCCACAAAGTTGGAATAAGTCCAGATTAAGACGAAAGATTCGACGCAATTGGGCCATCACAAGAATCTTGAGTCGCGTGACCGCGAAGGTCTCAGTTTTTTTCCCATATAGATTGCTCTCGGAGCACAGGGGTTCTCCTGATGAGTTCTAGAATCGAAGCGATGGAAAGGAGATCTGATGTCATATTGCACCACTCGATCTTCGGGGAAACACTGTGCATAGCCCACAAAAAAACTGCGGGCGATCCGCTATCGGTTGTTCTTGCCAGCCCGTTCACGTAACTTCGGCCGCGAATACTAGGAAAGCGTTCACCGACAAAACCGGATGCATCAATAGCTGGGTTGTAGTTTCCCCTAAGATCATTCCCGTTCTTCGGCGTTCCCGCCGCTGTACGATCTCTGACCCTGAATCGGATTTGAGCCTCCTCTGGGAGCTGTAGAACATCGAGCCCATGCTGGATAGATCCATGGCTGCCGTCGATGGTATCTCGTCTCAAGGTATCGACGCATTCCGACAATAGTCTTCACCAGCAGCCGCCGTGAGACGATGAAACGGGGTCAGAGAAAAACATCCCTTGACCAATTCCTGAGAGCATCCGGTCTCATGGAAATCGCGCACCCATTACAACTTCGAGTCTCCATGGGGAGCAAGTGCCAATCATGCCGACATCCGTATTTTCGACTTGGCAGCGGAGTCAGAGACTTGTTAAAACCATGCGGGAATCACATATGGTGTTCTGACGCTCTTGTCGAGATTTCGCACTTGTCATCACACGACAAATGCGCGATCGGAGCCCCTAAGAATGAATGATGGCGGATCGATCGAATTTTCCATGTCTGACCCCTGCTCATGTTGCTATTGGTCGAAAATTTTACCTCTTCTATACTCCAAAAATCTGGAGGCCCGTGTGGGCAGGTGGTGTCGGTGGTTGTCTCCATGGTTCACGTCAAAACTCAGCGAATCCGCCACGCCTTCACTAGGGCATTGACTGTCGGAACATGCTACGATTCCACAGGGAACAGGAACTCGCCGCACAAGTCACGGCAGGGGCAAATGGGCCGTCAGGTTGAAACTTCAGCTTCTGTTCGAGGCGACGGTCTCCGGCCTCTACGGCGCCTCTGCGGTTTGCACGGGAGATTGTCGTCTGCAGTGAAGCAATCCGGATGTGGCGGTGGAAATGATCAAAAGCATCATCTCCTTCTCCCAGTCAGAAGGGGAGAAGAGGTTGAAGGTACAACTCCGTAGAGTGCCGGGCAGCAGGATCTTCCCTCTCTGTTTACGTTGAATGCTGGAGCTCGAGGGAGAGGACGGAAGCAACAGCGCGAAATTCAAGTTGCGGCGGTGAAACCTCAGCAACGTAGCTTTAAACTGCTTGAGAATGAAGACTCTCGCGATTGAGTTCCGTGAAGAGGATCACTTCAGACCTCTGCAGAAGATTTCTCCGCTCATCCCCAACAGCCATCGCATCCGGAGTAGTCCTTGAAGGCCCGAGGCTTTGACTCCGCGCGGAACAGTGAAGTCTCCCGCAGGAGGACTACGCTGGGCTTTTGTCTAATTTCCGAGAAGCGCGTGCTACTATCGGACTTTGAATGAGCAACGGGAGATTCGAATACCGCAGTCGGGGCCGGAGTCTTTTTCCCCGCTCTCCTCTGACGGCCTTACGTCCCGTCGCTCCGACACCTGGGTTCCTTCCTTCTCTTGGAGGGCAATGAGTATTGGTTCGTCATGATGTGTTCCGGAGATCAATATCCCCCCAAAGCACGACCCAACCCGAAGGACTGCTTCCCGAAGCACTGGACTGCCCCGGAATGGTGCCGAATATCTCATGACTTCCCTCCATGAGTTTTCCCCTCGAAATTCCCCAGTATGCGCTGAGAGCATAGAGCGACTTATCATGGAGTAGTTGGGGAAGAGCGTTTCACGAATACTAAACAGGTCCGGGGCCGCGATCGGAACCTCCCTAACCCCCTCCTCCGGGAAGTTCTCCGGGCTTCGGGCTCTCCATTCTCCACTACTACCTGCTGCTGCCGACGACGGCTACCGGGACATTATTTCGAAAAGCATGTGAGATATCGTCTGCTCCTTGTGATTGTTTACTCACAAAGCGGTCGTATGATATGATGATCACCATGACGTCTTCTAGTGCTGCTCCGAGCATCATCTAACGGAGACTTGTTTTGAGGAGTGAACGTGATGTTTTTTTCGCATCCGGGAAACTAGCGACTATGTGAGAACGAGAGCGTTTGATTGCTATCGGCAGGATGATGGCCATGAAGTCGGGTCGCATCCGTGGAGGCCGACCTACTCAGAGGCCTCAGCGGAAGGAGGCGGAGGAGATCAAACTCGACTTCGATGCTCCGCTCGAAACCAATTTAAATGAGGTCCTCCAGAACATCGTGCACAATACGCAGACATCCAGAGCGTATCTGTTGCCTCTGGTCAAGCTCGCCCCGCTCATCCTGGACAGCTTCCACAGGAAGGACAGTCGTTTGGGCTCGTGGACTTTGGTCGACATTTATCGTTGCATAAGACTCTTGTTGGTGGCCGAAGAAACCGAGATCAGAGCAGAGGCCTTGCGAGCCCTACGACATCTAACCGGTTCGGAGAAATCGTTCGACGTCTTGTGTGAAGCGCTGATACCGTCTCTGGTGGTGAAGTCATTGGATATCGTCTTGGACAACAAGGTTGAACGCCTACAGGCCCTCAGGCTGATGAGACGGTGCGCCGCCGTAGCGCCGATGAAATTCCCTCTAGAGTTCGTACATTGCATTTTAGCTGTTGCCAGTGATGGACCGCAAGAGAGAGATAATTTCGCCAAAGCCTGTCTCGCCACGGCCGCCGAACTCTGTATCACCAACCCCAGACTCTGGATCGGTTCCGGCGCTTTCCTGACGATCGTCCGGAGTGTTTTGAGCACGAACGTCAACGAAGCCCGGGCGGCGGAATCACTCATCAGCACGTTGATGTACCTTGTAAATGACCCCCAAACCAGACATCTTGTGAACGCTGATCTTGTCCTCGATTACCTGATCTCCCCATTCACCGATCGAAATTTCATGGTTCATCCCGACGATGAGCTGCATCAACACGAACGGGAAGTCAAGGCTCGGATCGCGCTCTGTTCCGTTTTACGTTCGTGGCCCGGTCTCATATATCTCTGCAGTGAGCAAAGCGGTCTGACTAAACTAATCGAGCTCTTGAGACTATCCGATACCGACACACAGAGATCCGTGATGGGTCTTTTCTTCGATTTGTTCTGTCTCCAAACTCCAGAGTGGACCACTGATTTCAGGATTGCCTTATTGGCGTCAGACGATAAGACGGGTCTGCAGAGAGGCTGGCTGCTGTTCGAAGGCTTCGTCGCCGCCGAAGGCCTCGACCTGATACCTCCGATTGCGAAAAGCGTCAACTTGTCCGCGTGCTACATGGGCATTCTCCTTCAAGCGATGGTGATGCACGGCCTCCTCGACGCGGTCGCGCAGGCAACGGTCGGGCAAGACGTTCAGGTTTCGATTCACGCAACGGTGCTGCTCGCGGAACTCCTCCACATCTGTAATCGGTACTTTCCTTTCGATGCCAGTCACATGTGCCATCTACTGCCGGGCCTTATCGACGCCACCATGTCGCCAAATATGGACATCCGACTGAAAGCTATAACGGTCATAAACAGACTGGCGTATATTGAGCAGTTCAAGTGCGAGACGGTCGGGGTCGCGAACTCCCTCAGCCTGGACCAACAAATGAAGTTTTGCAGAGAGGCCCGTAGCGGACGTTTCGTCGACAGTCCCAAATCGCCGATGACCTCGACCCCCGTCAAAGCGGAGTCGAACGTAAAATCAAAGAGGAAAAGCAAACGGAAAAGCAATTCACACGCTTCTAGTCTCGAAAACCTATTGCTCAACTCGGGCGTCTTCAGTTGCGACGAACACTACGATTGGGACATTATTAAATGTTTGTTGAAAACTCCCGAGTTCGAAGACGATCCTCAGGCCGTGAAATTCCTCGAACATTTGGTGGCGTTCTATCTGCCGTCCAACCGGCGGTTCTCTGCCATCGAGACCGAACGCGAGCAGGCGCGCTCCATGTGCTCGACGCTGCTCGTGATGGCCGATTTCCTCCTGGAAAAAATGCCGGCGAGCAACCTGTTGCTCGATATCATGAACGATGTTTGCAGCTGTCTCCAGCAGATCCAAGGGGAAAATATTCCGCCGAACTCGGTTCTGTCCCCTGCGAAAGCCTCCTCAACTCTTGGTCAGGCGTACTTCCTGCTCATCGGGAGATTGACGGGGAGCTCGTTGGGGCTCCACGTTCTGAAACGGGCGTCCATCTTCGAGCAACTGACCAAGCTACTCACCGAAACTCTTAGTGCATCGTCCATGAACTACAATGATGTTTACATTAAATTGGCTCTGTCTCCCTTGAACTACACAAACCCGGGACCAACTCGAGAGCTTTTCAAAACTGTAATGACCCGAGTCGATCGCGAAAATAGGAACGAGACTTCGAAGCTCTACTGTGTTAATCTGTTGCGTATGTTGCTTCGCTGTCGAGTGGCTGATTTCTCGCGGTGGGCTATCGAGCTCCTCGTCGATTGTTTGAACGATCAGAGTTTGGCTGTTAAGTACACATCGTACGAAGTTCTCAACGAAGCGTGTGACATCAACGAAAATCTCGACTCTCTGATTGCCATCAACCCAGACCTTAACACCGCTGTCGAAGATCAGGCCTGGGCTCTACAGGTGAATATCGACATGGCATTCCGTCGTGCCCAAGCTTAACAGGCTCCTCAGGAACAATACGTATCTCGTTCGGGTTCCCGTTCTTCGCGTCGGTAGCCTGTGATCTCCTCCTAATAATCGTTTCCTCTCTTTCCAGATACGATACTTCTCTCGGCTCGAGGGAATAGTCCTCCTGGAGAAGAAAGGAGTACTGGAGAGCGATCTGCGTCGCTGGATCACTCTGGGCTCGCTGAAATACGTCAAATGGGTCGAAGACACTATCAACCAGAGCGTGAGTCGACACCGCAGGAACCCCGATGGGAAATACGGGCGAAGATTCGGGGGTGAACACAAACTGCACCGTCTCCGGCCCGCATTCTGCCCGCCCCACCTATTGGGTCAACTGGCTTCCCACGATCGAGGGATCGAGATCATCAAAGAGAACAATCTCGTTGAGCCATTGTGCGAAACCATACAGAACGCCCATCTCGACACCCCCACTTGCGTATTCTACGTGAAAGCAGCCCTGTGGGGAATCGGACACCTATGTAAAACAGCTCAGGGCTTGAAGCTAGCTGAAGAGAATAACATTATCCCGAAAATCGTAGAGCTCGCCAGAACCGCTGACGTGCTCGGCGTGAGAGGCACGGCTTTCTATTGTCTCTGTCTTGTTTCGGTGACAAGCGAAGGCTGTGATCTCCTTTCGGGTCTCGGTTGGGAGGGCGTCCGACAATGCCTGTCCCGTGGGGACCGGTACTTCAAACGGAGAGCGGAATCCGTCGACTCGGAATGGAGTCTCGACTCGTCCTGGACATCGATACACGAGTTCCGAGATCGCGCGGGCAGTACGCGGGATTCGATATCTTTCGACGACATTTCCACGACAAGCGAGGATCTGATGCACACTCACATAACTAGTCCACAATCGAACTGGAGTTTCACCGATATGCGCAAAATGATGCACTGTTACACGAGCCAAACAGACGCCGCCGGTTACGGGACGCTGAAAATGCTCAGGCCGAAACGTCGTCATAGATCCATGGAGCAGCCAGGTATGTTCGGTTGACTTTCGGTTTCCCCAGAAACCGCTCTCCCCGAATGTTCCTCGGATGGAGTTTTTCTGATGGAAAAACAACAATGTCCTCCTCCTTTCAGTGGTTTCTCCGACAAGTCCTGAGCTGCCAATCAAGGAAGAAGCCGTCGGAATACCCTCGGTTCTCATCGGGCTCGTTCTTCCACGTCATATCAGCAGCATTTTCAATCGGAATTTCCTACAGCGACCGAAGCCGCAATCCGCGATCGCTGATTTCCCGAGAGAAACCTTCGGCACCCTCCACAAGAAGTCTACGTGCTTCCGATGCGGTGATTGGGCTGACGAGAGGATATCTGAACGTCTTCAGAGGGAATTCGGAGCTCCCTCGCAGAAGATCACCAGCCAAGATCGCATACAAGTTCGGAATGACCTACTCAAGTGTGTACCTATTCGATGCAGAGCTCTGTTACTCCCTCTGGCCTGTCCATTGTTGTCCCCTGGCCACTACCTCCCAGATTTCCGGCGCCGATCAGGAGGATACGAATGTTCGTTTTTCAGGTACGTCATCAACTTGGCCGCAGTATATCCCAACACAAACAACAAGGCTATCGAACAGCTCCTGCTGTCGATGAAGCAGAAGCAATCCTGGGTCTTCAGCGATCTCTGTCTTTACTCAGACATGTGTCACCTGCTGCGAATATTCCAACTCAAACAGCCCTTCCGAAAATTCTTACAAGAACTGTTCATGGACGTGGAATTCGGTGAATTCAGACTGCGTGCTGAAGACTGTCTGAAGAAGAGTTCCGTCGTGAGCACTTCTATCATAACTACTACGGAGACTATAAAAGAAGAGGAATCAGAGATGAGGACCGACTCAGAGACGACGTTCGAAGAAAGCCGAACCTCAGTCGAAACACCGTCCATTGTTGTTGAGCAGCAGGAAAACGTCAAAGAGAATGGAGTCGAGGCGTCGGCATCGTCGGTCCTTGGAACGGAAAGTGAACCAGCGGCCAGTGTTGAGCTCGAGACCCATCTGACAGCAGCCGAAGTGCTGGAGGACAGTTCTGTGAAGATGACCGTCCAAGAAACGTCTTCGACCCTAGAGGACAGCTCGAAAGAGAACAGTTTCGCATCGATGCAGACACCTGGTGACCCGCGAGAGCTCAACGGGGACGCCAAAGAGAACGCCAACAAACGTCGACGACGCAGACGTAAAAGTCTTAAGTCGGCAGCTGATTAGGCAGATTTCCAGAGAGATATATATTTCTTATATAACTTTTTCCTCGAAGTACAAACGGAAGCTTCTTCCTCGAGTGCAGCCTCTTCTCGTTGGGCTGCACTCTGCCGTCCTCCTCTCAACAGATCACTGATTTATTTTTCGTTACAATTTGACCCTCAGATCACGTTTTTTTTATTCATCTCATTACTCAACAATTTGGCGAAGAATAGTTTCCGATTCCGTTACAGCAATAGAAAATTCCTCGAAGTGTTACTCCGTGGATGCGACATCTATCGCTCCCGCCGCAATAAGGCGCTCATAGCTGCCAGGAGACCCAGACGGAAGAGCCGCTGGATACTGTACTTTTTTTCTAACTTACTAGCCCGTTGAAACGTCATCCATCAGTTGACAAATTAACGAGGGTATGTACAGACGGAGTGGATTTACACGTATACCGTATCGATGACTGGATTTGAAGGACCTCACTTGAGCTGAGCGAAGCGAACGGACGTAATGACTGATTGAGTGCAAGCAAATGACCAACTTCTTCACGCGTTATCATTTAGGACATTTCCGTATGAGCCGCCTTCGACTGCCGAAAGTTTACATAGAATTATGATTATCGGGTATCTCTCCCATGAAGCTGGCTCTGGAGTGAATTCGATTATGTCTTAATAGTCCATAGCTTTCGACGTTGTTAGTAAGACTCAAATATAGGAATGTGAAAGAGCACGAGATGTGGTCTACTGATGATTGATGTGTCGTTAAATGAAAACCACAGCAAGGGACATTTATTTCAGCAGAAAACAAGCGTCTTTTCATTGCTGATTGCTAGAGACCGCACAGATGCCCGGACAGATGCCCACATCACTCCGTAAGATTCCCGGACTTGGTGCCTCTCTGAAGGTGACTATGTGGTTGGTGATCATGAACTGCGGTATGAGTTTATTTGCATCCATCCGAAAGTCTCAAGGTTTGACCTGCGTTTCGTAATCATCCAAGGGATCGAGCCATGCGACGTGCTGGACCTCGGCCATTTCTGTGAGAATGTTCTGGAAGAGCAGGGAACCTCTCAAATTCTACTGTCCCGACTTACATACATGGAGCAGTACATATAGAGCCTGTAAGGAGCAGTCTTCCTCACCATGGTATCGCCATGGTATGTTTTGACTAATTGGATACCGTGACCGATCAGTCTTCGGTCGCTCGATCCTTGCTCTCGGATCTCTTCCAGGATCTCATCGAGTTTGGCTTCGACCCTCGCTGAGCTTTCCATGAGTCTCGATTCTATGCGCGCCGAAACTTCGGTCAGTTGAGATAGCAGCGTATTCTGCCGTTCCATCAAGGAAGTCATGCTGGACTGGCTTCTGCAGAGAGAGCTTTTCTCACGATCTGTCTTGATGATCGCCCGTCCACCATAATGAAATAATTAATGATGCTGCGTCCCCGATAGATAGTTGCGGCAGTATCTCCAGCTGAAAATCACTCACTCTTGACTCAGTTTCGACATTGATCTCGAGCCATCCACGTTGCAAAAGACGGCCTTGTCCATGGGTTCCTCATGGCTATGAGCCCCCTTCTCTGTGGGACGATTATCATCAGGATTATCTTCAGCGACAAGAAATGCAGAATCATAACTGTGACTCAATCAATCATTCAATCAGGCTTGTGTAATTAACCTATTTGTCGATGAACAAGCGGCTGGCGAGTGTTGGCACGTGGCGGTCGGACAGGGGAGGAACTGTCGAGACCGAAATCGACTTTCCCCAAGGTCATATCTTCTCCTGGGAAGGCAGCACCCATTGAATATTCCTCAACTAAGTGCTTTCAAATCCCAATCATTATCCTGTTTATCATGGAGGACAGCGAGCCACGGACGGAGGTGTCTAACCTTGTAGGATAGTTGATTGTAAGATGGTCTTGTCGTTCTCCTTGACATTGGAATCGGTGAAAGTTTCTGGAAGTTGAGAGAGGGAGTCAGAGTTGTAGTCTGCTTCATCACAGCCTCAGATAAATTATCTAGATGTCTTCTTTGTTTGAAAGATAGACCTTCGGTTATAGGTGCAGACCCGAAGGTCCTCCTGATAGGGATGCTTATCGCGGAGAGTTGACTCAGAAGAGAACCGTGAGCTTTCGGCGGCGAAATCATGGAGCCCAATGAGCTTCTGCGACGCTTGTCATCTACTCGGGAGAAAAGATTTCGATTGTCGATAAGCAGACATTCGCTCTGATTCCGCGGCGGGTCCATACCCCGACCTCCCGATCTCACCTTTGGTCTCCACATGAGATGATGCCATACTCTGGAAGGATGCCGCGACATCGGGAGCTCCTTTCAGTGGCGATATGAGCTCGCCATCGCTCGGTTTCAACGAAGCTAGAAGAGGGAAGCAGGGTCATCGACAGTTCCTTAACTCCTCATCTCATAGCGTCGTCCTGCAAAATTCCAATACTCACACTTCCTCGAACCGAGACGGATGTCAGGATTGAAAGCGACTCTCTGCGGATACATTGATTCTACTCCGGACTTTTGCAGCGCCAGCGGTAGCTGAAAAACGGGACGAGAACGATATTGCGCGAGGCGGAAGAAATGCCGATATCGTCGACGTATTTTGGACCTTCGAACTCACATAAGACTTCGCTCTAGCCATGCCTTCAATGGTTTTGATCATTCGCAGGGTCTTGGTCCACGAGATCTGCTTCTTCTTCATCTCGAAGCAAGCGAGTGCGTTTTCCAGACCGAGGAGAATTTCGCATCCGTCTTTCATGATGCAGGCTCCGTAGATGATGTCGGAGTGGCGGTAGAGGAGACCACAGCTAGGAACAGAGGCTTATGATTGGTTGAGAGGAGGAGAATAAGGATGATGGGGTTGGAGAAAGATCTCCACGACACGGCGACTGATCTCCATCGTTTTCCGACCCACCTCTTTTTCCCGTACTGGACTATGCGGCCGTCGTTGGCCACAGTGAAAAGAGTCTCGGCCGTCCCCCATAGAATCGCGCAGGGTTTACACACGTGGGCTTCTCCCGGCGGAGGTCGCAACCTGGACCTGCGGTCAGGGAGCGTCGGTTGCGCCGATGAGACATCGAGGAGCGCTGCGCCCTCATCCAGTGAGAAAACTCCGAGCGTATTCGAGCGGAACGGATGGTATCGAATGAACACTTCAGCATTCTGTGAGGAGCAGATTGGGGACGATATGAATATTGAGTACATGAGGTTTAGTGGTTGGAGAAAGAAAAACAGTCGGAAGAATGCTCTTGTACTCGTGTCGAATCGACTGGATTCCGAGAGCATCGTTGAGTCATGATCCCACTCACTGGCCTCTTGTCGTAAGGTAGGTGAACGTCCAATTTATTGCGGATACTGTGGAGGAGCACCGAGCCCGCGACGGATGCCGCAAGCTGCGTTCCCATGCAGTTCACATCCAGGGAAGTAACGGGCGCACAACGGGAGCTCTGGAAATGTGGGGGTTCGGTCTCAATTCGTCTCACCGTCCACAGCATTATCGCTCATGTTCGGAAGTGGAGAGAGGCAAACCTTGGTCAAGATGGTTGGTATCTTCGTTTTGAGATTGAACTGCACAAGAGCTCCGGTCGAGGTTCCCATGTAGACGACATGACTCTCCGTTGGAGAATGAATTCCGCACGTCACTGTGAACTGGAAATCCCATCTCACCACATATTATTCACACGGCGATGAGTTCCGATCGAAATCAGGCTCATTGACAGCAGTGATCCGATAACTGAGCGCGGATACTCACGTCTTCCGGGATGAAATCGTAATAGAGCCACTCATTCTGTCCTTTGGTCAGACAAGCGAAACACACGCCCTGCTCTGGATTGTTGGAAATAGCCAATACCTGTCTCCCGTCCGGGGACAGCTGCAAGTCCCTCAGACTGAGAGGATTCCTGGGCATGCACGATAGAACTTCACTGACCCTCCCATCGGGACTGCGGGTGAACAGAATTAATTGCTCAGCTGCGATCACGAAGGAGTCCATGGCTGAATCGTTACCTGTAATGAGTCGCTTGATTCCGAGAGCTGCTTCCTCGAAGACCAGGCAGGCGATGACGGTGGGAAAAGAATCGTTCCGAAATGTATCCCCCGTCGCTCAGCAGCCTCTAGGAGCTTCCCCCGTGCTCCTAATCGACATGTTGATCGGAATTGGAATGTTGGTCCGCAACAGAAGACGTCGAATACATGGAAATCGCTTATCGCTCAATCAGATTGGGTGGGAGTGAGCGAATTCCCTCGAAACTCTGCGCTTCGGCGCCATAGCTCAGGGGATCCTTGCGGAGAAGAGCTGTGGGTACTGCCTTCGGACTCCCGATCATGTCAAAAGCGGGAACGAATGTCTCCGATATCTTACTTCAGTAAGCCTCTACGGTGGGGGTAGAGCAGAAGAGAGCTGTGGTGGGCGAAACTTCGCCTGTAAGTCCGTCACCGGTTCACTAGATATCCCAGTCTCTGAACTTGATTCCGGAAAGATGCAATTTCTCGCAGCGGCATTGGCGCCTCCGTCTGTGTCGAAACAGTTGATAGCAGATGACATCTGAAGAATCGTCTGCTAATTTGCTCCTCGGTTTTGTGAGGAGCGCGCCCGATTCTCGAGAGATGGAGACCCCCCGAGTTACGCGTTGATCGTCCAGAGCTCCATGTGAGAGTTCCTCGACGAACTCGGGAGGAATATTCGAATATTGTGCTTCTTCCGGGGTTATTCGAGAATGTGAGCAGAGAGGCAACGAGCATGTCAATGATCTTTGCTCCCGGCGAAGCAAGGCGGCACTGCCAAGCTCACCGGCTCTGATGATATCCCGAGGATGCTGTTCCCGTGACAGTGCAGAGAGGAGTTCATGATACATTCCGCGCTCCTCCGGTCTGCCTCTCGAATGTCCGATGAGTAAATATTTGAGATCAAGCGCTGATTATATGCGCCCTTTCAATCTTGTGTAGAGTTCGAGCTCACCGCATCCCTTATCTATCCGTCTTATCTAATCGAATCCCAATCTGAGAGGATCGGACGCTTATCGCGCTAGTCTTCCTTCGATTGCGGAGCTAGTTGTCATTATGATAGCGATCTCCAATGATCGAAGCTCCTGCCGGCTCCCACGCACATGCTTTGAATCGATACGAATAATTTCCGTAGCTTCTCTCCGCTCGAAGAATTCTCGGGAAATAGCCAAAAAAATCCAATGACGGCGTTTATTGTCCTTTTTTCCCCACCAGCCGATACTGGATACCGGAGGAAAATTTCCTGATTATCGTGACGTCCCTTCTCTCGGGCAGATTAAAGCTATGCCTGAGCCTATGGAGCTGTAAGAAGCCAGAGAGGGATCGCGGAAATCGGGAGAACCGCGCTTATCCAGACAGAGCTGGCGCCATTGATGGGTCCGGAAAAAAATTAGATTGAGTGGATCGGCCCCCGTCTGAATGATCTGTGGGAGGAAGCCTCTCCGAATGAGCTCGAATATTTTTCGGGATGACGCTCAGAAAACCTCTTCATTCTTGGGGGAGGTGAGTCGTCGATTCGGGATTGATGAATACCTTGTTACCTGACACTTCCTCTGTACACATCTTTATTTGATAGCTGGGATGCTTTGTTGAGAATATATGATCGAAGCGCGCAGCGCCGTCGCATATAGGGTCTGTCGATAATTTGAGGCTTCTCAAACAAAAATTGTATAAAAAAGGAGGAGAAGTACACCTAACACCATGTTGACGTCGCGTCGGGATCGCCATACTTGGAAAGTATTCGTGTACGAGCTACCCAAACGGAGGCGATCGATGTTATAATTGACGCTACCAAGAATGATCCAAACAGCACATGGATGTTCATCTCAACGAAACTCGTCCGAAGCTGAAGTTTGTGGCAGCGGAAGGGCTCTTAGAAATGTTCATTCGCTGGTCTTAAAGAAATTTCCGTGGCGGCGAAACCTCAGCAAGCGACCGATCGAGCTGGGACGAAGAGGAGGGGACGCGACCTCCGGTTCCCGAGCTCTTCCGGAGCGCGAGACCCAACCGTTTGGGAAGCTGACACCGGCTCTTATCAATCATCAAGATCGACTCAAAAGACAAGTTCGTAGAAAGATATATATATATATATGTATATGTGGACTAATGGAGATGTTCCAGTAGGTTTCTCTCCGAGGAAGGGGTGGGTCGGGTGGTTACACGAAATTATGGTAGATATAGACGCTGCGTGAGTAAATGTGGAATCTGAGTTGCCTGTCTTTCGATTTCGCACCAAAACTCCCACACGGGCCCTAATCCATCTTCACGAGGTTGCTCACGACGTCGGCTCCCTTCTGCATGGCTTTGTCGATCTGGTTCTGCTTTTTCAGGAAGTACGGCCGAAGAATCTTAGTGTAGATCACCTGCGACCCATTCGCCTCCGTGGGGGCGAAACACCAAGCGAGGAAGATCACCTTGGTGAGCCAGTATAGAGGGAAGTACCTGGAAAACAAGACTCTGCCATGAAGAAATGATGATGAGAGAGATCGGTGGTCTGCGGAAAATATACGGAGGAGCACATGGGAGCGCCCTACTTGGTCCCCCGCTTCGAGTTTTCAACTTACGCGAAGATGCCGTCTGCGAAGAAATCGACGCAGCTGAAGGCGGCGAAAACTACCCAGTAGGTGAGCCATTTGGTGTCATCGTTCTTATTCGACGACTCAATGGCTGACATGGACCAGTAGGCAGGTAGAGCAAATCCGACGAAGTTACAGATGAACGCCGCGAAGTATCCGAATATCATGTACAGTGCAGCTAGGGCCAAGAAACCTGAAGAGAAATTATTTCATAAGTGTTTGATCGGAGCTCCGCGAGTCAAGCGACGCAAGGTCCATGTGTAGCAGAAGACGGTGAACTGCGCTCAGAGGGAACACATCGGGACCGGGCCGTTCTGATCCCAATGAGCGGATACTTCGATTGACCGCAGCCCAAATCAATGGAGCCCAAGCGATTGGGACTGTTTGCGGGCGATTCTATCCAGCGGAGCATCCCATCGACCGGTGTTCCCATAAACCGGATTTCATGTTGATACCTAAATTGTTTTTCACTCCATGGTCAGCTCTCCGCTCATCCAAACTATTTCTACTAGGTGGCAGCTCGCACGGGTTTCCGATGCACAGAAACAGTCCGCAGCTGATTCGAATTGCTTGCGTGCTCTTTTCCGTTGTGGAGCATTCCCTCCAACGGTCCATCGCCTCAGTACCATCGAAAGCAGAGAATCACGAAATTCATGACTGCACGTAGGTATCATCGTTCCAACTTTACCTCTGATGCCCCCTATGTCTCTCGTTGAGTGTTTCCCGTGGTGTCTAATTTTCTGTTAAACATTCACCAGCGAAACACGAGCCCGCCGCTCTCAAACAACAGCCAACGCCCATCGGTGAAAGCCCCACCCTCACGCCCGGACACTCCCCGGGAACAGTCGATGAAACTTGACCGTTTCCCATACGCCATGGCAACGGCTGAATCACACCACCCCTCGAACTCACTTTCCTCCGTTTCGAGGCTTCAAGGGACATTTCACCTTCGATTCTGGTAGAGCATTACTCATCCCGAACGAGTGCGAGGAGAGCCTCCATTCGCCTCTAGTCGATTTATATGGGAACTCGAAATTCGAGGGGAAAAAGCGGAATAGAGGACTCGTATATTTCTTCCGGAGGTCGTACTTGTTCTCTCTCCGGTAGCGAAGATCCATCCATGGAGCGTGAGCGGCGCAGCCGGAGAAGGGGGAGGGTTGCAAAAGTGTTCGAACCATGCTACGGTCTCGCGAAAGTCGTCGAATTTGGACCGGCTCGGATGTCCTGCGTAAAACTCGTGACGTGCGTCATCACCAATCCAATGAAGCAGGTGGCTGACTTGAACTCGTTGCTCCTCTCGGCAAAGACCTATCGCCTCCGAAAACAGCTGGTAGTCCCGATACCAGTTGAACCAGGCTTCTGAGAGACGCTTGGATTTCACGTCGAGTGGTCGTGGATTCGGGAAGCGGCTTGAGACGAACATCTGAGAACAACATAGAAATGGCCCGCACCGGAACAGATTCGTTCGTCCAAGCTCTCGCTCAGGCAACGAGGGCCGATTGCCCAGTAGCGCATGAGAAATCGCGCGGATTATGACGCGGGGCGCATCGTGGTTCTCGGGCTGGAGCAGCTGCAGAGATATCACATCCAACAAGTTGGTTACTCCCGCAAGCTCAGTCTAAGGATTGTTGTGAAGACACTCTCCGTGGCAACCAACGAAGTTAGAGCCGTTCGATAAGTGAAGGCCTAAAGTTTTCAACTCCGACCTGGCGTTTGGCTGAATTCACAGAGGCGACTCATCACAAAATAAAATGCGTCTTCTTCGCACGTGAGTCAGAAATGGATGGGTTCCTGAGTTCCTCTGGGGAGGGATGGGTCCCTTAGAGGGCAATTTCTAATTCCGCGTCACTCGGGAAAGGTATGACCATCGGCCTACCGCGGTGATTGAGCAAAGGAAGTGATGTTGAACTCGTACGTCGGACAGATGACTTTCCATGATCGAAACCCTCTCTGGGATTGAATTCGCCTCCCGCGGAAGATGGCTCACTATAGCCGTCCTATGGCGTCTTCGCGAAAGAAGAAATTCTCGCAGGAAACCGATTCTGTATCCGACCGAGCCGGGTAGCATCTCTCCGTTCACAGAGACGGAAACGATCAGACGTCAAACACTTCCCAAGGTCATGGAGCCGCTTGTACATAATCAAGAGAAAACAACATACGACCAGGTACCGTCTATGTTTCCTCATTGAATTTTGGAGATCTCCGCTTGTACCCTCTAAGCATCGGACGGGATCGTGGATGCGCCCACAAAATGGGGAATGGATCGTAAGTCGCAGAGAATTCGGCGGAGCGAATTCGTGTACGTGCCAACTCGGACTTCGTGCTTCATAGGGGTGACTCAGTCCGCTGTTCGCTCAGCTTTCAACGGACCGCCATTCAAATCTCTCAACGCAAACAACTTTCGCTCAGCCGTAAAACATTGTCTCGCGGCAAGATTATTACATAATCAAAATGTCTTGTTTTAAAAACACAACGATTCGGCAGAATCTCTCAATGAGAGCTAATTGAGCACTCCCATGGCTCCGCCATTATGTGCACAACCCTCGATGATATGACTCTCTTGCACGAATGAACCGGAATTTCTCTAAAAATAGCTGTCTCGCCAAATAATCTACCATGACATTCTTAGAACGCCGCAGGGTTCGAGGGAATCTAATCTTTTAAGATTTATACTTCTGGTAAGATATTTTCTCCCGCTGCAAAGAGCCGACGACGATTTAAATCCTGCCGATACGTGAGCGTGAGCATCCGTTCGAGAAGAGGATTTTCGCATCCCTCGACCTCCATCCCGAAGCGCGGAGCCGAATCCTTCCAGAGTCCAAAAGTCGATGGAGATTCCGACGCTTCCCGGAGGAGCTCACTATCCGCTTGAAACCGCTACGCCGATCCCGAAATCGTGTCTAATCGATGCCAGTTTCTGGAATGAGTTTTTCCGAGACCATATGTCCTCTAACGACGACGCGGCAGGAGCGCAGGGTAAATCTCACGGAACGAAACTCGTGAGATGATCACACGTTTCCGATCGGCGTTGATTGGACGCAGGCACAGCAGAAACCACAGCAGTTCCGATTCTGGCGTCATTAGGAATTTTCTCGCTCATCAAGCGCAACTCGACGACGACTATGACAACTCCGAAACATTGACTCATTTTTTTTTGCTCGCTTTGATAATCAGATCAGGGTCGGAGTTCTGCTGAACAAGTGGCTTTCCGAGTCGCTCCAGCTAGCTTAGTTACTCGTTGGCACATTCAGTAAAAGCCGGCTAATCAGAAGTCGGTCATTCGGACCGGCCGATTCGCGTTCCGACCGGTGACTCACGAACAGCTCAAGTTCTTTTTTCACTCATGAGGCGGACTTGACGACCCGGTGACCGAGTCAAGGAAGTGGCCAATGCTCACAAGTCAGGCAATGCGATCCGCCTGCGCGAAGAATATTCGCGTATATTCAAATGGAGCTCTCACAGTCGCTGATGTTGATACGGTTCCTCCGATTATTGGTTCCTACACGTTCCTTGCGATGCATTGAATACACCGATCGGGAGGGGAAGATCTCCCTCAGGGAGGACCATACCGTGATTCCTCTCGATCACGGTTTTTTCGTCGTTCAATCGGAGTCCTCATCGAGGAAAAAACGCTTTCGTCGCGAGCCAGCCACGGCAACAGGAGGCTCCGTTCCAACAGGAAGGAGCTGCTGACGCAGCCGCTGTCGCCGGCCGACGAGAATGACTGTCAGAAATACGCGTGATTGAAGTTCCGAGCTACGGAATCGAAATATGCCAAACTTCGCCGAAATATTCGCGGCTCATTTTTGATTCGAATGGACCCTATACGTGTATTGAAAAATATGCGCCGTCAACAGGGATAGCTCACGAGTCGTCTACTAGCTCTGTCGAGCGCTTACCGGCCATCCGCCCACATACTCTCCGTTCAACAAGTGCGCGGAGTCTTCTGAAGCCCGAATTCACGACGCGGTAAATTTCCTGAAGAAGACCGAAGGCTTCTCGAGGAATGCAGGGGATCATGTACATACCTGCGACGAGCTTCGATCTGGGAACCTTCGTGGCTTTCGAGGCTTTGTCGAGCAGCCCTTGCAGCGGGCTCGGAAGTCCTGCCGCGAACTTCTCGCAGTGAACGAAGAGTTCGTCTACGGAAGGCATCGTTGCTGTTCTGTGGACAGTGGAACACAAAAGTTTTTCCTCAAGAAACTCGGTGTGGACGGACCTATGTGTAGTCGGCGACTCTCCGAATCAAAATGGCCTCCCTCAATGAGAGATCATTGTCATCAGCGGATACGGGCTGGCAACAGTGAATCAGGCAGCCGCCGCCATCAGCACCGTCGCCGCTGCTGCTGCCGGTGTCCCGTCAGCAGAGCATGGGGAAAAAGAGGAGGAGGTGCGGCGTGACTCAGATTTTAAATTGTCATCGCGGCGCGCAACAGCGCCTGGAGCTCATTGCCACGTCAATTCAAAGTTGAGGTTGACACAGAATGATTTTCGCAGGACGAGACTTGATCGGGGTCCATCGTCTCGCGGAAAGCGTCGGGAACTGGGATGGACCAGCTGAGTATCTCACACGAGCTACGAGAGCCCGAGCTACGAGGTACGAGAGAGCCCGGAGGAGGAGTCACGTCAAAGAAAAACGCATCGCTACGGAGTGCCACGCTCGTCGACGAGGATCGCTCACCGGATCTTCCAGTCGGGTCGCGCCCGTAATGTATTGCAGACCATAGAAACCAGCATTTTTCGCTTCAAGCCTCCGGGTCCATCCCCCTATACTACCCATGTATGAGAAGAATGCGGAGTCCGAAGCGTTCCCCCCTGAAAAAAAATTGACCGTCCCCCCAACCCCGTAGAAAATCCCAGCTACACAACGCTAAGTTAATTGTGCAAAATACCGTCTTGCGCACATTCGGCGATACACATTTATGGGACGCTGAGCTTCTGCGCAGTCGCGAGATGCGTCACGGTGTGAGATATACAATGGAGAGAGTTCGCCTAATCCATCGACACGTTTAATTCGGCATTGTCGTTTCCATCACCAGAACGGGTATGGGAACCGAGCTCATCCAGTTCCTAGGCTCTCGCTTGTTCTGCCTCTTTTCTCGCCTTGGGGCATGGGTAGCGCATCAGGAACCAGACGAGGATATTCTGCGTACTGAAGTCGGGCATGGAGACAATCTTCTGGAGAATATCGCGGACAGGCATGATTTCAAGCGCCCGTCTCGGGGGTCAGAGAATGGTCCCCAGGCTTCGTGATCAGTGAACTCACCAATGTATGAATGAAAATTAGGCTTCGGGTCACTTCCGGAACATGCAGGACATTGATAGAGACCGTCCCGACGCACCCGGCAACGACGAAGCTCCCGATCCCAATAAGAGCGATATCAACCACGGAGATGACAACTCCCGTGGGCACCGAACGATCTTTGATGCGTTCGAAATTCGTTGGATTAGAACCTCCGTTATACCCAGGGAGCGTTCCGTGATCGCTTCCGTGATCGGTAGGCTCTCCACACAGGAATTCACGCTCCAAATCTACTAACTCTTCACGGCTCTCCACATAGGAATCCACGCTCCAAGTCTACTAACTCTTCACGGTTCTTCTACTAACTCAGACAGCCGGTTTTTGAAATCACCTTGGTTCGGGGCGAGGTTGAGAGGTTGATTCGCGCCATGGCGCGAATCAGACTGCCCCGGGAGGGCTCAGCGACGGTCGCACCGCTACTTCTGTCGTGTTTGACACTCCTCAAAAGCATTCTGACCCGCAGCAGAGACAAAGGAGTTGTCCTCGGTCTTGGACATGATTGCGGCTAAAACTCAGCCAGGTGTTTTCGGAAGGGGTACCGGGGTGGATTCTGAGCACCAGGCTCAAAAAGGGAAGAGCAGGAAAGTATCGATACGGAGAAGTCCTTCCAGGCTCGTAGACAGACTCTCGCTATAGGTTCCGATCTCTTGCATAAATAACAACAGGAGTTTCCGAAGCCGCGATCCCTCCGCGCGTGGAGACGGTGTAGCTCGTCGCGAGACATCGGGCTTCTCTGCAGGATAACCGAGCTCTCCCCGAGCAAGCGAAATTCTTCTGTCATCATCCTGTGACCACAAGCCTCACCTGACTCCCGAGTTCCCGAGTGTCCTCTCCCGACTTCTGCTGACTTTTCCGGTGGTGATCTCATTGATCTGCAATGGCGTATTCCGAGAGGGGAACCGAGGCACTTGATCCGGGCGTGGGCTGCCGAGACGCAATTTTCGTTTCTGGAAACCAGAAACAGGGCTTTTCCTCGAGAAATTTTCCGTCCAGGGGCGCCGCTTTGGTGGGAAGGACTTGCGAAAACATGGATTTTGGACACGAGGAATGAGGGCGCATTTTCGGGGATGCTCTCGCTGAGGGGCGACATTCTTCGGATTCGCCCTGGGCGCCATTTCGCCCCGCTACGCCACTGTCGGTCTGTATGCTTCGCGCCCTATGATAGATGGAGAGATGGGTGGTGGTAACAGTGTTCGCGACATTCCAATAGATTTCCTTTCACGAGACTTCCCGACTCTCGACAAGCATCCAATGGCGGCAGGGGGGAGGATAATCCCTTCCACCATCGGCAGCTCGAGCAGAAACCTATTCCCGATTCAGGCTCGATGCCCCATGTAATCGAAAAAGCTCAATCAGAAGGAACTCCCTTGAAGCAGGATGTTTGGCCGGGAACTCTGACCTTTGGAAAATTTATTCTGCATGCTTGTCGAAGGCAAGTGAAACTGGACATATTGTTGTGCATATGAAGCTTTATATCGGGGGAAATTCGGACTCAATGCCACCAAGCGAAAAGCTGTAGAGGTCAAATATCGCGGATTGAATCCAGGTTTCCACGTTTGCTCCCTGAGAGATCGATGAGTGGCCGCATCATACACACAAGTCTTCTTCACGACGATCACATCAATGAGAGATGCTCCATGAAGCTATCTGTTGTCGCGTATGCAGCGACTTCGCCCACACCATCCTCACGAGAATTCCCATCCGCGGCTCGAGGAACGAGCGATAATTTGTGATCGGGAAAGATTCACTCACGCTGGGAAAGCTCGGGGCATTCTCTGAACCGATGATAATCTGCGAAGCTTCTGCAGGGACCGGCTCCTGTGGATTTCTGGATGTTCTTAAGTCTTCAGAGGTTCCGACAAGTCTGAGGGAAGCGCTCGTCTTCCCAACGCCCTTGCGGACTGCGCAATTCTATGGAGTTGGGCATTTCCAGTGACGAGGTCGCTCGGGTTCACGTCGATTCGGAGAGTGGAGCCCGTACCTTTGTCGAATACCCCCGAGAAGAGAGAGTTAGCGAAACGGCAGAGCAATCGTTCGACGACGGGGACTTGGGGAATCGGCCTCGGGCTGCCCGGCAGAAATTCATTCCGAAAGCTTGTCATGTCGCGGACGAGCAGAATACTGACTGAGTATAATGAGCGTACCATTCCATGGTCCGCTCCCAAGAAGCCACGAAGCGCGTCAACGACTCAATTGGTCAGAGATTCGAGTCAAACCTCCCGGAGCGAGCATGTGCACCAAGAGATTCTTCTTAGTTGCCTTGAATATGTCGGAGTCCCTCAGATACGAAAGAGAAGGCGCCAGACTCACGAACCTCAAGGTAGAACCAGGAGTCGCAGTCATGGTCAGCTTCGCAGAATGGGGCACCTCGGAGAATCGGACGGGAATCTCTGAGTTTCGTGAACTTGGAGAGATGTGTTGAGAACTTCTGCTCGGGACTCGAGACCTAAAACACGGCCTTCCGATCGTAAGAGCATACTCCGGGTGAGAGGCTTTCGAGCGGGGACCAACGCTTGCCCCGAGCCAGATTGTCAGATTGTCGACAATAGTCATCACAGTGCCGTTCGATCGGTGCCGACCTCGCCTCCCTGACGCTTTGGAACTCTCTGGAAGAAGAGTCGGTACTCCTCTTTAAGCTCACCTCGCTTTTGAGCACAGTTTGCAAAGTTTCGGTTACAATCGATGAATGAGAAAGCGAACCTCAGCGAGGCTGCTCAGGGTCTGTCGAACGCCTTCAGACATCGCCTCCCACTAATCATAGCCTTCGGTCTCCAATAGAGGCTTCTGGATCTTGGTTCACATATTCGAGGGAGCAATGAGATTTCCCGATTTCGGGTGGAGCTCTTGATAGTTTCTGACGCCGCGTGAAGGCTTCATTTTCGAGTATCCGCGGGGGCATGGGAGTTTTTTGGGCTGAAAAATTAAGAATGGATCCTTGCGTTTGGGAATTTCCCGAATAGATTGGCAGAGAGAACTTCGAGGATGGGTCGTGTCGAAGGGGGAGGAGAGCGGCACGAAATCGGACGGTGTGAGTCAAGGTCACGAGATCGGCGATCCGTATAGCTTTATAGATGTTGAGCGTCGAGCCCGCCGGTCGCGACCGTTGAGTCATTGAGTGAGTACTCGATTAGCGGCTTCGCTGACTAATTGTTGTTGATTCGTCAGATTAATTTGAGCATCTATCACGTCGAACGCCTCCAGCGACGTTGTCAGACTTTGTTCGGAAGTTATGGAGAGGAGAAGTAGGGTTATTTTGCTCGTAGGATGAATTCGATGGATCGAGAGCCTTGCCAGCGATCAGATTGTATTTTCGGGTCACCGATCATGGATCCGTCGTTCAGACTCGTTAGACTTCGGTCGGGAATGATCAATTCTTATTCAGCAAATCAGACCCGCCGATATAGCGCCGAATGATCTCTATCGACGACTCAATGGCACAGTAGAGGCGGATCATACCACATCGGAAGGAAAATTTTCGTCTCGGAGACTCCAATGAAATGGAGCTTCTCCCTTCAAAAATCTTCAACTCTGAATGTTCGCGTGAGTCGAAGGCATCCTTGACTCATGGACGCCTGGCTTGAGATGGAGTTGGGGACGAGCCGAATGGGGGAAATAAATACCTAATTCTCTGACTATGCTCAAGGCAGCAATGAGTCTTCGGAGCACGCACACAGCCTTCGTTCGAGAGGATGTGTCACGAAATACGACCCCGGCTCGGGTGTCGGGGGCAGGAGGTAATCGGTGCCTATTATCCAAAAACTCGAGCACCCAGCACAGTTTTATCGCTGCGAGACCCGCGAATACAGTGGAGAATGAGGATTCTCATACAGTTCCGAAACGATGCTCCCTCTTTCCATCGGAGCAGAGGATCGCAAGCCTGACGATGTCTCGTCCGACAGCAACTGTTCTATCTCGATTTGGGAGAAAGACCCAATTTTCCAAGTCCCACGAAATCGAAAGCTCACTTGGCGCGCTGCGAGGCTCGCTTTGCGCGGAACTGTCG